TAGAAAATGGAAGGTCCACGAGTTGCCAATCTCCGCGGATCGTCCGATGTCTGATGACAATTCGACGGAGCTATGGTCGATAACTTATTGAGTCGCTCTCTCGCCCACCTTATGAGGTTATCATCGCCGGCAACATCTACGATGTCAAATAGGCAGCACAGCAGACAGTAAGAGAGGAAAACGGAAGGGCAAGAACCCATAATTCGTTGCAGAATTGACGACGAGAGCCTCGAACGAACACGCTCATCCATACCCATGCTGGGGACTGATTCTTGGACTGATGGCTCTGAAACCAACTGGGTCGCAGACTTGTCTTCGCTCTTCACGGCACGCGTTTGAGAATCGCGGCTCTATCAAGAGTGGGGCGGCGGGGCGGCGGGGCGGACGAGATGTGGCACCCCGGACCCTGAACGAAGTAACGCGCAATGTAACCAAGGAAGTACCGTGTTCCGTTGATCAGATTCAACGGAGAGCCGATCTAAACCCTTGCGGTCGGGCTCCTTCCCAGGTTTTCCACTTGAGCCTCATATGGGGCTCACCGGCGATTCACGTACACGGCCGCCCTTGTTTGACAGTTGCCATGACAAACCAAACAATACCATTCATAATAAGATGTCCTCGAGCCGAAACAAAGGAGACTCTGAAAAGCCAACAGCGTCGCCCTCGCTGCAATTCAGTACAATAGATAGCAAGTGGATTGATGAGGGGCGAGGGTCGTGCAATGAACCACTATGCGAGCCGCATTGACAGGTGTCCGTGGTTGTTGGAGAATGATTGGGGGCTGGCTTTTCGTCCCATCAATCAGCACTGTCAGAAAGCTTCCGTTCCATTCTATGGCCTGCGCTGGGTCGGGACGAACCTGCCAAGCCATCCTGTTCCCGGTCACTGAGCAGTTTTCGTTTTGGACACTGCTGAGTTGCATCCCAAGTGCGGCCTGCCGTCTGTCATCCACGTGTCTTTGCACGTACGTACTTAAGCAGGTAGCTATCCGCGCCCTTCCCTTCCGCCGCTGATCCAGTGCGACGCAGCAGTAAAGCAATGACACGAGCACTCTTTATCTTGCCCTGCATTAGCTATCCTAGCGGAGGCATTGCGCTAATATGCATGTGCCATGTCCGCCATGAAATCGCTCCACCTTCTTCCCAGTTCCATCCCTTGACCCTTGCTCCGATCTTCTTACCCTTTTCTACGACGTACATCGGAGACCAGTCAAGCCGAACCTACAACTTCGCAAGGATGCTAGCATTTCGGCGATCATTGTCCCCAGCTCCGAGCGTGGGCGGGGAGCTTGACGTTGATTACTAGCGCTGGCCTAGGATAGTAAAGCATGCCAACCAGGATATCTGTTTATCGCCTCAACCTTGGACGGGAGAGAAATGGAAAAGAAAAGAAAGGATCACAACAGCCTGCCGCGTGGATTTGGACGATCAGGTAGAACAGATGCGCGAGAGGGAACTGGAGGCGAAGCGAACCCCTGGACTAGCTATTAGACCAAAATTCCAGGTTTTGCTTCTTCATCTGGGCGATCCGGGCGGGGGACGATTGACAGAACAACACGAGCAAGCAGATTTGCGTGCCTGATTCCGGGGACTTTGGGCGACAAAGCAGATTGATCTGTGTCTCCGGCTAGTCCAGACAGGCCAAGGTGACAGGCCATGGTGAGGATTTGGTGAGAGTGTACGGGGTGAATGTCTCGGCCATCTGGTCTTCCGAGCGCAGATCAGCAACGGCAATCCTGCGATCATGTCATGATGGCCCAACACTTCCAGAAGCAGGGATGTGCCGTTCTCCCACTAGGGTTAAGTACATAGTAGTGCCAAGAGGTGTGTGTGTGTCTGTCTGTGTGTGTGTGCATTGTTGAGACGCATCGTCCAGGATCAGTAAGGGAAACCGAGAAGACATCGGTGGTCGCATTCAAGGAAAACGCCAAGATAAGGCGAGGAACAAACGCTCACTTGGAAGAAAGGACTGGACAAAGAGAATAGGCCAACGACAAAGTGGCTTAACCCGATCTGATGTCGTTTGCTTCCCATGCCTGTCAGTGTCAGTCAGACCAAGATCCGTTGGAGGCTGCGGCGGGGAGGGGGAACTTGATGACCATGAGCAACTTGAACGGAGAGCTCCACGAATAGAAATGTTTTGAGCATCAAGTCTTGACACAGGCCAGCCAAGACGCGAGCCGTAGCCGCGTTGCATTAACTAACATATCGGGGTCAGTCCTTTTGAAGCAAGGACAAGTGGCCAAGATGTCTTGCGATGCTCGAGAAATACCAAACAGGTCGAAACCGCGGTGAGGTTTTGTGTGGCCCATATAGGTCTCCACTGATGCGCGGCTCCTGTAGAAGGGACGAGACGAGACGGGACGAAGTCACGAGAGGGCGGCGAGAGGATTCGTGGTTTGGGATCGCTGTTTGGTCGTTTGCCCACCAGTGTACCAAGAGGACCGTCGCCTCCCCAGTTGCTTCACGAACCGTGTTTGGTTGAACCGTGTTTGGGTCATCATTCAAGTGGCCATCTCCGTCGCGGCTAGGCACTATCTTTGGCACGAACTTTGTGTCTGGTAAAACGAGGCGAATTCGGCGGCGTTTAAGGAGCATCGACCATCGTGGAGAAGACAGAGGAGAGCAACGAGGAAACAAGAAACAAAATTGTCCAAGGTTATGCCTGCAGTTGCATGCAGATGGCAGAGTTGTTTCCTCGTTTCTTTCAGCATCCGTGTCTTCAGGGGCCTTGGCTACTGTAAATATTAGGTGCTCCGTCCGCTGTCGATGTCATGTTGCGCACTGAATGGAACAGTTGCACTGGATGGCTGGACAAAAGTATGGTCGGCGAAGACCTTGCTCGCTCCTGCCTCTGGGGAAGTCTTAGCGCCCGCTTGCTGAGGCAGCAACAGGGGTGGGCAGCCGCCGAAACGGGCAAGGGCTGATACTCCCCTAAGATTGCACCCGCAATTTAGCGAGTTTCAAGGGCTCTGGGTCCAGCACCGGATCGGATAAAGAAAGCGTTTAGAGAGTTAAGCAGATTGCCGAAGACGAGACCCCTGTGGGCAGCTAATTACTTGCCATGCAAAATGGATGCAGAGAGTAAATACATACCTAGGTAGGTAGGGAGCCAACCCAATTGCCTATGGAATCATTGCTAGTGGGTGGATGAAGTTGGGGGAAGCATATTCACTACTGTGCTGTTTCCTCCCTACCTAACCCAAGGAGAGAGAGTATGCAGGTTAGTCTCAACAGGGAGCGAAAAACACAGGATGCTGTTTCAACTTTCAACGAGCGCAGGCACACGGTACGTACCTGCCCAAGTTCTCTGGGTTGCGGGCGTTGGGGCTCTGCAACAGAAACGGGGGTGGCCCCTGGAGGACCCTCGCTTGTTTCGAGCCCGGCCAATCAGGGTGCTGCCATCGGGGCCGCCCTGACCTCCCACCACACATGACATGGGGGCAAGAACGACAACAACAGCTGTCAGACACCCTGAGCATACAACTAGAGACTACCACCTACCTCGCCGTGACATGCGTCAGAAGATCAGGGACGCCAGCACAGCGACTGATTCTGCAGTCTCCACACATCAGTCTGATTTCACAAACTGCCCGTTGAAGCAAGCCAGATGTACTCCCCAAGTCGCTCCCGCTTCGCCTCGAATCCAACACACTGCAACCGTTGCCGCAACCCGAGAAACGAGCTGCACGTTCGTTGTCAAAATGAATGACGCCAAATGGAACAGACAAGGCCGGGGTGTCCCTGGAACAATTACCTCTCGGCTTTTGGGGTCGCCGTCTCTTGCCCGGGCGCCTCGTGATGGCCTCGGCCCCAGATGCACCAATCCATGGAATTATCTACGCGCTATGCACCAATTTCCTGCTACATACGCTTATTAGATTAGACCAGCACGCAGTCCATCAGCATGACTTGCAGTTGGCTAGGTAGGCAATAGCGAAACCCACCTTGGCATGGCCCTGTCTTAGGGTGACCCGCCTTTCAGAGTCGCCTCGACCCAGGACGCCTTAGCCCTGGATACTGCCTGGACATGGGACTGGGAATGGCCTCCACCCAGATCCAATTCGCGCACGGCCGTTTTCCGAACTCGGGACTCGAATCAACATGGGTCTGACTGGGGCCCCTGGGTTCGTGGAGCCCGTTCTGGTTGTCGCCCACCCCAACTGGCTACGGGCATATCAGGCCAACCTTATGCTTTCCCATCTTGCCACAACTCTTACACTACCCTGTCAACACTCCACCCCCTCCTCCTCCCCCTCCACCATACCTGAAGTCGCTTCTTCTCCGCGGGGGGCCCTGTAACAGGGATACAGTGCCTGCGGCGTACCTCAATGCTTGCTCCCTGATCCCGGTCCATCTGAGTGGATGTGCCTTTGTTCCATCATGCAGTTATATCATGGAGTTCCTAAAGCATTAAGCGATGCATTATTATCTACCCCGTCCCCTCCCTCCGGATTGCCTTCTTGTTTATCTTCTTTCTTCACCTAGGTTCTCACCAGAGTATCCTTTGCTCTTGCTATCACAACGCTGTTGCGTGTGTGTTCCCTTCCTTTTTTTTTCTCTTCTCGCAGCTCAACACTTCCACTCTTTCACTTGACCAACTAGCTTGGCTGCTTACACTCTTTTTGGGGAGAATCATTACTCATTCATCTTGAACGGTATAATCTGGTTTATTATACTTACTTTCTCAAACTTTCCGGAAAAGCCCTCTTCATCGTCGATTCCTTTCGTGTGTTCTACGGCTCTAGATCGTTTCAATACGACTAGCTATCCTTTTCAACCAGTCAAGCGGAACCGAAACGGACGACTTCTATTCTTGAAGCAGCGAGCCCTGCCCATTCTTGTTTATACAGACGATACTTTTTTTGTTCTTACAACCCTTCGATTCTTTGGGACACACCGCCTGGTCTGACAGCTAGCCAGACCTGACAACCATTGTCAATATCTTTTATCAGTGGACGTAATTGGAATAGGAAGAGCATCATGTCTCCCACTACGCCGATGAACACCTCGGCCGGATACATCCCGACCTCCGACGCTATGGACAGGCACGAGTACGGCGTCTCGAAGAACCGGAAGACGGCTTCAACGGGTGGTGGCCGAGCCTGGAGTGAGGACGAGGTACGTGAAGAAACAATTGCGATTCCAATTGGCTGGAGCTGCCGAGTTGAAACTTGACCGGGGGATGGTCGAGGGATTTTACATTGTGGTTTAGAAGCCAACCCCGTTGGTGTCGCGAGCGAATGCAGTGCTAACCCGTGTTTCCCCGTCCCAGGAAGTATATCTCCTCCAGACTCGGCTTCAGAAAATGCCCTACAAGCACATCGCCGCGCACTTGAAGAAGACAGAGCTTGCCTGCCGTCTGCACTACCATCAGCTTAGCCATGGCAGCAACCGGCGGAAGCGGACGACTTCGATGTCTTCGGGCTCCTCAACAGGAGGACATTCTCCGACCTTGCCTGCATCCATGCCGTCTCCGATTCATGAGCACCCAGGGACTCTTTCGCGCTCCGCCTCACCCCCGGGGAGTGCTGGCTCGTATGGGCCAACGTCTCCCAACAGTGTCCAGCTTCCGGGCATCATGTCAGCATCCACATCGACAAACGCCTCTCCAAGACTCCCGACAATCTTGCCGAAACCTGCGTCGATGACCCTAGCTCCTGCCAGCGCGGGTGCTGCGGCTGTCGGATCTCCCACCGCCCATGGCTACCCGACTCCGCTACCAGAGCCGCATCCCCATAGCGCCCCGTTGATGGCCTCGGCACCCTTCCGGAATGCTATGACCCCTACCAGCGCAGGGCCGCCGCACTCAGCCCATACATCGACTGGTGCCCCGCCGCCCCGCTTCCCCGGCACCCTTCGGTTGGACTGCTCGCCCCTTCCGCCACCGCCGAGCAGCGCTGGTCTCTCCGCCCACGGTCCCAGCTACATGCATAGCCACCCCGTTGACATGGCCCGCCTCAACGCCATCTACACGGCGCACCGCGCTAGCTTCTGGGCTGCAATCGCCGCCGACTACGGCGGAGGTGCAAACCCGGTCGTTCTGGAGCAGGCGTGGCGCAACCCAGTTGGCGGCGGATCCAACCCGAGCAGCTTCGCAGGCCAGACGCCAATCACCCCGGTAGGCAGCCCGGGCGAGCAGGTGTACAGCGGCAAGGCCGTGGGCCAGGACAAGACGCGCATCAGTGCCATCCTTGGCATCGACGCGAACCCGCGGAGCCCCAGGGAGAGAGAAATGGTCAGGCGCTTGGAGGAGAGGTGTACGGTCGGCGCTGTTAGCGCCTAGACTCTCTCACCACTCACCGGCTCTCGATTATTTCTTTTTTTCCTTCTGACCTTTCATTTTCCTTTCTCTTTCGGCCTTGCGGTTTGAAGTATGCCGGTTATGTTTGCGCAAAGAGTGAGTCTCAGGCTTCTTTTTGCAGGTGACGGAAGAAAAAAAAGGGGAGAAAACGAGCAAGAGGGGTGCTGTTGGCTTTCCGCCCCAGTGACATTCTGTTGTTTTGCCCTTTTGGTTTGGAAATATTGTCTTGGGTCTTCCCCTTCTTGACATATCCTCCGTTCTCCCTCCATCGGGCAATACCGTCCTGGGAGCTTGCTTACCAGTTTCCTTTCACTGTTCTTTTCTTTCGTTCAATTCCTGTTCCCTCCTTTTTGTTTTCCTGGTGCTGGGATCGATTGGGGCACAATATACCGACGAGTCATGACCCTTGAAGTGTAACATTGCACGTACATGCCTTACCTCCTTTCGTCGTCGAGTATGTTAGGCCCCCCTTTTTTCCTTCAGTGGTTCGGTTACATGAATGAACATAGTTGATGTTTCTTTTGGGGGATTTTACGGGGACATGAGAGTTGGTTGTGAAGCTGTGTTGCTGATGGCAAACAAACGTTCCATGGGGGAGGTTTTCTTGCAAGGATGGGATGGAATCATGTGGGATTTGCGTTCCCATATTCTTTGTACACTAGCTTTTTCGCCTCGACCCCTTATTTTACTTGTTGCTTGTAGCAGGGCACAAGGCAACGAGGCCGATACCCAGGACGAGATGAGGCGAGATGAGACGAGACGAGACGAGACGAGACGATATGACGTATTGGATTAAGAGTCGGAAACTCTCTGGGCTTACTTCCATAGGCGAAATGGGGAATTTGCATGCTTCGAACTGAATTGATCCAGGATTGTTGACATTGGCCTTGATTCCATTGTGGTGGTGGTAACTTCGTACATCCGTACCTTGGTCGGATAATAATCAACCAATAGGAAGAGGGCTGATTTCCAATCCCCACGCGTGACCCCGCGGTGGGGTGAGGGGTTCGTCCAGCTTCCATGATTGTTGAATTGGGTTCCCGTGGTTCCCCACATATCGTTCATTTCTTGAGAGCTTTACGCAACAGTACCTAACCCAAGGAACCCAAGGAGAGTGTCTCCATGCTAACGAAAGAGCCAATGGGTTGATTACCGTGTTTTCTGTCGCCCCCATACCCGATATCGTGAAACGGGGAGTTCTCATTCTGGCCTTGGGCCTGGCAATGCAGGGGCCCAAGTAGTGCGTGCTGCGCCCGTCGAGAGGGGCCATTCGCCCATTCCTGACCTACCTAGCTTACTAGCTTACTCCTTGCAAATGTGAAATCTCTGATTGATCCGTGGTGAAATCTTCTTATGGGACCGGCCTAACACAGACAGTGGGAACCGGAGAGAAAGCCGATCTGAGAGGTAAAATCCGTGCGTCATCGACCAAACCATTCGGTTTACCCGTCTTCGGCTCACGAGTATGCGGTCGCAACTGATGGATCGATAAAACGGTGGATTTCTGGCCGAGGCGACCTAGCCAAGTTAAGGGGGTGCTTTCAGCACCTCATTGTCAGCTACACAGTAGATATTCAATCTTCCAATTCTCATATTTATTCGATTCTCTTTCATACTTGTCGTGCCTCTGGCTCCGTAGCTCCGCAGCTCCCGTCCCTACCAACCTAAGCTACCTCCACATCTCACCTCTCCACCTCTCCACCTTCCCCGATTCTCCCCCCCCTTACCTACCCAGGTACCTAACTAAACCCCATTAACTTTCTGTCGGTGAGCGCAGAGAGCTCTTCCTCTTTCCTTCACTCCCTCTCTATTACTCGCTTCATATTCGGGTCATATCCGTCTCTCCCACCCGCTTCTTCCTCTTCCGGTCTTCCCAATCCCCACTATCTTCGGACCGGTGTCGGTGCCGGGTCTTACCTTGCGTTTTTGGCTACCGTCACTCCGGTCGCCGTCATCCCCTCCCAAGAACACAATCAGTGCCATGGCGTCGCACGGAGAAGGGGCGTCCAGTGGCCCCAAAGACCAAAGCGAGAATGGCACCAGGAACGAGCCCAAGGCTGGTGACTACATCCAATGGAAGTCTCTCCCCCCCGGTGGTGCTCTAAACCGATGGTCGCACTCTATCACGAAGGGACATGATTTTCCAGGCGCCCAAGTAAGTCAAACCCCAAGGGTAGCTCTGGCCGGATGTCGACGACTCTCCAAGGATATATATGGTTGACTAAAACCGCTCTTTCAAGGCTATGCTCTTTGCCGCCGGTGTTCCCGACATGAAGACGATGAAGAACTCTCCCCAGGTCGGCGTTGCCACTGTATGGTGGGAGGGCAACCCGTGCAAGTAAGTGCCGTCCTATCCTCGCTAGGAACCCTAGCCTGGACACTGAGCTCAGACGGACCGTGATGCTAACTCTCTCCTCTTAGCACCCATCGTGAGAATCACCACCTGTGGCTGGGCTGATTAAACGTGAAGACATGGGGACTGACAATTGGCAGTCCTTGACCTTGGCAAGATCGTCAAGAGGGCTGTGGAGAAGGAGGGAATGCTAGCTTGGCAGTTCAACACCGTTGGGGTTTCGGATGCCATCACGATGGGCGGCGAGGGTGAGTGCAACCACTGAGCAAGAGATCCCTTGCTCTTTTCGCGGGACTGGCCAGTTGCTTACAGTTTCTGGCGTGACACAGGCATGCGATACTCGCTACAGACGCGCGAGATCATCGCCGACAGCATCGAGACCGTCACCTGCGCTCAACATCACGACGCCAACATCAGCATCCCCGGTTGCGACAAGAACATGCCAGGCGTCGTCATGGCCGCCGCTAGGCACAACCGACCCTTCCTCATGATCTACGGCGGGACTATCCGGAAGGGCCACTCCAAGCTGCTTGATAAAGACATCAATATCAGCACCTGTTACGAGGCGTCAGGCGCCTACATCTACGGCCGTCTCCAGGCCAAATGCCCGCACCCCAACGGCACCGAGGCGAGCCCGTCCGATGTCATGGAGGACATCGAGAAGCATTCGTGCCCCGGCGCTGGTGCCTGTGGCGGTATGTATACGGCCAACACGATGGCCACGGCCATAGAGGCCATGGGTCTGACCCTCCCCGGATCCTCGTCGTACCCGGCCGAGTCTCCCGAGAAGGCCCGCGAGTGCGAGCGTGCCGCCGAGACCATCCGCATGGCCATGGAGAAGGACATACGCCCCCGCGACCTGCTCACCCGCGCCGCGTTCGAGAACGCTCTCGTGCTGACCATGGTCCTCGGCGGCAGCACCAACGGCGTGCTCCACTTCCTGGCCATGGCCAACACCGCCGACGTGCCCCTCACCCTCGACGACATCCAGCGCACCAGCAACCGCATCCCCTTCCTCGCGGACCTCGCCCCCAGCGGTAAGTACTTCATGGAGGACCTATACGATATCGGTGGCACCCCCGCGGTGCTCAAGATGCTCATCGCGGCCGGCCTCATCGACGGCTCCATCCCAACCGTCACGGGCAAGACACTCGCCCAGAACGTCGAGTCCTGGCCCTCGCTGGACCCGGGCCAGCAGATTATCCGGCCACTCTCGGACCCCATCAAGGCGACGGGCCACCTGACCATCCTGCGCGGCAACCTCGCGCCGGGCGGCGCCGTGGCCAAGATCACGGGCAAGGAGGGCCTCAGCTTCACGGGCACGGCGCGCGTCTTCGACAAGGAGCACGCGCTCGACGCCGCCCTGGCCCGCAGCGAGATCCGCGCGACCGACGGCAACCTCGTGCTGATCGTCCGCTACGAGGGCCCCCGCGGCGGGCCGGGCATGCCCGAGCAGCTCCGCGCCAGCGCCGCCATCCTCGGCGCGGGCCTCTCCAACGTCGCCCTCGTCACCGACGGCCGCTACAGCGGCGCCAGCCACGGCTTCATCGTCGGCCACGTCGTCCCCGAGGCCGCCGCGGGGGGGCCCATCGCGCTCGTCCGCGACGGGGACACGGTCACCATCGACGCCGTCAACAGGCGCCTCGAGCTGGTCGCCGTCCCCGGCGCCGCCGGGGATGTCGAGGCCGAGCTCGCCCGCCGCGCCGCCGCGTGGACGGCCCCCAAGACGGTGCCGCTCCGCGGCGTCCTCGCCAAGTACGCCCGGCTCGTTAGCGACGCCAGCCACGGCGCGGTGACGGACTTGGCGGATCCGACTTGGTGAAGAACCAAGGATGACATGACATAAAAAAGTTTTACGACACACGAGGTGGTCTGCGTCGGGTTTTATCCGCCGTTTTTTCTCGGTTTTTATGAGTGGCGGGCCTGGGTTGCAATTAGGGAGGGAAAGAAATGGCTAGATGTTTCCTTTGTGAGCGCCACCCAAGTCAGGAGGCCAAAAATGATCACCAAATAGTAGATTAGACACGAAGGCAAACCATCCAAATAATGCATTCAATTATATACCCCAATGTGGTGGTCTCTAAGCAGAGCTATTCTTTATATTCAGGAAACCGAGGTCTTCCTGGCTCTCCAACTCCTCGGTAGTTCTTTTCCTTCTTTCTGCCCCCTTTTCGCTTTTATGTTTGCTGCACTCGGCGGTTGCAGCTTTGGAGAGTTCCTCCTTGACAAAAACCTGCATGTGAAATGCCCCTGCTCTTCTTTCTCTATAAGGGGAAACAAAATCATTGTCCTCTCGCCCAAAAGACGTACCATGTAGCATAGCTGTCCCACTGCCAATTCTGAGGTCTCCGACGGGAGTAGTCCCGAGGGGAGCGGGGGAGAGGAGAGACGATTATGGCAGTTTCTTCTATAATTAAAGGTTATGAACTGGCTCGGAAGCAAAATGAATAGACAAGCGGACAAACAGACAGCCAGTAGTGCCCGGGACCCAAACAAGACCAAAAAAGCAATGCAAGATGTCTCCCCCTCTCTGGATGGATCATCGATGATACAGAAAGCCGCCCGGCCGGCGGATCGCGCGGGGGTATGACAAAAATGTGGCGGCGAGAACGCAGCTTGAGACATGACTCGTTATGTGGACAAGAGATATGTGGCCGACAACATTGGGTGGACAACGGTGGGCGTCGAGGGCCACAAGGCACAGGGAGTACACTTGGGCAGTGTGGGCAGTGTGGGCAGAGCGGTCTGGGCTTACGGGCTCGCCCATCCCCCGGCAACATCGACCCACTCGGCCAGACAACTGCCGTCCTTGCCTTCAACGTCGACGATGTCCGTGTCGCAGCGGCATCGGCAGCCGACGCCGTTCTCCTTGGGTGTGTCCCACTCGTCCCAGTAACGGTCCTCCTCGAGTCGCTTGCGTTCATCGAGAGTTGTCTTCTCCAGGTAGGGCTCACGGGGGAGCTGACGGGACGGGGCGTTGGCTGGGCAATGCTGGATGGTCGTGTGTCGGTACCCGATGTCGCGGAAGTAGTGGATATCGCGGGGACCGAGGAGAGCTCCGGCGGCGAGAGAGTGAATAGGTGCGTCACCCCACTGCAAGACGAATGGTCAGCTTCAAGGGTTCAAGGGCTTGGTACTATCAAGCAGGTGGCCGCTTACCCGTTCCATCCAGAATCCGCCACTGCGGTCCATCATGTCAAAGAAGTCCTGGTACTCTTTGCTTCTGAAGAAGCTGAGCCGGGCGATCTCGAAGTTGGACCAGAAATGGCACATGTTGTACTTCTCGCCTTCCATTGCCTCAGCATCGACCTCTGGCGGACTGTTACGTCCGGGATCGGCACGGAGCACCTCCTCCGGCAAAGGTGCCTTGTAATTGGGGTCATCCTCAGACAACTCGGGCGCCTCTTTTGGTTCAACCGGGTCGACAAACATCTCCCACAGGCCCTGCGAGGTCAGGTTGTTGAGACGCTTATAGGCGGAGGCATATCGGAAGATGTTGGGGACGGTTTCGCGAAGTTCCTTCACGGCAATGGTGAAGCCGTAGGTCTTGTTGGCCTCTATCATTTTTTGGAAAGGGTCACTGTGCTGTGGTCAGTATCACGCAAAGCCCCGAGGTGTAGCGGAAGACGGAACATACTAGGTGAGGTCGCAGAAATACTTGACCTCGGGCTCGAGACGCCAGTACCATTCGTACTTGGCAAGGAGGGGGTGCTTGTAGAAGAAGCTACCGCAGAATATCAGTATTGTGGAACTTGCGGGAAGGATATGGCAGTGGACGGAAAGCATACCCCGAGTAGAATCTGCACATGGAATGGTAACTCTCCAGACCGCCATACATGACGGCTGCATCACCTTGCTTGGCAATGCCTTCTTTGGCGACCTTGACATCTACCCAGTCAGGGTAACCCCACATGTCGGGACCGACCTTGCCAAATTCAATGGTCGACGAGGTGTAGTTCGCGACAGTCTCCTTGAAGGTCGAGTTGAAGTCTCCATCATTGAGGAAGACGTAAGGGTAGTGATACCATCGGTTGAAGTGGCGTTCGATCGACTTCATCGACTGTATGACACCATCCAACTCCTTGTTCCTCGCCAGGACGACGAACACACCATTGGCACGGGGCTTGCTTGTGTCAGGTTCGAGACATCCCGTCACGAATACCTTGTCGTATTTCTCGTTGATTTTCCTACAAACCGATGTCAGTTTCCCGCTTCGTGTATTGACGGTGCTGGTTTGGAAGGACGACAGAGAAAGGGGAGAAAAGGGGGAAAGGGGAATGGCGACGAACCTGATGGCTGGTGGTGCACCAGCTGGCATTAATATCCTTCCCGGGGAAGAAGGATGCCTGACGAAGAGCACCAAGATGAGGATGACGACGATGCAGGGGAATAATATGACGACGCCCAGTGGTACAGAGACGCTCGAGTTGCCTCTTAATCTCAGAGGCCGACGGAAGAAGGCAAGGCGTGATTTTAGGAGGCCAGAGCGCGTTTTCCGGCCGCCTTTTTCGTCCATTACGGGTAGTTGTAGCGGCATCGAGGGTACGAGCCGTCCGGCTCGACGGATGAGGTCCATGGCTGGGAAGTTCGCCGCAAGGGTCGCCGTCTCGGCGACGCTGGCTGCGGTAGGCTACCGATCAAATGGGGCGAAGCTCTATTGCTCCACTCGGTATCTGAGTATCGGAAAGTCCGAAGGTATCGTGGATGCGGGAGGGGTCGTCCGTCGCTGTTCCCTGATGGCAATCGAATCGATCGAAAGGGGGCGGGTCGGACGAGAAAATTAGGAAGGTTGATAAGAACGAAGACTCCCAACTCCCAGCGTCTATAAGGTCTTCGTGGGCGCGAGATCCAAAAACAAGATGGAAGTAACGAACGGCAGGGAAATAGAATTCCCCTTTTGATTGATGGTGGAAGTCGACGAAGTGGAAGACACGCGTCAGGAACTGTGGCGAGCGATGCGACCTGGTTGGGGTGCTAGGATGGCGGGAGGTGCGTCCGATGATGCAGTCGTTAAACTCTGCTATGCCGGCATCGAAGCAGGGCCCGTCCTGACTCCGAGGGTTGGGAAACGTAAGCAATGCGGGATGCGATGCGGTCAATTGCAGTCCCTATCTGTCAAGATCAGATGGTTGTTTCGGGAGGAAGGGATTTTGGCGTTGAAGAATTGTTAGGAGAGATTGCGATTACGTGCTGTCTCGCATCAACCGGGCCTGGGCCCGACCGATTAAGGAGACCGAGTCAACTGTGGCTAAAAACTTATCTTGGGTACCTGGTAGCCTGGGTACTTGCGTAAGGTACCTAGGTGGTTAGCCACAAGAAGAGGTAGCCAATCCATTGACTGTTCTCCTGCCAATCAGTGGGTCTAGAATTCGAACGCATAGGACGCCCCCTCTTTTGACTGGTGAGGGAATCGCAAAATTCTTCCGTTTGACACACACACTACTGTAGGTACCTGGCCTAACCCAGGCTACTGCGTACAGTAACCCGCACCCGACTTTCCCTAGCCTTGGCGCCTACAAAAAGAAATGGAGATCAGGGACGGAGAGGAGGAAGCCACAGCCTCGAAACATCGTTCGCTCACGGAATAGCAGTGATATTCGAGCGAATGGATTCGACCCATAGCCATGCTGAGTCTTTCATGCCACCTACCATCCATTCCAAGCTACTTGGGCCGTCCAACTAGGCGAAATGCGGAACATTGCCAGCTAGCCACAGTTCGTCATGGCTGGTGGCAGAATTGAACTAAGTTACGACCAACACCGCGCCTGGTACTAATAAGCCCTGCGATACCATCGTTGCGTCGTGTTCTACAAGGTCAACTATTGCGCCCATATTTGCCGAGCTTGCTGCTGTCAACAGATCTTCGACAGCCTGTTCGAAGTGACGATGACCTTGGCCTCTTCGCGACAACGCACCCGGCAGAGCACATCAAATGCACCGTGCCTCTCGTCGACCGCATCGGCATCGGCACCGGCATCGGCACCACCGTCGAAGTGGAACTGCGGCCCCTGTGTGTCGGCCTGCTCCAGTCGTATTATGATCCGGACACGAGCACGGCGGCATGTGCTCACCCGTAGTGCCAAGCCAGCCGGCAAACGCGGCTTCCAACTATGCAACGTCATTGAGTTCGCCGGCCGGCCTCGGGCTTTGTGCTGGGTCATTGGGCGGGCTCAACCCAGCCAAGCCGGAGCTGAGGGCGGGCGCGATGTGATTGGGTAGACGGTGCATGAATGTGACTCCTTGGTGGCGGTGACGAGCGCAATCCAAGGGGAGACGGAGAATCTCTAGGGAACGTTATTACTCGCATTTCGACGAACTTGGGGCAACAGCGCCGGAGTCGCTGCCCGCTTCGACAGTCGGCGAATATGGCCGTGGAGCCTGACGCCCCAGCCGAGTAATGTGTGGCTTGCAGAGAGAACAGGTAGGTGATTTGCTTGATGAAAGCAGCAGGCTGATCGAAGGACAGCATCTCCATAGCTAAACCTCCTTCCAATTAAAGTTCGTTCCGAGTCAACTTCTTCCTGACTGCAATGGAACTTCCCTCCTGATTGCACATCCATCGAAACACCGCAAATCCGGGGTATCGAGTGTCCAGCGCCACGTGCAACATGATTACCTGTCGAATTACAAATTAGTGCTTACTGCCCACCCCCCGCCCCCCGCCCCCCCAAGATGGGTGCGCACTGCGATTGTCAGGGAAAAATGGTGAAAAAAGCTTGATTGGTTCTATCTTTGGGCCGTCTGGCCGTTTACTAATTGTTGTTGTGGATTTGTGGATTTGTGGATCCTTCATAGATACCACGTGACAGCGGCGGTGCATACGTTCAAGGTTCTGGAGCGTCGAGCCCGGCCAAAAAATCACGACGTGCCCATTGCGTCTTAGCCTGCCGCCCCTGCTATCCTTGCCGATACGCAGATGGCATCCGATTCCTCACATTCCTTACATTCCTTATTATCTGACATGTATATTTCGGTGACGGTGTGAGTGGCACATCGGCCGAGAGACGGTTGGCTGTGGCGTCGTCTCCCTCTGACTGAGCCAATGAGATCGTGTCAATTCTCCTGGATCAAGCGGAAACGTGAGGCATGATTACTAGCCACGTGTGGCCCCCCTTGAGGTAATTACTCCCTACCTACTAATGGTAGCGGAGACCAAGGCTTGGTAGGAGATGCTGCCGCGTTATGACGTATTGACGATAATTTCGGGCGAAGGGCCAGATTATGAGCGTCTGGCAAGGAGGCCTGTCCGTCTCATCAGCCGGACCGACCTCGGCGGCGGCACGGTCTTGGAGAGAGGAGGCTGTCGATTATTGATCATTTTTCCAACGATTACTTCGGGGGTTTGTAGAATCATTAGCACCATCATCCAACTATCTCGTTGCCTCTGCTGAAGGATGTCGAGTGGTGGGGTTAGGGACGGTGAAGGTCGCCTGAGACACGCCGCCAGCAGCAGCTTTTCAGGTGGGTGTGGCCCGCAAGGTGCCTCTGTACTGCCCCCCTCCAGCGAGGAGACACACCTGTCCAGGCATTGGGCGCCGGTGTGCCTTTGAAGAAGGGCCCTATCAGAGATGTGAAAAGGGGCCTCACCTAAGTGGCCTCAAACGGTGAGGCTTGAAGAACAAAAGAACAATAAGTTGTCCCTTTCCCCCTTCATTCCTCTTTCACCCCTATGCCGAACCTTACCACCTCCAACCCCGTCTTCATTCTCTGTTGGTTCTCTTCGGCAGGAACCAACACCTTTGTCGGCCAAGCCCATCTCGCCGTCACCTTTGTTTGTTGAATTGAGATTCCGGCCCAAGCGGCCACTCTCAGTGCCTCTACGTGTAAGGCTCTAGGTGGGGTACGTGGGGTTGCGCATTCACTGACCGCTGAGTCATCCAACCAACAGGAGCCTTTTTTGAGGACCCACCAAACCAAAATACTCGAATTTTATTGGATGTAAATCCACACTTGCCGGAAAACGGAGAAACCATAGCCCGCATAATCCTTCGTTGAAAGCCCACCATGGCAAAGCAGCAGCGCTCCGACGATGAGTCAGCTGCTTTGGTACGGGGCTTTCCGGCAGGGATCAATCACCAGGGGCTGGGTGTCTCCCAGTACGGAACGCTTGACCTATCACCACTATCGGACTACCCCCTCAGCTTCGATTTTAATCATACCGACCAGTCGCCTGCCACACCTCCAGCTTTTGCGACTCCACGTGACTGGTATGATTCCTCCGTCTGGTTTGTAGACTACAATATCTCGAACCGAGCCAGCAACCGCGTGTTCGGGATCAACCCATGGCTGCCAGTTGCTGTCACCGATGGCTCGTCTTCTTTTGACGAGCAACTCAGCCACAGCCTCTCGGAGATCGACGCCTTCGGTCACTCACCCACGCCGGCCCTCACCCATGGGTCCAGCCCCGACGGCGAGATACCCCAATACACGGGCCCAGTTGCCATCGCCGCTTCCATTGAAGGGAATGTCCCCCGGCGCCAACGGCAAGTATTTCCGTTTCCAATCTCACCACTGAGACTTCGTCACGCTAACACGCAAGCCACACAGACCGCCCAGCCTCCAGGAATTCGTCTGTGATGTCTGCTCGGTCCACGTTAGAGGCGTCAGGTCCCGAGAGCGCCACATGAGGGAGGTTCACGGCGACAAGGGGTACCAGTGCCGATGCGGACACCGCTGCTCCCGCAAGTCAAACTACATTCGGCACCTCAATTCGTGCAAGCTCCGCCGCGGACTCCGGGACGCTCAGCAGGCCCATTTCGTCTGCCAATGCGGTGAGCAGCAGACCGAGGTGGGGGCGCACACGGCGCACATTGCCGATTGCGGCCGGCAGCGGGTCGGCCGCCCCGCCCGTGGTGGCCGCTAGGGCCCTTCCGTGGCCGAAAATCTCGCTGCGAACGAGCAGTGCCGCTCATTGTCGCCATCCCTCCCCCCTGACATCTCTCCCCTCTGACCTCTTCCTCCTCTGACCTCTCCCCATATCCCCTGTACCTGCTGCCTTGCTTTCGCTGGGAAGCGTCACTCGTTCTCAAACCCCTGCCCCCTCTTCGCCGAGGTTGGATGCTGCGGCTCGCTTGCAAAAATGTCCAACACCACCCCCGCGCGTGTTAGGCGCTGTCACTCGTTTTCGGAAAGGAAAAAAAAAGTAAAAAGTAACATCTCTTCGCTTGTGTTAGGCCGCCTGTCTCTATTTCCCACGGTGGATCATCATGGTTTCCCCTCATGGTCACAGTGGTCTGGATGCCCTCATGGTGCCGCTTGTGGCGCGAATATGGAGGGAGCTGTAAATAATCATACCTAACATAACACCAAGACAATGAAGTGATGTTCGCCAAAAGGAGAAAAGGATGTGCAGCAAAAATACGTGCAGCTTATGCAAAGAGAAGAGAACAGAGAAACATTGAGAAAGGAAAGGAAACATGGTGTGAGAGATGCCACTGACAGATTTGACGGGATATTGAGATTCGACCGGCGTTACTCACCTGAGCCACCACTTGCAGCTCAACACTCATGAGGTCCAGAGATATACCTCAAAACGCAGGGTCACGGTGGGGCGGAGAATGAACCATCACGCCCGCGAGACCCTTGCGCAGTTCTGCTCCAGAGTTAGTGCTGCTGGTGTTATCAAGCGAGAAGAACTGTCCGCAAGGCGGGGCTTGACTGCGCCTGTGATGGACGGAATCGGGCCGGAATTGAAATATCTCGGCCCGCTGTCTCCGGGATCCTTGGCATATTATGTTGAGGTCGTCGGCTGACTGCCGGACAGCCAGAACGAGCGAGAAGTGGCAATGCTGAACGGCCTTGTATTCCGCCAGGCGCCTCGCCTCGGGAGCAATGCTCGGGCATTTCTGCCATGTCCACCTTGCAACTATTTATCCCAAACGGATGCGAGACGAGGTTGGCAGCGAGTCTCGTACGACACTTGTCGCACCTCCACCGGCTGCCGCTAGTGAAGCCGGAGGTTGGAGGCCGGAGCAGGGGGGACGGAGACCGAGCCCGCTTGGCTGATCAATTGGGGGACGGGACGGACCATCGGATCGAGAAAGGTTCGCTTGGGGGTCGGGCTCGTTTCCGATTGGCAACGCAATGTTGATCGTTGTGTCCGATGGTAATCGACCAGCCTGTGAATGGTACGAATGCGGGAAGACAAGGCACTCTCGGTCGAGGAATGGTGTAGGCTCGCATCACGTGATGTGGGTCGTGGGGCCGGCGGCGGGGTTGCCGATTGGGTTGGTCTCCACTCGAGGTTGAATGGGCCGATGATGGGAATAGGTCGGTAGGTACCGATATATATGTGGATATCTGTCCAGTGTTTGGAGAAGTGCAGGTGGGGGATTGAAAAGCTGGAGGCCGCCGTAAGACCAATTGATGAGTTCGCCCGTAGTAAAGGCTTCTCGCACATATTTATGGGAAGACCAGACGTCTTCAGGAATCTTGAGAAAGAAGGGCTGAAATACCTTGACATGGATATGAAGCGCATCATCATCGAACTCCAAGAAGGAAAAACCATGGGTGGATGTATGGCAATGGCACTCGCGGGATTCCGCGGATTTGAGGCCAGTTTTGATCGTCGTACAGCATATCCTTTCGCGCCGCAAGGGCCGCAAGTTTAAACCTTAATATTGTATTGGGCCTCAATTTCGGCAGAAACTGGCCTCAGTGATCGATGGTCGGCGACCTGACCATCTGAGGCCCATTTTGTCAACCAATCAGCACACCGACCGCTCCAAAAGTAGGCAGGTCGCTCGTCCCGGCCTGCCACATGAGAAAGTGAGGCCAATTTTGGGCTCCGTAGGATCTCGCTCAGGAGAGAAGCAGTATTGCGCAGCTGAAGTAGACAAATGAAACGCACAAGAAATTGGTTCAACGTTGGGAGGGTTTTGAGGCCATTAAAAGAATGGGCCTCAGTTGCCCCGTCGCTCCCCATCCGATGGAACTTAACTCCGATCTCACCACACCATCATCCGATAGAGCAGCCTGGTCCCAACTTCCAAACGGTTAATGTTCCCAATTCCGAATCGATGACTCATGCAAAGGTCTCCTGGGGCTTCGCCATGTCAAGGCAACATACATCGCCTGCTCCTGATCCTGCAGTTTCCAAGTCGTAGGCCAGGCGGTGGTGGTAGGCGTGTATATAACCAAGGCTGTTCCCATGGCAAACTAAAAGAATCGTCCTGGAGTTGGGACATGGCTGTCCTACAACCATCACAAGTCCCAAGCCAAAGCCTTCATCGCCTTGTCTAGGCTGGCTGCTGCTGCTAAGCCATTATGGGATGGGGCTTAACCGAGACTTGATAGTCTTCAAGTAGCCCAGGACCGTTCGCTTCATGCACCGCATACGGGAGCAGTCTCCCATTGTACGTGTCCGGACCCAGATGTGTTTCATCAGAGCCTGCTGACGTCTACACTGGTCGTTGGTTAGAACGCACCAGTTATGTCTGCCGAACACGGGAATCAACGAGCCCAAAGCAAGACGAGGAAGCGGCACTCGTCACAACCCGAACACGAACCGGTCGAGATCCCATACGAGAACTTCGTCGGTGCTGTGCTAGGCGGCTGCTTCCAGGTCCAGGGACTGAAGCTCCAGGGCGACCAGCTCGACATCTACTCGGTCACCAACATCCACGGCGGGGATGTCACCTTCGAGGCCCAGGCATTCCCATTATCCTACCCCCTAGGAAAACTGCTCAAGTCGAGGATGAGGAAGGCTAAACGCATGTACCGGTCGCGAAACTTCCAGTGCGAGTTCAACTGGGACGGGAGGAGATTCTTCGTTTCTCATGTTGTGAGGAGCGAGGCGGAGTGGAGGAACCTGGTGGCCGAGAAGGCCGGGCATGTCGACGATGGTGAGTCTGATGAGGAGGACTTCCCTCCCCTGCCAAGTGTAAGGATGCTTGCCATTTCCCGAACAAGGGAAAAAAAAGATGCGCAAAATCGGTCTCTAAACCGAATGCAGGAACCAAATCCCGAGCGCTCCTCACGTCTGCCGAACCGCATCGGTACCGGATCACCGGGCCGCCCGAATTATGCGGAAGCGGCGACAAGGGGCCAGATGCTGGAGGCGAACTCCACCACCTCCAAAGGTGTCCGGCAACGTCGGCGCCGCCAACGGAGGCGGGACGAAAGGGGTTCGAGAGATCGCTGCCAGCAAAACGGCAGGTAAGCGGTCGCCTCCAGAACACTTCCAAATTGCGTGGAGGCTGCATCTGTGCACCTTCTGGCAGGCTCATCCGGGCACTTGCTGGAGGGAAGACGAGGGCGAGGCCCGAGTCGATGCGCAGAGAACGCCATTATGCCGTGTTCTTCTCTCGGAATTCTACGCTTTTTGATGGAAACTACGTTAGGATCATTGAGATCATCATGTCGGACGTTCAGGCCATATCGGCCGGATCTGTAATGAAAGTTAGTCTTGGATATGTACGCATAGCAACAAGTAGAAAAATGAACCCAAATTGTTCCCCTCAGACAATGCTCAATAGTGAAATTGACGCGTATATCAAATCGAAAAAAGGGAACAAATTCTCGTGATGAAGCGGCGATGGAAGGCAGACAGGACGGCAGCAGCTTCCGGGATCCCGGATGTGGAAACCGGAGGTGGCAGCAGTGAAGATGTGGAGCGGGAGAAGATGCAAAGTCAGGAGCAACTCTTGCTTCGGGCCGCGGACGGCGGTGCGGGAAGTGACAACGGGAATGGCATCGATGCAGGGCGACACGATGCGAACAAGGCCAGCCACTAATCACGTGGTGCTTAAATTCCCCAGAACTATGGGCATATATGAGGCTCAAGACACCGCAGTTACACGAGATCGGGAGCCGGTGGTGCAAGCTAGATTGTGTCTTGGCACCATCTGTTGGCCCAAGCTTCCCATGGGCGGCGAGCCATTCTCTAACATTTTTTTTGAGCTCCGTTACACCTCCTAGAGAGCTCTAGGGGAAACAGCTGAGCAAGAAAACAAACAACCTACCTGTATATCACTCCAAAACACGGCACCTTCGCAATTCGGCGGGAATTTTCTCTTCCAAACCTCCCCAACTCCGCCTACCTACCTGCCTGCCTGCATACCCACCCCTCCCCCACCGATCACCAGTGCCCCCGGCCCCCAGCCCAGAACACAAGCCCCCAATGGCCCCGAAAATCACCCCCAAGAACCTAAGCTACGACACCACCCTCCCGCCCTTCCTGGCCCGCATGCGCGGCCAGGCGGGCGGCGCCTACTCGGACTCGCACGACGGCCCGGACCCGATGCTCGCCGCGCGCCGCCGCCCCGCCGCGCCGCGCCGCCTCGACCTCGGCGGCGAGGATGGGGACGACGACGCGCCCCTGGTCGTGGACGAGGGCGGGAATGTCGTCGGGGGCGTGAGCGTTGCGCGGGATGGGACGGTTAGGGAGGAGGAGGAGGAGGAGGAGGCGGAAGGTGGGGGTGGGGACGGTGATGGGCCCGGCGGGGCTGGCGGAGGGGGTGGGGATGGAGGACGGGAGGGCGGAGGCGAGGGTGGTGGGGGTGGGGGCGGTGCTGGGCGGGCTAAGGATGCCGAGAAGATTGCTGCGATTGGGGGCGGGAAGAAGAGGAAGGCCGGGAGGGTCGTTGGCGGGGATGCGGATGCTGATGCAGATGCGGACGGAGACGGAGTCCTGGGTAGAGCGAAAGTGCAGAAAGAGGGCGAGGGAAGTGGCGGTGGGAAAACGGCCGCTGTGCCGAAGATCAAGAAGAAGGCCAAGAAGATCAAGCTGAGCTTTGGTGACGACGAGGGTTGAAAGGAGGAAGACGTGGAATATGGCCGATCACATTCCTCTCTACCACCCAATCCTGGGCTCACTGCTGAGCTCACGGTAGGCTTGGGCAAGCTCCCGTCTGGGAAAACCCACGCCTGGGAAAACCCCCGTCGCCTCAGTTTGGCCTGTCGGGTGACTGTCTGGATGGCAGCTTAGAACCACGCTGGTACCCGCGATACGATACGGGCTCAACGCATTGGCTCCTGACGCGACATGACACGATACGACGCCTGGGGAGGGAAGATCTGGGGAAGGTGGGCAGTGTTATACCAGGTGGTTAGCAACTAAGGAAGCATGTCTCTCGGGAGATGAAGTATGGTGCCACAATGAGTGACACAACAGGAATTCTATAAAGCAACCTTGCCTTCCTCCTCGACTTAATCTACAAGTTCACCTCTCCAACAAACCCCGCATATTCATCGCCCTTGAGCCAACTTCCGTCAGACCCATTGTGCCCATTCCTACCAGTACTGAGGCTTGACGAAGTTGGCAAATGTCTTAGGCTCCTCGAATCCGTGGTGGTCGTGGTGGCCATGGCCGTCGTCGGTGGGTCCGACATACTCCATCTTGTAGACACTGCCGCACTCGGGGCATCGCTCAATCGGTCGCTCGCGAGACATCTAAAAGGCAGGCACGGTGAGCAAGAAGAACACAATTCAAGGTTATTGTCGGTCGAGGGGACGTACACCAAGCCAGGTAACGACGTGCGAATCGGCGGGGACGCCGGTGCAGCCAGCATATTGCTCGTCACCAGCCGAGCGGACGGGGATGGGGTTCTCCATGGTGCCTAGTTGTTTTATCTCAATGGTCAGTGCTCTGCCCATGTCGAGAGTCTTTGGGCGGCAATGGGTGTTATCGAACCTTTTCGCGAGGAGTCGAGGGGGCGCATGTCGAAGATGTCGACGCTCTCCATCTTGCCGAGGATCTCCAGGCGCTCCAGACCCGTCGACTGCTCAATATCGGTGGGGACGGTGCCGGGCTTCGCGCCGGGGCCCACGAGGTCGGTGCTGGACTTTATCTCTGTATCCCAAAAGACAGTTAGGCCATCTGCTTCCGTCCGCCCGAGCGAGGCGTAGAATCGATCTGGTCATGGCTGGGTTGCCCAATGGCACTCCCGACCGGACACAGCAGACGAGGGGTTCATACCCGAGAAAGTCTTGATCTTGGCCGACTGGGCCGACGCATCTTGGACGGCATCGCCTGTATCCGACAAAAAGTCAGCTGGGGAAATCTCCGGGGGCTCGATTGGACCCGATGAAATGACGCTTGCCGCGGGAATTGGAGCTCTTACGGCGGACAGCAGTGGTCGTCAAGGTGCGGCGCACCAGAGGCGAGACGGCAGCTCGGCGCGCAACTGCGACTGCGGATCGCTGCAGGAACATTTTGGCTGCTCAATTGAGGAGTGGAGAGGTGAGGTTGTTTGGTTGCGGGAGAGAGACAATTCAAGTTTGACGAAATGGTCTGATTCTGATTTGACGATGATGGAACTTGGCTCAAGCCGAGCACTTCCAGAGGTCCTTACCTAATCGGGAAATATAGGCGAAGTCACATGAAGATCACGTGCTTCCCTTCAACCCAATTGCCCCTTGACTTCCATGTCTTTAACTTCCAAGTTCCAACTGTATGCAGTTCCAGTTAACTCTCCATAAATTGTCACCAAACTCCTCAGCTACTCGAAGGGGATTCTTGGATGATTATACATTACGTATATGCTGCCCAAATAGTGATATTGGAATCTAGTCGAGGACCCGGGTTCCTCTCGAGGGACATCATTTTGGGGTCTCGCACCGCTCCAAGTGCTTTCTACCCTCGATATTTGACCCTCTTGCATGACGATCCAGCCGCTGTCGATGGGGGGTGGGAACGGATTCGATGAATAGAGATCTCGTCTAAACCTCGACCTCAATTGGAGTCACCCCTGCAGCTTGAGCGTCCGTCCGTCTTTCCAGAGAGGACAGTGAGGCATAGGAGTGGCTGTTCTACCAACCCACGGGCTTTTTTACCTTCTCCAAACCACGCGCGTTCGCGCTCGATCCACGTTTTCCATATTTGCTCTAGCATGGCGAACTCGGCTCTTTCAATATCTCGAGATAACTGGTTGCTGAATCTATAGACGCATCGCCCTTTGTCTAACTAGGTATGGTGTAATAGGGTATTCCGCTCAATCCGAAGGAGTCAAGCCGCAGCCGCAGCCCAGTATGACCACTGGGACATTCACACTCTAGGATTAGATCTTCATCATCATAACTTCTGGGCTCTCGCTTCCCCTTTTCCATCATTAATCGTCCGGCACAACCCATCCTGATACTCGGTCGCAACATGCACGCCATCAGGGCTCCATATCTTGCTCATGACAACCCCCCTCCCGGCGCTGGCCCGCGGGAAAGACACCTCCTGCACCCACCATCGGGGGTCTTCATACCTCATGACCGCCTCCTCGACATTGACATGGACCACAAAGCTGTAGCTCAGGCTCGCCGCTCTTCCGAACCGGAACCCGAACCCCAGGTGGTTCCCCAGCATCAGCAGCCCGTTCCGGTCCGCCTCGAACGCATGCACCAGTACGTGGGCGTTGGCATCCCACCCGTCCGTCCCGTCCGCCGGCAGCGGCTTCAGCAGCCGGTAGAGCAGCAGCTCGCGGCGCTCGTGCAGCGGCCGCCCCTCGTTGTGCGCCGCCATGTCTACCTTGCGCATGTCGACTACGGGAAACGTGCCGACCACGTCGGCGCCGGCCATGGCCACTACGCCGTCGATGTCGATGGGCGGGGCGGGTGGCCAGTCCCGGGCCGGCCGCGACGCGAGCAGCTGCGAGAAGCGCGACTGCGCGGACTCCTCGGCCACGCTGGCGCCGCCGCTGTGCGGCTCAGGCTGCTTGAAGGAGGTGATGGCCGTGAAGCACGGCGGGCCGGCGGGCAAGGCGGCGGCGTCGCTGGCGGGGAAGGGATCGCCTGACGGGTTGGCGCTCTGGGCGGCGGGCTGGTGCGCGGTCACCGTGTAGGTGCTGAAGGTCCGGGAGGCGCTCAGCGGCGAGACGGTGTAGATGAAGGGGCGGTCTATCTGGCCGACCGCGGTGAAGTAGCCGTGGATTGTCTGTAGTCACCAAGTCGGGTTAGAAGACCAGCTTCGGCAACAGAGGGCTGTGTTGTAGGTAGTGTCGTTGCGACTAGTCCCTAGATTTTTATGATATCCGCCACTTGGAGGCCATATGATGCCGGGGAGATGCCTCCATGGAACATCTCCAAGACCAGTCACAGGGCGTGTAGTGATAACTCACATGGAGGCCGAGTCTTTCGTTATTGGCCAGACCCTTCTTCTCCTCCTCCTCTGCTAAAGCTCGGCATGTGGCCAGAGCCCCTTGGCTGTAGACGTTACCACCAAAGGCCGCCCCGTGCTTGACCTTGGCGAACGGCTTTCCGAGACCTGCGAGCCCGGATAGAAAGGGCAGGTCTGACCCCGGGAGCCAAGCGGCTCTCGTTCCCATGTACTTCTTCACAGTGCCCTTGTCTGAGTCCCCAGAGGGCAGTTCCAGGAGGTCCATCGACTCCTGGAAGGACAGTCGAGGATCTGACTCTTGAGGCGCCATATTGGGATTCTAGTTGTCCGACTCCCGGATGATGGCCCTGGAACTGATTCGGGCTGCGAAGAAGAAAAATGAAGCTTGTTGAGCCCAGACACAGCCAGCCAATACCATTCTATACCCCAGCCCCCTTCTTCCTCGATCAACCAACCCGGTTAATATTGCTGTGCAGGAAGATGTAGGACAGCCGGCGAAGATGAAGATGGCAAAGCGATTGATGAATGAATCTTTAAATAGCCTCGTCACAGATCTCGGAACCTACGTATCCTCACTCATCTTTCTCGGAGCTGCTTACATGTTGGCCTGCTCACCTCTGTGGGGATGCCAGATGGCCCGCTAATAAAACTGGCAGAAAGATGCCAAGGCACAACACACGTGGTTTCCGTGCTCTTATCGAACGGCACTCACACAAATGGCCTTAGGTGAGTCTTTGCATCTACCCGACCACAGCTGGAGGGGCAATTCGGCGAACATCGTAACTACTATGGAATAACAATCGAGATTACTATGCAAACTCGTCCATTGGTACCTGGCCTGACTAGCTGAGCAAGATGCTCCTCAAGAGGAGGTGCGAGGATGTGCATGACACGTGATATGACGAGATTCGGCCTTAGGCTTCATTCTTGACCGAGGTCGGAGGACTCGGGGTCTGCCGGGGACGGGATGGAGGCACCACCCACCACCACCACCACCAACTCAAGAACCAGGAGATTCCCACGTGGTGAAACTTGCGAGGATAGCGAGAGCATTGATGGGCATTTATAAAAAGTAGGTGCCAGGGATCCCAACCCTGTACCCTGTGTGTGGGGGAACAGACGTGCCCGCCAAAACTAGCGCCGCGACCCCCCAACGGACCCGGATTCCCAAATCCCACGCGAATGCAAGGTGTGCGAATTCAGGTTAGTTTGGTAGGTCGGATGGGGGTCATACTGTGCAGGTCTGACTCGGTCTTCCCACCCCGGCGGGCCGGGATTTGATATTGAGCGAAGGTGGTGAGGTTCAGGGGGGTTGGTTACATTTTCCAGGGCATCGAAAGGTGACAGCTCACATTGGAGCAAATGAGCTTGCAGTTTTTGGCCACCACAGTTCCATGACTCGTCCAGAAACCTGCCGGCCTTGTCCTAATCCAGGGATTGTTTGCGAGAGCCGAGATCTGGGACATTCCCTTTTCCCGTGGTCTTCAGGCCCGAGACGGCGTCACCGAGGCCCAAGGCTGCAAAGCACGAACACAAACACACGAGATTTCTCAACGCCATATTGTGATGTCACTTTCATATCGTAAAGGTGGCGGGACGACATAAATGCTATAGAAAGCTAGAAAGCAAAAGGACAGGCCCTGCATTGTTTGATATGGGCAAGCTCAGCACAGCCGCTTGTTAGGCGGGAAATACCGAGCGCGGCGTTGAGGACATGCCGTCAGGAGGCTAATATGAATCAGCAGGAGCAAGGTTCTGTTTCTTCTCCTTCTTCGGCCGTAAAGAGGATATCCGATATACTCTTGGCTACCGGATCGGGGTCAAAGATTATTCTTGATGCCCTGTGCTGAGGCAGTGTGGAAGATTTTTTGTCTTTGAAGCCCAGGATCACAGCAACTTGGACTGGATGGCAACCATTGGGAGCTGTAAACCGGGGTCATGCATGTCTTTCCACTGGCGTTCCGCGCATCTGGGAATAGACTAACTTCCACAGGCTACGCCTACAGCGTGCCGCCCCGGATTCGCCCCCATGTCATCATGTTCGGAGCCAAATTCTGGCGCGACGCCAGCCAGAAGAAGGACAGGGCACGCGTCAAGCAAGGATCGTGGCCTGTTGAGCGAGCAACCGTAGCTGGTCGGCGGGGCTTTCTGTGACTCCCCTTCCTTGTCAAGCCCCGGCCAATGGAGGACTGCATCTGCAGAGGACCTTGTATTGGCGTAACCAATGTAGGTTGATTGGTCGAAATATGTGGTTGAACTTGGAGGCAATTTCCATCACCGCGTGACCCTTTTCGATCGAATGAGCATGGTGCCACTCGTATGGATCAGGGCTAATTCGCGGGGAATTGTAGGTACCGTGGTATATTTGCAGGGTCTGAAAGTCTCTTGACTGGAAGGTCTGAATCTTCGATCGTCACAACTCACACAAGCCATCCAAACATCGGCGGGGCGTCTATCTGCTTTGGGAAAATCTCGCATTTGCCCTCTCTGCTGGCGTAGAAGCCAAGTAACAAATCACAACCAAGTAACAAGCAAGGCTCAGGCAGGATATATCCAACGAACAAAGCCGGGCATCCTGTGCAGCTTCCATGTTGGGGAAAGCTTCCCATCCTGGGTGGATGGAAACGCGAATTGTGCTGATCAAGGAGAGAAACATAAAACCTAGCTGCCTAGGTCCCTACCTGGAGGTGGAAGCGAACGGCTTAGCCCGAAGTGGAGAATACCCGGGGAGGAAAGCTAAGGTGCCTAGTGCATGTTTTGTTGGTCTACTGCGTAGCTTCTTCCCTGGAAGGGGCACCCCGGTCCCTTCAGCCAATGGTCAAGCTGCCAATTGTGAACAGGAGAGTGGGGAATGGAGAGGGGGCTGACAGAGATGCAGGGTGGGGATCTTCCTTGCTCGCGTAGCAGAGCCAGATACAGAAACCGCACTAGAGATGCAACCGCAATAATACGCAGAGTAATTGACGAGGGGGAAGGGGGGGAGAGCCGAGGGAATACGGATAATTTAGCACGTTTACTGCATGGCGGTTGTTTCTTTTTTGTTCTGGACAATCCACAGTGGTCAATCACTTGTTTCCTCTCCCCCCCAACCCCGGCCAGCTGGTGTGTTCATCCAGTGTGTTCATCCAGTGCCGTGAGTCCGTGACACTCACCTAACCGAGGAGGTTCCCCTCACACGAGGGGGGAAGCTACTCCGTACATTTTATTGCTTCGTGCCTACCTGTACTGCTACCCTCATATTGTCCCTGCGAGTCGTGTGTGTACCTCTAGCCTCGACGCTCTGGTTGCTTGGCCCGTCACCTGTCGTCACAGCAGCACTTTCGGAGGAGTGCGGATACGCATAAACTGCATTCTTCACTGGTTCAGAGGTCATTGGGTGGGACGATGTCCAGCCAGCAAGCATGGCCTACCCTGGATCACACTGCCGCCCCAATCTAACCTAGTCTAACCCCCTCCCTAACCCCAGTAACACAGTACGACGTACGTACACTAGCTTCCATGTCCAGGGCCTGACCCCCTCTCCGCGTTCTCCACATAATACCGCCTGGCTGGGAAGTGCCCTACCTTCGCCTCCCTTCCGCCCCGGCGGTCCCGATCCCAATAAGTACATCGCGTGCCTCTTTTTGCAACTTCAGCCCTTCGTCCTCCCGCAGAACCATTTGCCCGACTTCGAACTTCCCGCCGACTGGAAATCGCCGAAAAAAGCCGGGGACGCAAGTCACCACCCTTCGCCTCAAGATCTCGGGCACTTGACTATCCGCTGATAATATCAGCCGCTCTACACTCGTTCTCCCGGGAGCCCGACTGGCTTAGCTCCTTTGCCGATATCTGGACGGATCTCTAACGCACTTCGGGTCATCCCGCGGGCCGGAGGGTTCTCAAGTGGCTTCGGGGACAAGACGAGAAAGCATGCCTTAGCCCCGGCCTCCGCCTTCTGTCTCGATTTTGAAGACTGTACCAGGGCACGCCGTGGTCGGAGCGGCAAAGCTTGGAATCTTGGAACCTTGGACCTGTACTCTCGATGCAAACACCGTCTTTGGCATTTGACTCCAGATACTTGGCCGTGTGAAATCGGCCAAGCTCACCTGACAGATGCCATGGTTGTTCAGCTCGAAACTCTCAGCCAGGGTCCGTTCGGGAAGTACGGGCCGAGTCACTACCGGGACATTCCCTCTGATAGTGACGAGGAGGGAAAAGGATTCGGTGCCGACTTCTTCCAAAGGCAAACCATATCCGACCTGAAAGATGGTCTCTCCAGCAAATGCTCCAATCATCGAAGCCCTCACCTCCACGGCTCGTGCAAGTATGCCCATGAGCCGGTCGTCGCAGTCATGCCGACACCGTTGGTGAAGCCTCCGTCCAACAACTCGGGTTCTTCCCCGCCAACTACACCTAGAAGCGGTGAATCCTTGGCCTCTACTGAATCCCCCACTTCCCCGTCGACTTTCTCCTTCAAGCAGCTATCCCCGGTGGCGAACGAAAGCTTTTCTTTCCCAAGCAGGCAGCCCGGAGCCTTGCGGAATACCTTCAAGCGACGCCGACCTGTCACAGATGTTGATGGACCCAACACAGCTTCGTTGGGATGCAAGAAGCGGCGACTCCGAAGGCGTCTCATCACGTCGAAGCTATCACAACCCTTCTCTCTGCCCGCAACACACGTCATTAACCGGGAAGCTGCTGCAATGGGAGACAAGCGGTTCCTCAAGCTGGCGGCTCTTTCAGCTGCTCGGCGCTTGCACGGTGCGACAGCACCGAATCCCCAGCATCATCACGCTAGCCCCTCCTCACTCCTGCTTAGAGCAGCGGTGATCAACAGGTTTAGGCTCAGGGTTCGGAACGAGGCAGTAGAAAGGGGGGATATCAAGGTCGCCGACATCGCCGCCAATGCCGCCCTTTTGCAGCAGAGTCATGGCCTGGGGCTGGTGGTTGGAGCTCGATTTCCCGCGACCTCACCCGCGACCCCTGTTGGCCTTGCGATACACGCGCAACGCGGACCACAGCAGAACCTTCCACGTGTCCTCCCGAGTGCTGCGGTCGAGGCGCGGCTATTGTCCCCTGGAATATCCCCTGTCAGACCGATAGGTTGTGGCCCGGCAGGTTTGAGACTGCCACCATCGCCGAGACTCAGACCCATCCGCTCGCCCGAGCTCAGGACAACAAGACCACCCAGTGACGTTGAGGAGGAGTACGAGATGGATGACGGGGAGGTGGCCTTTCCAAATTCGGAGCACGACAGCCGCTATGACTCGTCGGACGAACCAGACGATGTGTATGCCGACTTCGAGCTCATATTCGGCGGTGGGGCTGGCGACGCGGAATCATCGGATGAAGAGGGCGAACACTACGAGGATGTCATGGATGAGCTCGATGGCATCCCTTGGAGGGCTAGGTGAGAGAAGGGTTGGGAGATAGCTTTCCCTCCCTTCCCTCCCCCGCCCAGGACCTAGAAGCGTCCTTGTCAACATTATTATATATATTACGCATAAGCTTCTTGGGTCCGGGCACTCGGATGGCGCAGGATCTATTTGGGAATTGGGAAATTGGTCCAAACCTTGAATTTGGAAACGCTGGTACGGGGGACAGGCAAAATCTGGGTGGGTGGTTCCACAATTACTTTGGGTTTGATATCTAGGTTTTGGTTTTCAAGACGGCGATCGCGATCATGGATACCCCAATATTGGCCGCTTTGCCAAAACATCAGGATGTATTGCGGTCTTCTGCCGTGGCAACGGATGCGTGGCGTTTATTTAAGGCGGAACGAATAAATCTAGGTTATTGTGTTTGTCTAGGGACAATAAATGTAGGATGCACGCGCACGGGTTTTCTCTAAAACAAGCATCTGTACCTAGGTACTGTATGTACCTCCTTGCATGCATGGAACCCAAATCGAAAACCCCCCCAATCTTAACCTTATCAGGGGATAGGGCTAGGTATTCAGTACCTATAAGCAGTATCCATCCATTCTTAGTCGCTTGAGCCTCCCACGTCACTTCATTGTGGGGGGCCCACCTGCAGTTGAGCCCCACTACTCATGTCAACGACCTTCCATAGAACCTCAAGCTCTTGGTGCATTTTCTCAACGCTTCTTCCTCGCCAATTCCAAGCATCATCTCCTCCCCCCACCCCCCCCCCCCCTCCCCCGATAATAACTCCTCGTTCAGCTCTCACAGCCCACCAACAACCCCCGACCAAGCTTACCAGAAAAAAAATGACGACGACCCCCCTCAACCCCCACGCCGCGCCCTTCCTCCCGGCCATCACCTCCCTCCCGACCCTCCCGGACGCGTCCCTGGTCTCGACACTGGACCTCCTCTTCGAGCCCTCGCCGGAGCTGCGCGCCCTCGCCCTGCCGACCGTGCGCGCCATGTCCTTCGCCAGCTACGCCGACCTCGTCGCCACGGTCCGCGACGAGCTGCTCGCCGTCGCGGCGGCCGTGCGCGACGACCGCGACGCGAGGGCCAGCCTGCACGCCGCGCTCGGGGGGCACCCGCGCCTGGGTGGCGGCGGAGGTGGTGGGGGGATCAGTGGCGGGGAGCAGAGGGGTCTTGAGGGCGCGGGGGACGAGCTGGCGGTGCTGAATGGGGAGTATGAGGAGAGGTTTCCGGGGATGAGGTATGTTGTTTTTGTGAATGGGCGGGGGAGGGATGCCATTGTGGGGGATATGAGGAGGAGGATTGATAGGGGGGATCTTGCGGCTGAGGAGGTGGAGGCTATTCAGGTATGTGGTCCGCCTCGTGATGCGCGCGACAGAAGGATCTGGGTTGGAAGAATTGTGGCTGATAGACTTGGATGTATCATCTTTTCTAGGCTATCTGTGACATTGCGATCGACCGGGCTGCCAAGTTGCAAGCGGCAGTGCCGGCACCGGCGGAGACCTCGTAAACGGTGTATTCCCCGTGGCCCCCCTAATCCGAGGTCTTGTGAACGACATCTTCCCGCTGCTCGCACACATCCTCGGTTCAGCACCACTGCGCACAGCTTCCGAGAGGGATGGCAAATGGCGCAGTCCCTGCTTGCTCTTCCCTCAGCGTCACGATGATACGGACGAGGCAGTTGGAGTCCAGCGGCGCCCGGATTCCACCCGCGGATATATAGATCTGACGTGTCTTGACTCGGCCGTATACCAAAACCAAGGCCGGCACTTTGGAGAGTCGGTCCATCGCGTCAGTCCATGGCAGGCGTGTTTGTGTTTGGTCCTGTTGGAGAATCGCGTGCCGCCGGGCCGGAGGGGTCTCTGAATAGAACCGCAGTCGAGTCGACCCCTTACTTGTTGAAGGTGGCATCTTGCGCCTCCCCACTACTCATCCTCACAACTGTAGATTCGATGGCCTTGGAAGTAAACAGAGAACTAGACTGTCGCGGTATGAGTCACTGCGTACACCGGCGATTATGATAAATTTTATGCGTTGTGCAACCTTTTCAACCGTCAATAGGCTCAGAGGTGGTTCTGGGCGGCATCAGCCTTCTTATTCTTTGATGCGGGCTGAGTTTTAACGCTAACCTTAAGCTTCCGACGTATTCCAGCATTTGATACTTGCCACATGACTTGAATCCAGCCCCTAGGAGGCGGCTTTTTCATGGGGCACCACCGAGGCTTACAACGTACTTCGGCAGGCAGGTTAACTCTGCGGCGCGATCCGGGTTTGATTGGTCTGTTCGCCGCAATCGGTGTTTTTAGGGGCTTCCACGCCGTGGTTGGCCTCAACCCTAATTACCGGGTAAGGATCTGCCAGCACTGCATTATTAAGTTGGCACCTTCCTGTTTGCCAGCCAAGCAAAGGAGGATCCGTAATGGAAAGCCGGATAGCGAAAGCTGATGGCAATCACCTTCCACTCGTCGAAGCCTAAGTGCCTCTCTGTGCTCAGGTGGTCTGCGTGTGAACTACTTGCCTGCCTTGTTTGCGGCCGTGGAATTCGAAAAGGCTGTCAACCTCGGTCGGAGATCGGGACATGCCAACCCTGAATTGACCACCGATATGAATGCCTACAGCCACCTCACATAAGGCCGCGGAAATGCTCTAGCTGTGAATGTTGTTCAATAATTAGCTCTAGACTACGCGCTAGGCAAGTGGGTAGGGGGCCTTTTGCCTCAATCTGTTTCCTCACGAGGGAGGAGTCATCTGGTTCTTGCCTTCCTTCTATGTGTTTCCCCGGCGACTCTTATTCGCTGTGTACTTTCCATCTGACAGGCCCTTTTCTATTGCTCATCTATCTGGTCCTCCTTGATTCTCCCTGATGCTGCTGGTAATCTCTGGTAATCTCTGGAGCTCTCTAGAGCTCTCTGGGGCTCTCTGGGGCTCTCTGATGAATAGGCTTCAACCCCCTTCTAGAAGCTGCTCTGCAACGAGTCGCCCTCCTAGCCGAGGCTGCAACATCCATACACAGAACCCAAATCTCTGAAAAGGGTAATTCCGTAGCAAGGCCGGAGATCAGTGTGTAGGTTTCACTGGAAAATACCTCTTCCGCAAGTCTAGTTGCCCCTTCTCGTGCAACTGCCTGCCCACCTACTGGTATAAATGCCTGGCATCTGTCCTACCTAGTAGGTGGGCAGACACAAGACTACTTTCAACCACTTGAAGTATTGAATCTCTTAAATCTCTGAACATCATGATAGTATGGTGCCCGACATACATTCACTGGACGACAATCGCGAGACCGAGCATCAGCTCTCTTCTATTCGCAACGAACTCGATGAGTCATGGACATCCACCACTACCATGTCCACCAACCCTCGCCTTGTTTCCTGTCTCTCTAGCGAAGCGAAAAGGGACGACGGCCTCACGAACGGTACGCCCTCCTATAATGTGGCCACGCCCTCACCAGCTGAGGGAGGAACGTACTTGCAACCCGTGTCTGGCCGGCCGTCTGGCCCTGGTGCGGCAGCCCATCTCGGGGGATACCCGCCCTGCTGGTGCTCAGATCCCGGTACGATGGGTGCCATGGGAACAATGGGAACAATGGGAAGTCAGGCTGCTGGGAATCAGGGTCTTGCTCCTCTGTTTGAATTGAATCATGCTCCGTATTGCACTCAACCCCGTCCACTGCCATATCAGTCGGCTTCTTCGGTCTCAACTCAGAATTTCGGCTTTCCAACACCTGTTTTCGATGCGCCTTATGTACAGGCTCTATACAATTCTTTTTGGCCGTACGGTTCGGGTCCTTGGTACGGCCAGGTTCCTTATAGCCATGCTTATGCAGCCCCGGGAGCCAGCGACTACTATTTCAACACCCTCCCTAGCTATGGCGGCAACCCTGGTGCCCTCCACGACTGGAATTACAGCGACCTTTCTCTGCCAGAACTTCTTCAAGTCTCCGACCACGATACGGCTGCCGAGAGCCTCAAGGCCGAGAAGTATCCGTCGCCTGCTGCCACTGCCATCGACATGGTTCCCAGCACCAAAAATGGGACGGGAGACAAGGATGGGAGCAAAGTAAGCGACGAGGATAAAGAAAACGGCGTCAATGGGCATTCCGATCCGCTTTTGGAGAAGGTCGATGAGCTTATCGGTGGGGCCTTCGAGGGGGCTTTCCGCAGGAAGTTCAGTCTGTCCGTCGACGAGGGCTACGACAGCGAGGGGATCATCGTGAAGTGTATCGAATATAAGAATCGCGACGAGGAAGACGATGTGACAATCGTTTATGACGACAACGAGGTAAATGGACGGCGGTTCGTTGGCAAAGATAGGGAGTTGCTCTTTTCGGGAAGGTGGAGAGCTCAGCCCAGGCTCAACGAAGGCTTATTCCCCTAGAAAGCAAGGACATTGGTTGAGTCAAGTGCTGTCTCTTCCATCTCGGAGTTGCCATGTAATTTTCTAGTTTAAGTGTTGGTGGCGTCGCCAGAATATGGAGGGGGCAATAGACGGCGTGTGTTTGCTGTCTGATTCCAAACTCTCTCTTGCTGTTCCCCTGGATTCCCATCTGTGACTCAATGAGCGTTTCTAGGTGGTGTGTGAATTGCAAACAAACCTAATAATAACTCATCAGAGCTTTCCAAGCCTCTGAATGTAGTGACCAGAGGGACCCTTGAACTACACAAACTGGGCGCTTGATTGCCTGTTTCCTTGGATACACAGCACAGCCCCTGAATCATAGACTGATTTGTTTTCACTCGGAGGTCGTTTCACAGTTGAGCAAATGATAAAACATTCCTGACTCTTCTTCAAGCATTTAACTACATGTATCTTCCGAAGGAGAGACACCCAACAAAAGATTTAAAAAACTATCCGTTGCACCCACGAACTTCCCGAAACATTCTTCTCAGAAAACCACTCTACATCCCGAAGGCGAGCTCATGACCAGGGGCAAGAAAAGCCGTCTGGAGCTGACCAGACCCAAGCGAAAGTCCCCCCACGACCGCACCTGCAACTCAGACTGCCACCTACAATCCCACCACAAGAGCTGCGAGGACGGACACCGCCGCCACCACCACGGCAGCAGCGGCAGCAGCAGCAGCATCAGTAATACCAGCCCCCATCCCTGGAAAGGCTACATCGTCCGCCGCGCCGGTGACAAGATCCCCGGGCGCCACGCCTGGTGCGATACCACCACTACCCGGCAAAACACCACCCAGCACCCACCCACCCCCACGACCGCAGCGGCTCCAACCCCGCCGCCGGCCATGTGGCACGGCGAACCGGACACGGCGGCGGGCCGACTGTCGGGCCGCCGCCCGGCGCAGGCGGTGGCGGCGCCTGCCCTCCTCGCGGACGCCGTCGCGGCTAGGGGTAGGGCGAGGGAGGACTGTGGTCGGGGGCATAGACACCGCGGGGGCGGTGGCCGTGGGAACGGGCCGGCCCCTTGGGTGTCGCCTGTGTTGCCTGCTGGGGCGGTGGGGCGGGGGCGAGGGGGCGGGAGGGATGGGCGGGGGGTTCGGGGCAAGAGGTCGAGGGGGGCGAAGGTGGGGTTTTGCTTTTGGTGTTGTTGAGGTGTTAGGTGTGAGGTGGGTGGTTGGGTGGTTGGGTTTGGTGTTGTGCGTTTGGGTCGTTGATTCGAGTGGTTTGGTTGGACGGGTGATATCGACCTCCGGGAGAATATTAATGTCTGCTCAACTCTTGTCTTTAAGCTGGGATGTTGGCTCTCTTGAGTTGCGGAGGAGGTTTAATGAAGTGGTCTTCATGTGGGATGGGCTGTTGAGGTGCTCCAAGGGGGTGGCGAAGGAGCCGGTGAGATGGTCTTGCCTTTAGCTGTCCAGGTTATGAAAGGGTAGCTTATGTCGACGAGAAGACCCAGCGAATACAACTGCTATGACTTTGCTAATGTGTATCCAAGGTCTCAAAAATGGATGTGGTATGAATTTGTATATGTGAAGTGTGTGAATATAAATCAGAGTGATCAACCACAGGCGGTGGGCCGGGTTGGCTCATTCGGAGCAGACAGTGATATTTCGGACGACATTTTCCTGGTCGGTCTTGAGCTCGATCCCTGGGTTGACAAAGCGTTTCCATCTTCAGTTTTCTCATTCTCCTTTCCCGCTTCCCACTCGGAAATCTCCCTACAAAGGAGACTACAGGACATCCAGCGCTTGTCGACCAGCAGCAACAAGGCTGTTGGAGCCATTGACATCTCCGGCCGCATTCCAGTAGAACAGACCGGCCAGGCCCATAGACTTGACGTAGCCAGCCTTCTGACGCACCGTAGCAGGCACATCAAACGAGACGAACCCCTTCCCACCCTCCTGGTCGTCCACAAACGACGCCGCCCCCGACTCGTCGTCGACGGTGGCATTGGTGATCCAGGCCCCGGGCAGGTCGCTGTACTTGACCGGATCGGAACCCTCCTTCTCGAACGCATCGCCGGGGCCGCTCGCGCCAACGAAGCATCTCGCATACGCGGGGACGCCGAGGAGGATCTTCTGCCTCGAGAAGCCGTTCCTGACCAGGCAGTCAACGCCGAGGTGGCACGACATGCGCGGCTGGGAGGAGTCCACGGCGACGCCGGTAGTAGGGAGGAGGCGGGCTTGGTGGCCCGAGAGGGCGGACCAGGGCCCCGCGAAGTCGTAGCCCATCAGGTTGAGGTAGTCGAGCACCTGCGAGGCTGCCGTTAGGTTGATGTGGCTGAGGCAGTCGACCGCGACCGGGAGGGCGGCGGTGAGGAGGTATTGTGGCTCCGGGAGGTGGGCGCGGAGTATCTGCAGGAGCTGGATGAAGTTGGCCCCCTCCGAGGCGTCCGACGGATGCTCCCAATCGACTTTGGCCTTTGGTCAGCCACTGTTCTATTCTGAGGGGAGGATGGAGACGAGATGCGGAAAAGAGGGGATGTGAAAGGGAGGGTGCTGGGAGGGGACAGTACTATCCACACCGTCCAGTGAGTATTCATCAACAAACTTCCGGACTGCTGTCGCAAAGGCAAGTCGGGTCTGATCACTCGCGGCGACGGCCGGGAAGTCCTTGCTGCCGCCACCGCCGCCCACCGACAGGACAGTTGTCAGGTGGCTGTATTCCCCCTTAAGCTTGGCCAGGGCTCTCAGAGAGCCTCTTTCCCCGTCGACGAGCATTTGGTCATCGGCCCACGCATCCGCAAACTAGGCAGCTGGTCAATTAGTGTGCTCCGTTGAAATGAGACCAGAAGGAAACAAGAAGGAGCAGCTCACGTCCAGTGTCCCATTCTCGTTGGGTCTACAATTTAGCCCAAGTCAGTGAGTGGACTTGGCATCCTTGACATGCCCTTGAGAGACACTCACCTTGCAAAGGCGTAGAAGACATGGGTGATGGAGTCAACCGGCAACGTGGAGGGCGGGCGATTGGCATACACCGCCCACGATGGATAGTATACGGCATTAATGGCGGAAGTGCTGAGGGCCATGGTTCACGTTGAGAGCGTTTGCCTCGTGGATACATGATGGCGGCAGGGAGGGGGGAGATGGAGAGGTGGATGGGGTGGATGGGGTGTATGTTTACGAGGAAAGGGATGGAAGAATCCACAAAGCCATTGAGAAAACAAGAGGGCTAGACGTAAGCCGGTACTACCGCATGCACATCCTTGGAAATGCTCACTGTCGCGATGTCGAACATGCGCCCTCCCGTGTGAGTGGGTTGCAAATCCTCATCGTGATTGGCCATGTTGCATCCCATATGCATCATCCCCACAACGTCTGCGTCTGGCGTCCCAACTACGAAGATACGCATTCCCTCACCCTCACTTGTGCACGCAATACCAGGTCTAGCCTAATAATATTAAAGTTAGTCAAGTCAGTCTTCGGAGCCTAGATCGCCAGAAAACCATGGCCTCCTCTACCACTCACAAGCTGGACTTTATCACAGTGGATGTCTTCACCGAGATTAAATTTCTCGGGAACCCCTTGGCGGTCGTTTTGGTGCCGGCTAGTCTCAGAGACAGCGTCACGCAGGAAACCAAGCAGCGCATTGCCCGGGAGTTCAACCTGTCGGAGACCGTCTTCCTCCACACGGCGGATACCGAGCCTGACGCGAACAGTAAGATCCGCGAGATTGACATCTTCACCACCGAGGGGGAGCTCCCTTTTGCCGGCCACCCGACCATCGGCTCCGCATATCTTGTACTGAGCCACCTACGATGGTCTCACGTGGACACACTGCTCACCAAGGCCGGGCCGATCCGGATCGCGCCAGTTGAAGGCGCGGGTGGCGTTGTCAAGGCAGCCATCCCGCATGCCATGCATGTCCACGGCCAGACCCTGCGGCGACTCTTGGATACGGTAGCGCCCGAGACTAGGGAAGTCGTGGAGGCGGCGCTGTCGGATGACCCGGAGATCCGCAACGCGGAGCTGGACGGCCGTCCCGTGAGCATCGTCAGGGGGATGACCTTCCTTCTCGTCCAGCTGCCCAGCGTCGAGCATCTGGGGGGTGTGACGAAGGCGAGGCGTATGGACTTTGGCGCCGTCCCCGGCCTTTTGGACAAGGGGGAGTGGGAGGGGGGTTTCGTGGCGAGGTACTACTACTCTACGCCCACCACGTCTCTTGGGGCGGACGATGGAAAACTGGTTTGGGGGATCAGGACGCGGATGGTAGAGCTGGGGTTTGAAGATCCGGCAACTGGGAGCGCAGCTTGTACCCTGGCGAGCTACTTGACCTTGAGGGAGAAGCCTGCGAACGGCGCAAGGTTCGAGATCACCCAGGGAGTGGAGATGGGCCGTGGAAGCCAGATATCAGTTGAGGTGGTCCCAGAAGGCGTCCAGGACGGCGACTTCCGAATCAAGGACGTCTTCCTCGGGGGGACGGCTATCGTGGTCATGAGCGGAACAATCTCGATTTAGATCCACTTTTTTTGTGAGCATCCTTGTTGGGAATACGGTAAGCATGGTATAGCAAAAGGATGTTCCAACGAGATGCAATTATTCATTTCATCCCAAATCAAGCCGCATGGTGGCACATAGGTAATTATGCCAAGAAAAAGCTTGGCCCTGCTCGTTGCCAGTGGATTGGATTCGAGCATTGCAGCGGGATGTCACCTGACCGAGGTGGTCCCTGCGCTGGCGCGCTCTCAGCCTTCTCTTTCTAAGATGCGGCTGCCAAAAAAGTCCTGGAGAGAAGGCAGTTGGCGAACCAGAATCCAAAACTGCTGCAACAGGATCAATCAATCACGATGCTGTGCGCAAGTACGTGTCCGGAATACTCCTCTTAGTACTGGATCTCCGCTGACCAGTTCTACAGTTTCGGGTGAAGCTCCTGAGGAGCCGGTTGTCTCCAAGAAGACAGGTTTGTCAAGCCAAAACAAAAGCGACCGCCGTCCCCCATCGTTACTGACAACCCTCCAGGTACGGTGTTTGAGAAGCGTCTTATCGAGAAGTACATCCAAGAAAACGGAAAGGACCCAGTATCAGGCGAAGAGCTCGATCTCGAGGACCTCCTTCCCATCCAGTCTGCCCGCATTGTCCGCCCGAGACCGCCCACCCTCACCTCCATACCTGCGCTGCTTGCTACCTTCCAGAACGAATGGGACGCGCTTGCGCTGGAGACGTACAATGTCAGGGAGCAACTCGCGCAGACCCGCAAAGAATTGGCGACGGCCTTGTACCAGCACGATGCTGCCGTTCGGGTTATTGTGAGACTGTCGAAAGAGAGGGACGAGGCAAGGGAGGCGCTATCCAAGGTCACCGTTACCGGTGGCAAAGCTTCCGACGGAGACGTGATGATGGTCGACAACGAATCCCTTCCCGAAGATCTTGCCAGCCAGGTGGACGATCTCCATAAGAAGTGCGAATTCCCTCCAACCTACAAGCTTTGGCAATTGCTAATCTGTTTCCATTTTGCAGACTGTCTAAGGGTCGCAAGAAGCGAGCGGTGCCCGGGGGCTGGGCGACGTCGGACGAGATCTCTTCTTTCAGCCAACTTAGCGCCGGCAAGGTTGAACTGCAGCCGTCATCTCTCGCGCTCGACGGCGATGCCGGCGATAATGCTGCGATCGGCAGCGTGCAGGGAGATGTTGCCGTCTATTCCCTGAAAGAGGGCAAGACAGAGCGAACACTACATATCGGCGAACATGTGACGGGCTCGATCTGGACGGATAATAAAGTCATCTTCTCCACTCTCAAGGGGTCGGTCAAGGTATTTGCGGATGGGAGCGAGGTTGCTTCCTTCAAGGAGCATGCCGGCCCCGTCACAGCCATCTCTCTTCATCCCGGGCGCGACATAGTTGCGTCGGTCGGCCTGGACAAGAGCTTTGTATTCTACAGTCTCAACGCCCTGGCGAGGGTCTCCCGGATGTATACGGATTCCGGTAAGCACCGCTGGTTCTCGAGCCGCACCTGGATGAGCCGCACCTAGATCGATCGCTAACTTCTTGGTAGCATTGACGGCGTGTGCATTCCACCCTGATGGTCATCTGTTTGCCGCCGGCACTGACACGGGCGACATCAAAATCTTCGCCACCAACACTGGCGAGCAGGCGGCGGTCTTCAGCCTCGGCACCGCCGTCCAGGCACTGACCTTCTCCGAGAATGGTTTCTGGTTCGCAGCCTCGGGCAAGGACCAACCCAGCGTCACCATCTTCGATCTCCGCAAGGAAGGTGAGGCCGCCAAGGTCAAGGAGTTGGCAACAGGAGAGGCGCGGTGCCTGGCGTGGGATTATTCTGGACAATTCCTTGCAACTGCCGGACCGACCGGTATTACAGTCCAGCAATATCTGAAGAGCTCCAAGAAGTGGTCGGAGCTTTTGCAGAGCGGCACCCCTGCCTCTGATATTCGGTGGGGACCTGAGGCGAAGTTCCTGGCTGCGGTGAGCGAGGACGGTACTGTTAGGGCTATCGGGACACCGGAGACTGCCTCCTAGTCGCCCGTAGAATACATTTTGCCCCTTTACTCTTGTGTCTTCACTCTTGGTTTTTACCCTTGGTCTTCACACCCCGCAGGCCTCCCTTGGTGGACATATTCGGAACCGTCAAGAATAGAAGCAAGTTGGAGGAAACAGTGGCTTGGGGTTGTTCAATGGGTTTTTGTACAGTACAGGGGCAATTATTTGGTTTACATGAATGCTTTCGGTGGCGAAGATAATTGCCAGTGAGCAATTAATGGTCCCCAGTTGATTAAATGCTCTTCACCTGATTGGATTCGGAGAATGTACGCATTATGTGTACGTACCCCGTACAATAGAAAGAATCAGTCAGTACACCTGGGCAATGGCGTCAATAGGGAACAATAGAGGGTGGCGGAATTTCTTTTTTGTTCGGCAGGGCAAAGCTTAATAAGCCCCGCGCTTAGGGCGAAGCGCCAGCATCAACATCATTTCGAAGCCGATTCTGAACTCTGAGAGCTTCCAAACTTACTTCTCCATCTTCCCCTCCTTCCTCCCTTCTTCCCACTCTAGGAGATTCAGTGGGGGACGTCTGACCAATTCTACCACCTTAGTGCAAACCTTTTAATTTATTTCCCTCTGCCATCGCGCGGAGAAGCCGGTCTTGTCTTTTCAATTGACTTTCGATCTTTGCTACCGCCATCTCGCGTTCATTATTGCGATTCCAGCGATTCCCCCATTCCCCCATTCCTACCTTCCCTACTCTACCCTATTCAGGCACTTCAATGCTATAAAGTATCGAGGATCCTCATTCAATCATGGACCTCGCCTTCGCGTTTGCTCCCGGCGTCCGCCTTGACGAGGGCGACTTCGACGACGTCGTTTCCGAACCTGCCATCCGCCTTCTGGACTCCCCTTCTTCCAGATCCACTTACTCAGACGGGCCCTTCGCCGCGTCCCCCTTGGGAGACGACGAGGCCAACGACTCCGGCGTGGAGTACGAGAGAACCCCGACCCCCGACTTCAGCGACCCCGATCACGACCCATCGAGCCCCGTCGAACCCCGAAGCATCAGTCCCATGCTCGAGTCCGATTCTGAACTAGACGAGCTATCAAACCCCAGCGACCCCGATCACGACCCATCGAGCCCCGTCGAGCCCCGGAGCATCAGTCCCTCGTTTGAGTCCGATTCTGAACCAGACGAGCTATCGCTCCCCAGCGAATACCGGATCAACAGTCCCGATTACGAGCCTGGTCCCGAACAAGAATACCCATCGAGCCCCAGTCGAGCCCGGAGCATCACCCCTCCTTACGAGCCCGAGGCGCCAAGACAGCGACCCATAGACCCCTCCCTGGGTCAACCCGAAGAAAACAGAAGGCGTCTAGAGGAGCTCCGAGCCCAGATCGAAAACCTCCGACAGTCACGCGTCAGATTAGCAGAACAAATACGGCGGGCGAGAGCTAGCAGAGAGCAGGTAGAGTGGCTGTTTGAACAAAGAGGCGAGCAGAGGGAATCTCCCCCGTTCCTGTTCGGCGACCCTCCCCGCGGACAATTGCGGCAAGATCAACCTCTGTTCTTCGACCCGTACGACGACGGAGCTATGCCACAACCTGACAGACGACGCATTGACCGGCTGCAAGTGCCTGAGGACGACCTGGTCGAGATGGAAGTTGAAAGGGTCCGGGAAAGGCGGCGCCCGGCGGCGCCCCAGGTGATCGACCTTACAGAGGAGCCTGACAGCCCCCGGCAACAAACCCTCACTCTTCCCGACCAACCTCGATTTATGAGACAAGCTGCCCGGCCCGGCCCACCTCACCATCTGCATCGGGATCCTCAACGAAACCAGAACCAAAACCCACGGAGGCACATGTCGCAGAATCATCGAACACCCTCCCTTACTCGTAGCGATGGCAGCCTGCTCGGCCCTGCCGGCGGGGTCCCGGTGATCGACCTCACCGACGACTCACCTGGTCTCCCAGAACCTCGTCACAATGCTCGGAACCATGCACGACCACGCCAGGGCCGGCAGAGGAACCACGTGCAAGCCGAGGAGGAGCCGGCCGACTTGTTCAGACCTCTCGCACACCAGATCCCGGGCAGACAACACATTGGTTTTGCTCTCGTTCAGGAATTTCGCAGATTCAACCATTTGTTTGGCGCCCCAGACGTCGAAGTGGAAATCCTTGGTCACAACCCGCCGCCTCACTTGCTGCCCGTCATGGAAAACAATCCGTTGGCCGACAATCCCGTGAACTTCAATTATCAGGCGAACGGTTTCAACCGAAATGCAGCGCCCCCGAAGCCTGTACACGTGCCTCCCCCGGCGGCTCGGTCCGGCTTCACGCGAGCCACAGGTGAAGATCTGGCTGTCATCTGCCCGAGTTGTGAGCAGGAGCTCAAGTACGACCCCAATGCCGACGAATCTCCCCCAGCCAAGAGAGCCCGGAGTCGGAAGGACCGAGAGGAGCATCACTTCTGGGCCATCAAGGCCTGCGGACACGTGAGAAATCCTTCCTTCCTTGCCCAGTTTAAACTCCATTCACCCTGTTAACCTGACTCTCCTAGGTCTACTGCAAGAACTGCTACGAACACCGCAAGTCCACCGCCAAGTCCTCGGTGAAAACGACCTTCCGCGTCGCTCCTGGCCGCAAGGTCCTCTGCGCTGTCGATGACTGCGACTCGGATGTCGTAAACAAGGGATCCTGGGTTGGCATCTTCCTGTGAAGTCCTTCCGCTCCGGATACCGAGAGGAGACACACAACTTCGGCTTTGGTTGACTGGAAACTGCGACTTGGTTCTTGGTATTCCTTATGTCACCTCGACAGGGTTCGGATGATGGAAGAAGGGCGGTGGAGGATGGAGGATCCCATCAACCAGTTTCGGACCTACAACCGCCCGTCCGCAATTTTCTTAGTTATTCGGCGCTATGAGCCGTCTCTTCTTCAGCGGCCATTTCTTTGCGGCACACGTTGCCCTCACATTTGGCACCATGATTTTACTTGCCCCTGTATGATGATTGCATGGCTGGGGCGCAAGGGGCATGGTTTGATCCCGGGAATAGAAGGCTTCCCCGGATGGAGGTGCATGCATGGTTCGCCTGGTTTTCTTCTTCGTCTCATTTCCTTTTCTGAAGAGACACTACACTACCATGGGGGACCGCTGATGGACGGTATGGATCCTTATGGTTCCCACCTGTATCTCGCTATAGCTAGCAACCCCTCTAAGCATCTTCCTGGCAATGCGTCACTGATTGGTGTGATGTGCTGACGGCGAAGAGAAACATTGCCATGGGATGCTGGCTTAACCACCCTGGGATCCCTTCCCTCTCTTCCGTCCATTCTTTGGTTTCCCTTCAGCGCCTCATACACATGCTAATGTTGGCACAGATTACCATCTACACCGCACCCCCGTTGTGTGTCCTGATATTTTTAGGCCGGCAGCCTTCTCGTCTTGAACGGTCTCATCCTTTGTTGTTTGGATCCAGGGTCTTCGCCTCTACCTCGAGCCTACAGCCCACTCTTTCTCTATTCCCTTTCTATTGTTCTCCCATGCCTGGTTGGTAACCACACTCAACCTACCGCAGGGATGGTCTGTTTTGTCCTTGGGACCGTCTCCCCTTTTTTTCTATCCCACGCATGGCCAGAGCTACTCTCTTCCCGCTTCTTGCTAGCATCTCCCCTTGTTGTCGGTCTACGCACATCTCTCGATCCAGGGCCGTTTGCTTCTCTGTTCTTTTGCGGACCAATTGTCCAATGGCGGAGCGTAGCCTCGCAGCCATTCAATGTCAATTGATATCCGAATCTATCTAGCCACCTCCACAGCGTGCCTCGCGTGTGGTGGTTGCTGACCTGGAGCTACCTCTATCCCGAATCCGGGCTGACCTTCATGATCAAGCCCCTGACCCTGTGCTTCAGCAGCGACATTTCCGTGGTGGGAGCCCCGGGGAGCGCCTCGATCAGCTCGAGGATCTCCTCGAGCTCCGCAAGATTGGAATCCCGCAGCCAGGACACCCCGCAAAGCGGCATGACGGCATTGAATCTGGCCCGGATCCACTTCCGTCGGAGACGGCCCTGGGCCTCGTCTGAGTCCCCGGTGCCGAGACCGATGGTCTCGCCTTGGTCAGCCGCACCGTCGTCCACGATGGCGCCGGACATTTCATAGACCGGCATGCTCCCGCCGGAATGGGGCGTCTCCTCCGCCGACTCGCCATCATCACCGCTGGTGTCCACATCGACCGCCTTCCCGGCTAGCACCCGTGCCACCCGCTTCGCCTCGACGGCAAACGTCCGCGCTGCGGCTGGGAAGCTGCCGCGCACCGGTGGCCCGCGCTGCAGGGCGTGGCTGGTATTGTCGCTGATCGAGCCGAGGGCCGAGAGGCAGTTCTCCATGGAGGTCGTCAGCGCCAGGATCTGCGACTGCGTCGGCGTCTCCTCCGCGGCCGGCTGTGGTCTTCCGTCGTTGCCATCGTGGGCGCGTACGTCCTCCGAATCCTCCCGCGCGCGAGGGAAGGCGTATCCCGGTAGGTGGGCCAGGCAGTACTTGAACACCTCGTATTTTAGGGCCTCGAAGGGCCGGAGCACCGACGTTGGGTCGTCCTCGGGGTCCGGGTTGGGGCCCCCAGCGGCGCTGGTGGAGCGGGCTTTCGCGCGGAGCGTGTAGAGCTTGCTCGCTTGAGGGGCGAAGGCATTGGACTCGCTATTCCAGCGGTGCATGAGGTTGTCGAGGTGGGCTTTGGTGGGAACAACGCTGGTTGTGGTGGGGCTTTGCTCCTGCTTGGATTGGATGGGCTGGGACTCCCCTGGCGAGCTGGTCTTGGTTGCAGGATCGCCGAGTGGCAGTTGCTGAGCTGGCTTGGTCGGCGTGCCGCTGTGGTGGTTGTCGTTGGTTGCCTCGGTGACTGGACTCACGGCCCGATGGGCGTGGTCGTCTGGGTGGTGGCTTGCCTCACGCATCAGAATGCTTCTGGGAGGGTAATGCCCCTCGACAAGCCTGCGGGATGGTGATGCTTTCTTGCTGTTGTGGTGGGCTTCCACGGCTTCGGCTTCCATCTGATGACCAGTGGAGGCGAGGTGCTGTGCATTTCGGATGCAACTACGGGGAAAAAATTTGAGCCCGGAATTGAAGAGGTAGGTGACTGGGCACAAGTGAATGCGAAAGTGAAAGCGAAAGTGAAAAGCAGGGTGCAACCGATTCACTAGCATCCCTGAACCTGCCCACTGCTTGGCCAGGCATTGTCTACTGTCCTTGCCTTGGCTAGCGTGAGGAGACAAAGCTGTGAAGTTGCATATGGGTTCAACTGTTATAGGGTTGTCTCAAGTTTGAATAATAGCAATCCAGACCCTCCTGGGAGCAGTGTGCTCCCTTTTCCGTGCATCTAACTTCCGATTCCTCGCCGACAAGATCAGTCCAATGGTAGGCTAGTAAATCCATCAACTTGGTCAGAGAAATGTCGAGATGGTCCTTCAGAATGGTAATAAGTACCGTAACTGTGAATAGTCCATCTCGCCGTGACTCTTGACATCTCTACACTCCTCTCCAGATATGAAACCTTGTCTACAGGTCGGGTTTGCCCTCCAGACTTAAGCAACCTGTCTGATCAGCAAGAGGAGCGAACCTAAAGCCCCTGTGCAGACCAGCTTTACATACTCATTACTGAGTCCAGGGATCTACCCTTCTCGAGAAGCGGTAGAGTGTGAATGCAGCAGCATTGCACTTTCTTTTCGTCCATTCTTGTCCGAGTTGATGGCCACATCCTTGAGCCAGCCGCGCCCTTCCGTCTCTTCCACTGCTATGCTCTCCGTTGTAGGTCTTACTTTTTGGGCGCAGGGAAACATACCTAGTCAAAACGGCTGTCAATGTAGGTAGTTCCCGTCCTTAAGTCGATGGGAGATGGAGATGGGATGGCATGTGACATGGGGTGCAGTTCCAAGTCTTAAGGTGCCCCGCCATTGCGTCATGTGACTCCCCACCAGCTTCGCGTCAATCGGCGAAGCTTCAAATCGCGATGTGACGCGCCGCTCCCGTGTCTCCACGACCAAATCTCAACAAATCGGGACCTCCTGTGACTGCTCAGTGAGCATTCTCTGACCACAACGATGCAAAAATGCGGCAGAACACCTTCACGATCGTGCCGAATCCGCTGGGCATGCAAGGCCTCATCCAGCGACAAGCAGGCGAAACTCCGAGCCGACGCCCGATGACATCGAAGCAAGCACAGAAGCTCTACAAGCAGGCAACCCGACAGCCTCGTATTTCCAAGGCCGAACAGAGGCGACGTGACAAGGAAGAACAGGAACGCATACGAAAAGAATTAGAGAAGGAGAAGCAGGCCGCCAAGGCTCGCTCGGCCAGGGAGAAGAAGAAGGTAAAAGAGCAGCAGGCCCTGGAGGACAAGAAGCGGAAAGGCCTACCCATCGTCGACGTGCACCCCAGCCAAGATACAATCTCACGGTTTGTGAGGGGGAACGGCGTGGGAAAGAAGAGAGACTCCGCCGGAAACCAGTTCAATCTCCGACCGGTTGCCGAGGAGGAAGAAGATGCAGAATCAGCGACAGAGGGACTATCGGACGAGGAGGGGAGCGTGGAAACGATCCAAACAGATTCAGAGATCCCAGCTGCAGCAGCTGAGCGACAAGATTCTCGGTCAAGAGAGTCCAAGCGGCTGCGGGTAGACGCTCAAGAAAACCCCTCGAAAGAAGAAGATAGGGGAGAGGACGGGGAACAACCCGGGGAGAGGTTTGCTCCGGTTCTAATCAGAAAGCTTTCCGAGCAGAGATCGAGGGAAAGTAGTATAAACATCGACGACCCGACCATCGAGACCATGGTCCAGACTCAGCTGATCTCTGAGGCCAGCGCCGCCGCGAGCAGCTCAGTCAGACGGCCTCAATCACCCAAGGAGCCTCCAGTTGTCCCTCCCACTCACATCAGCCATAATAACGAACTAAAAGAAGCCCAGAAACAGAGTCCTGCCGTACTTATCAGGGTGTCGAGCGAGAAAAGCCCCAACGGGGCAGTTCGGAACCCCCCTCAACTGCGGCCGCTGTTCCGAGAAGTTCCCATAGATGCCTTCCTCATCCCGGGACTGGAGGAAAAAGCACGATTAGGACAGAGATACGTGTCCCCATTTAGACCAGCGCCCAAACCCCTTCCGAGTGCGAGACATCGAGCCGTGGCGCCGGTCCCGTCGATGCCTCGCTTTAAACCACAAATCCTGACCCCAGATGGAAGGACAGAGAGGCCAAAATTCCTCCCTAAGCATCTTTGCACGCCTGCATCTCGACCGCAGTCTGACAAGGCTTCCAAGGTGCCCGGACAGGAGTCACAAAGTCTCCAGGCTTCCTCAATGCCCCCATCGAGCACACAGCTTTTCGTCCTCTCACACCTGGATGACTTTCCTTCGCCATCTCAAGAAGTACGAGAACTGCAGGAGCTGGAGCTTCCTTCGGTTCCCGTTTCGAAACCAGCTGTGCCACATCCTCCATCCATTTTTAGGAAGAAGCTAGTATCGAAACCAGCACCCGACCCTGGTGTGAGCACTTCTGCCTCTGACGCCAGACCCAACCAACAAGAGCAGACGACCGCCCTGCCTTTCTTCTCAACGCAGGATTTCGTCCTCTCTTCGCAGGATCAACGTGAGCTAGAACAAGGCGCGGAAACACCGAGTAAAGCCGGAAAGGACGACTCGAATGGCACAGAACCCCAGGTAATTAACAAGTCAGGACATGGCGGGTCAAATGCCTTTGGTCGGAGCTTCACCTGCGCTCATGCTAGGGGTGCAACTCCGGCCGAAATACCCAAGCAGCCGCATCCGGCACATCTGAGAGAGGCTGGTGGGGGTAGCCAGCACCGATCGACTGCGACCGCCGGTACCAGGCAGGACTTGCGGAGACCATCTCTTGCCAACCAGAATGGCGCACAGAAGTCCCAAGATCGCGCCCCTGGCCGCTCATCCAGCCGGATATCAGCGCGACAGTCTCAGAATACCCAACGCAGCACCGACGGCGCAGTGCGTGTCGATGCCCCGACCCAAGCCCGTTCCCAGAACCCTCCCGCCATCGCCGTTGGGAGTGCCGCAAGACCGCCATCACCACATCCCGCACCCGCACGCGACGCAGAAAGCGCCGATCCTTGTGCTGAACGACTGGAACCCGGGTCATCCACCGCCCGCCCAGAAAAGGGGCGGTTCTTCACCTCAAGCAACAGGGAGGCCTTCTTCCTCGCCAAGGAGAGGAGCATGCAGACGTACCGGGAAGAAGAGAGGAGGCGGGAGACCGAACGCCGGGAACAAGAGTGGATGGAGCAGAAGCGACGGGAGGAGGAGTGCAAGGAGGATGACTTGGAAATCCTCATGCAGCATGCTGATGAATTCGATAAGGATGAAGAAAGCCTCGAGCCAGCACGAGATGGGGTTCAGGAGTCACTCGAGGAGGAGCAGAGCAAATGCCATGGCGGAATCTCCTCGGATGGTGGTCATGGCAAAACCGAACTCGAGGCGCAGGTTCCGACACAGGTCAACGCTTCGCAGGAGACGGACTATGGAGATCTCGGCTGGGCTGAGGGAGCCATGGATGTCCTGGAGAACTTGATGGAACAGGATGATTTCTGGGATGACGACTTTGTATAACCATCACGGGCATGGAGGGGGTTGGGGCTTTGTATCATGTCATGAATGAGACGACTGCATTGGAGGGCCAGCATGGTTTGGGTAGGTATAGAGTTGCCGATACACCCTTGAGCGTTCAATATCAGATGAACATGGATGCCCAAGGACGCTCGATTCAGCAATCAATCGTCCCAGTCCTTCGAGGAAGTTGTGCAAACCCAGGATACGCCAACAACAAGAGATATCAGATTTTACAGAGTCGTTTAACAAGACACATTGACTACCAGCAGCCAACTGCCCGACTTCCCCATCCTCACGCCCTCCCCCCAACTTTTTCACACCTACTCCCGGTCCGCCCTCACGCCATGAACCTTCCCCTCGACCGTTTCCCTCCCCTGCGACGCGCCAACACCCTCGAGCCCACCCCCCTCCTTCTTGCGCCTGCCCGGGTGCGCGCCGTGCTCCTCACGACCCTCCTGGCCGCCCAGCGGCCGCCCGTGCAAGGCGTCGGTCCGGTTGTAGATGTCGCGATCCGTCGAGCCGGACAACGAGGCCTGCGCGTCCGCGCGCGTGCCGGGCTGCTGCTCCGCGGACTCGCTGGAGACGTGCCCCGGGACGTCGTTGTATGGGTTGGGCTGGAAGGTGGATTCCTTGGGGGCCGTGCCGGCGGGGAGGGTCTCGGCGTGGAAGGTCGGGAGGGCGGCGTTGCCGCGCTCGTTGCCGGGTTTGACCTGGTGGGTTGGGGGTTAGGGTGGTGGTTCAAAAGGGGGGGGGAGGGGGTGGATGGGAGGGAAGGGGGTGGATGGGAGGGAAGGGGGGACTTGCCCATTTGGGGTTTGCTGGCTCTGAGTGCGGGACACGGGCGTGGAATTCGCCTTGGTTTGAGACGGATTCGAAATTGCTTGATGACATCTTTTTGTGTTGTTGAAGCTGGGGTTCTGATGCTAAGGGTATCGAATGTAATGGAGGTACGGATCCGTACAGTAGGCTGTTTTGTCTTGATAGAATAGATAGATACTGGGCTGTTAATAGTACTTGGGTGACGAGGAAATCGAGGAGTTTCTATATTCTACTTGTTCAACATTCTGTGGAGTCCCAATGTCGATGACATCAAGTTGACCTGGACTGTTGCATCATCGCACCGAGCATTTGCCTGACCAACTCACTCCATAGAGCCAGCTAGAATCGCCAGTGGCGACCTGGGATCTCCCTCCGCAATACGACGGCTCGATTCGATACAGCCCTAGATCTGTGGAGCCTTGAGGAACATGATTCTACATGTGTATGTCTTGAGGTTGTGCCTGAGCCTCAATGTTGAGCATGACGTCAGGCTGTTTCTACATCGGCTGCCGATTTGCACTCTTTGACTCGATGGTACTTCAAACGACTAAGAGATGACGCAACTGAACACTGGACGGTATTTAGGGGCCACCAAAGTTTGAGAGACAACGTGTGGTTCGTCTGCGATGTTGAATATTATCTTAGCTTTCGGGGCAATGTCCCGTGAATCCTGCTAACTAAATACCTACGATGTGTGCATATATACCGATTCTCCTTAGTCTCCCAACTATCCAAGGCCGACCTGCAGCTCAATACTGTCAGCTCTTCAACCTGCAGGGGCTGGTGTCTATGGTAAGGGGGTGGCGTAACCCCTGAAAAGGTTCAGTCCGCCTACCGTATCAAGTACCAATGAGAGGTACTCAATTACACGCTGGCATGGAATAAATATATAAGGAGTCGAGGCATTTTTAATGATGATTGTGTGTATTTTCCTACTAGTGTGTTCTCACAGCCTCGGTCGCGATTCGCCATGTTAACTACAGGGAATCACCCGACACCCAGTTACTCCTCCAACTTGGAGACGACCGGATCCCAGCAGACGGGCTTGTACTCGGTCGTCTCCAGCTCCTTGACCTCGTCGGGGGTCAGCTGGAAGTCGTAGAGCTCGGCATTGGCCCTGATGCGCTCCGGGGTGGCGCTCTTGGGCAGGGGGATGTGGCCCTTCTGCAGGCTCCATCGGACGAGGACCTGGGCCTCGGACTTGCTGTACTTGTCGGCCAGCTTCTTCAGCACCGGCTCACCCCACCTCTCGCCCCGGACCAGCGGGCTGTAGGCCTCGACGGCGACGCCGCGCTTGCGGCACCACTCGACGATGTCGTTCCTCGCGCACCAGGGGTGGATCTCCCACTGGCCGACGCTCAGGACGCCGCCCTTGCCCTTGCCGCCGCGCTCCTCCTCCAGCTCGGTGATGTGCTTCTCCAGCTCGTCCAGGTGGTGCACCCCGTAATTGCTGACGCCGATGCTGCGCACCTTGCCGGCCTCGACGGCCTCGACCAGAGCTCGCCACGCGCCCTTGCGCGCCGCAGAGCCACCGTAGGGCGCGTGGAGGAGCATCAGGTCGATGTACTCCAGCCCCGACTCCCGGAGCGTTGTCTCCACCTGCGCCTTGGTGCTCTCGTAGTTCATCGAGCGGGGAGGGACCTTGGAGGTGAAGAAGATGTCCTCGCGCTTCGGGGCCGACGACGCCCGGATGGCCTTGCCGCAGCCGGCTTCGTTCTTGTAGGCGGCGGCGGAGTCGATCTGAACTTGGGGTCAGATTTGGGAGCGGGGCATTGGGGAGACGCGGAAGAACTTGGAAAGACTCACATGGCGGTAGCCGGATTTGAGGGCCTCTATGACGACTTGCTCGGCTTGATCAGCGGGGCTGGAGTGCGGTTATTGCGGTCAGCGAGATGGACAACAGTAGAGAGAGGCCCTTAGGACTCCTAGCGTCAGGTGCTCACGTTTGCCAAACCTGGGAGGGTCGTTAGTATAGCAATTCCCATGTTTAAACCCCCCCCTGCGCTAATACGGTGACCAGGTAATACATACACCGAAACCCAGCTGTGGGATCTCGTGCCCGCTTGGGAGCTTGATCTTGGTCTGGAGAGTGAGTGAGGAAGCCATTGTCACTGATGGTTAACTGGGTAGTTGGTGATGATTGGTTGGGCGGGTTGTTGATAGAATATCGTATGTTCTGATGAGAGGCAGAAACGGGTTGGGCGACAGTTAACAGTTATATATTCCAACTCGAAAGAGGTGGATTTCTAATCATTCAGACGTTCAAAGTCCGATACAGATGCGGTCTTAAGTCGGAGATAGCAAATGTCCCCCCATGGATTGGTAATAGACAGTGCAACGCGTACTAGTGACGCCTGAAAATGTGCGAGCAAGAAGTAGGATATATATACATTCAGGGACGCCGGTTCTCGGTGATCTACAATACTCTTAGGTATAGTGTCATTGAAACTGCATTTGGATGACGAGAACTGCGGTCGTTGGTTGAGGGTTGATGTCATCGTGATTGCAGATTACCCCGCCAAAACATTCAGCGTAAGGGAGGGGGAGGGGTGTGGGGGGCCGCATGCAAATGGAGCCTTTCCGCGTGGAGATGGCGGGATGGAATTGCGTGCTCTGTGAAAGGTTTACCTTGATGGCTCCGGCTCAGGTATTTACTCGGCAGCCTGAGCCGCATGCTCCCCCCCCACCGCGATTCTCCTCACCCCCCACCGCGCACACCCCGACTCTCCTTTTATTACTTGCCGTGAGCCGTGACAGGTTGTCCCCACACTCCAAGACCCGGGATTGGGGGGGCCGAGTTCCAGATCTGACCTGAAAGAATGGCCGCATTTTCTCGCCTTGCACAAGTCGGCTCTGGTGCCTGCCACCTGCCTGCCGCCTGCCTGCCACCTGCCTGCCGCCTGCCTGCCACCTGCCTTCTCGGAAGCTGGTTTCCTTCGACAACATGGGCTGCATAACAGTAATAGGAGTGGAAGGGATAAGACGTGCAACAATGGGTCAGATTGCAAACTCAAATTATAACTTACCATGTAGGTAACTTCCAGGTTAGGTATTCTAAAGCCTTGCACAGTTCTGGCCAAGAGGCAAATGAAGTCGGGTAGGGTGACTACCCCGCCATTCTTGATTCTACCCCACCACAGCTTTCTCGACACAAATCACATCCTTCTCGTGTGCCAACAATAATACCCAACGTCAAACGGTTTTGGTTCTAGTTCCATCCCTGTTTCACTAGCTCTTGCTGAATACTTTTGTATAACCCTTTATCCGACCTTGGAGCTTTCTTTCGACATGCGTCTGTCTGGTGGAAAGAAGGCGGCTATCGACCTTCTCGAGTTCGGTGGCAATGACGACGATGTCGTCTCTCTCCTGCCCGAGGAGCCTGAAGATATGGTGAGTGTGGCCTGATAGAGTCCATTCCAATCTCCCTGCTAGGGGGAGCCTGCCACAGATCAACCAAAGCCGTGAGATACTAATCTGGCGAACTTTCATTCCTCTAGTGGCACGCCAACAACCTCATCTCCCCCGAGGACATCCTCAAAGCACACGCCATCCGGAAAGTCACCCGCACAACCAACACTGGCAGCACCAGCTCGGAGCGTGTCCACACCGACCTCACTATCCGAGTAACCTCGACCTTCTTTGACCCGGCAGCCTCACAACTGCACGTCTCCGGCACTGTGGTGAGGGAAAATGCCAATGTCAACATCGGCCAGTACCACACCCTCGACCTCGAGCTCAACCGGCCCTTCACACTGTTGAAACCGAACGGCTGGGATTCGGTTGCGACCGAGACGCTGCGCGAGTCACTGCGACAGGGCCGGGGCGACGACCTGGCCGCCGTGGTGATGCAGGAGGGGTTGGCCAACATCTGCGTCATCACCGAGTTCAGGACGATCCTGAAGCAGCGGGTCGAGCACAGGATATCCGCGAAGCAAGCCCAGGGCGGGGACAGCAGCTCGCGGGCCTTCTTCGAGAAGACGCTCTCTACCCTGCTCCGGGCCGTCGACTTCGACAAGCCGCGGCCGCTCCTGCTGGCGAGCCCCGGGTGGGCGGCGGCCGATTTTAAGAAATACATACAGGACGAGGGCAACCGCAAGGCGGACAAGAAGCTGCAGGCGCTGGCGCGCGAGGCCGTCGTGGTGCGGTCTAGCACGGGCCACGTGCACAGCCTCAACGAGGTCCTCAAGAGCCCCGAGGTGCAGACGACGATGAAGGACAAGAAGTACAGCAACGAGACACGGCTGATGGACGACTTCTTCCAGCGGCTCCGCCAGGACGACGACCGGGCCTGCTACGGCCCGGCGCCGGTGGCGAGGGCGGTCAACGAGGGCGCGGTCGGGGCCGGTGGCGGGACGCTGCTGGTCAACAACTCGCTCTTCAGGAACATGGACATCGCCACGAGGAGGAAGTACGTCGCGCTGGTGGACAAGGTCAAGGAGACGGGCGGGGAGGCAAGGGTGCTGAGCAGCGACCACGAGAGCGGGGAGAGGCTGGATAAGCTGGGCGGCATTGCGGCGATCCTGACATATCCGATCTACGACCTTGATGAAGATACAGAAGAGGAGGAGGTGGGAGATGAGGGTGGTGGTGGTGGTGGAAGCGCTGCTGCGGGGGAGACGATGGTGTTATAGTTTGGATCCTTGTTCCTGGTTCATGTTGTTTGCAATTTTTTTGGAATCTCTGCGGCGCGTGTCTCTGCATTACGGGATAGAGTATAGAGGCGCTTATATGAGCGCCTGCAAATAACTACCTAGGCGGCATCTGAAGAGCCCCGTCTATTATGACGCGAGTGGCAGTTGTGGCACCGGGCCTGTGCGGGTTCCGGCGTGGATACACGCCAGTTCCAGCGGTTGTTGCCGGCAAATGTTGTGAGGCGTCCCTGCCGAAGCGCTTCTGATGACGCAGTTGCCCATGCACTATGAAGTACCTATGCCTACAGCCCACCAGCGTCAGCACAGTACCACGGCCGTGGGATTGCAGGGCGCCATTGGGAGTGCATCTTCTCATGAAACTGCCCCTTTAAACTTTGTCGTTCCCGTCTTCGCACCTCGTCCCAAGAGCCGGAATCCCCCGATTTGCAGGCTTCCATGTAGGTACCCGTGCAACGCCAAGATACGCCATTACGTACCCCGACAGATTGCACTGGTGGGCATTCGGGCAGATGACGTCTCCCGTATCCCCGTTTGTTCAGCCCCGAGACCACATCATTAGCCAATGAGCCAATGGCCAACACTTGGTCAGAGCCATGACGCCTCGAGCTGGCATTGGAGTTTCCTTTGAGAAGAATTTACCCGTTCCGGTGCTGCTAAGGCCAGTCCATTACCTATGTACACTATTTACTGTACGGATACTACTCTTATTACTGCGTAGTAAGTATACACTATTTCGCACTAGGGTGTAGACTCCATGATGCAACCTAGGTTGGGTAGCGAGGCCAGGCAACCAATCAACAGTTCGTCGGGCAAGATGAGAACAGGCTCGCATTCTTCTCGGACATTTCGCAGCCAAGCTTTTTCCGCTCTGCGTAAACGAACCGAACCCCTATCAAGCTATCAAGCTACAGTACCAGCTCTTGCAGGACGTCATTGCTCCTTAACTCGTTGCAGCTTAAAGCTAGCAAAACATGGTTGCTCCGTAAAGGGTCGGCTGAGACGGCCGAACCCTTCTAGCTAGGTCTAGACCAGTCATCTGTCGAGAAGGCCACATGGATGGGACCTAAATTCGGCACATTCGGATCCTGTCACGGCGCTCTCGCGTTTCGCTCCCACCGCCGCATTCCCAGCACAGCCAGCTTCTAAGCCTCTCCCCGACCAACCGCGCCTTCGAGGCTATGGAAGGAAGATGGCGCCTCTCCTGTCCGCCGTAAAAGCGAGACACGACCTCCAACAGCAGCAACAACAACACCAACAACACCAACAACATGATGAGCCCGCCCTCCCTGGCGGGACCCTGCCCAGCCCTGCAGACGGCACTCCGGCCTCTCCCGGTTCTGCGCCCCGCACATCGCTTTCCTTCCCTGCGCTTGGTCGGCCGTCAAAGTCACCCGCAGCCCTTGACGGTAAGTTGTACGCCCCGAGCGGCAACAGGTGATCCCATGTTGCGCATCCCCCGCCATGTCTCTCGCATGCATCCGCTGCTTTTATTAGCGTGGTATGATCTGGGATGTAGTCGAAGCTGACGTCGCCCTCGCACTCGCACCAGGTAGCGACAACACCGGGTTGGGCACCAGGGCCTCGCCGCGGCCGTCCCGAATCAATACGAATACGGCGGTGTCTGAGAAGGAGAAGGAGGGCCAACACCAGACGGATCGGGATGATCAATTGACAGGGTCCTCGACTGCCGCCATTGACCCGCTGTCCCAGGTGAGTGCATATGCTTTTGAAAATGGCGGGCCCCCCATGCTCAATGTCTCGGCTTCCTCCCTAGCTGCTGAGGAGTGTGCGGGAATCGCCAACCGGACACACGGTTCTGACAAGGCATTTGTCTGGACGCTGTAGCACATATTCGTGAGAACAAACACCGACCATTCGATACCACAACGACTACGGACCCAGTCGAAGGCCGAGATTTCGATTCCTGACAGCCTGACCCGACCTGGCTCCGGCCTTTCGACTAAGCTCTCGGCGCCATCTGGGGATGCCTCAAAGGAGAAAAAGTACGTTCGCTCCCTTTTCCGTCGCAGGCAGGACCGACTCTAGCCTACGAGGGGTCGTGGAGGAACAACGGGGTGATCAATTGCTAAATATCCCCTGTCCATTGTTACAGGAAAGGGGTCTCATTCCTCAGCCGCCTCAGTATGCGCGGCAGCAAGAAGAAGGACACGGGCGATCTCGACTCCGAATCCGAGCTTGGCGGCGAAGCGCGAACAGATGGTGCCCATGCCCGCCTCTTCACCCAATCAATTGCTGGAGGTGGCTTCATCCCACAACACAAGGAACCGCCGCGATACATTCGGACGAAGGTGCATCACAAGACGGTTCGCGAATTCAACCGCATGTTCCTGGCACAGCAGTTGGTCGGGACACAGCCCTTGAAGGCAGCCGACCAGACTCAGGGCGATGCCGAGAAACAGGAGGAGATAACCCCAGCGGAGACATCGTCTGCACCTGCTCCTACCGGCGAGAGGGGGGCTACGAAAGCGGGCGGAGCTATATGGGCGGCCGAGTTCAGCAAGGACGGAAAGTACCTCGCCGCGGCTGGACGAGATCGGGTCGTCCGGGTCTGGGCTGTCATCTCGACCCACGAGGAGCGCCGGGCGCACGAGGAAGAAGAGGCGGCTAATGGCGGTACCGGAGAGAGACTCAGTGCGCCCGTGTTCAGCGGGAAGCCGTTCCGCGAGTTTGAAGGGCATACTGGGGAGATCTTGGACCTGAGCTGGAGCAAGAACAACTTCCTCCTCTCGTCGTCGATGGACAAGGCGGTGCGGCTATGGCATATCAGCAGGGATGTGTGCCTCTGCACCTTCAAACACAAAGACTTTGTCACCAGACTCGCCTTCCACCCGCGCGACGACCGCTTCTTCCTTGCAGGCTCTCTAGACACCATGCTGCGCCTCTGGAGCATCCCGGACAAGGCCATTGCGTACTCTGCTCAGCTGCCGGACCTCATCACCGCCGTGTCCTTCTCTCCCGACGGGAGGACCGCTATTGCCGGCCTCCTCAACGGACTGTGCCTCTTCTACGACACAGATGGCCTCAAGTTGCAAACACAAATTCACGTGCGCTCATCCCGGGGGAAGAATGCCAAGGGCAGCAAGATCACGGGCATCCAGACAATGGCCATCGTACCAGGGAGCACGTCAGCTCCGTGGCAAGGCAGGAACGTCGGTAGTCCGCCACCGCGCACCTCTACAGGTCCTGGCGAGGTCAAGGTTCTCATCACCTCGAACGATAGCAGGATTCGGATTTACAACCTGCGGGACAAGACCTTGGATGCCAAGATAAAAGGCCACCAAAACGCTTACAGCCAGATCGCGGCGACCTTCTCCGACGACGGAAAGTACGTCATTTGCGGCAGTGAGGACCGCAAGGCGTTCATCTGGAGCATGGGCATCGACATGTCCGAGGCCAAGGACAATCGGCCGTGTGAGTATTTTGATGGACATGGCGAGATCGTTACAAACGCCATCTTCGCGCCCACCAGGAGCCGGATGCTACTCGATGCGAGCGGGGATCCGATCTACGATCTCTGTAACCCTCCTCCGGTGACGCTGATGAGCCTGGAGGAGGCGGCAAGTGCGAATGCCAGCCAGACAGCGCTCAGCGCCGAGGGTGACGGTGCAAATCCGGCGCCCGAACCAACGGCGGCGTCGAATGGCCACGGCCAAGCCAGGAGGCCAGAGGAATCTCCGGCATACATCGCCCGATCAAGGCATGTCGATGGTAATATCATTGTCACGACCGATGATACGGGCATCATCAAGGTCTTCCGCCAAGATTGTGCATTCCAAAAACGGAAACACGAGAGTTGGGAGACGGGAAGCACCTTCAGCAAGAAGATGGCAGGCCACGGCGGCGGCTTCGTTAGCCAGGCCTTGGGACGGAGCGGGAGCATCCTGACCAGGACAACCGCGAGCAGTGCGGCGCATAGTAGACGGGGTAGCCTAAGCCAGCCCGCGATGCCCGGCGGCATGGTGTCTCCTCTGCTTGGCGGCTTCAATACCAGCTCCGATCGCATAATATCATGGCGGCAGGGCATTGAAGCCGGCTCGGACAAGCGGACGAGCTCAATCAGGAGCGGAGGGACGCCAGCGCGCAGCGAGCGGTCGCTGAGCCCAAACAAGGCGAGCAGGACGCCGATGAGCTCGAGCGCGGCGAATCTAGCCAGCGGAGCGAGAAAATCGCCGTACTCGGGTTCTACCCGGCCGAACGGCCTTGCGAGTCCCAGCTCGAGTGTTTTCAGCGCGGCCACTGGCGAAAAAGGCTCACTAAGAGAGAGCACCCAACAAGAGGGGAAGTCCAAGGGCAAGGAAAAGGAAGACCCCGCAGCGCTTCCGACACCCAGCTTTACTTATCGCCCGGCAGAAGAGGAGGATCCGCTGAGGCTAGACCCGGCGGGAGCCAGCTACTTCTTCTGGAACCTGAACCGGTGGCGTAACATGGGGCCCCTCAAGAGCGGCAGACCGGGCCAGGGGGAGCGGAACATAAGCAGCAGCACCGGCGTCAGCCCGTTTTCGAACGCGGTCGCAAACACGAAGCAGCTAGAGCCCGCGAGAGGCGGGGGTATCAGTGGTAGTGACAGGGACGCGGAGAAGCACAAGGACAAGTCGTCGCGCCGCACGTCCCTCGGCCAGGCGATGGCCTCGAGGCGATCGACCTCGGCGGCATCGGAGGGCTCGGACAAGTCGGGCCGGCGGCGGACTCTCCCGCCGTCGTCGCTCAGCCGCGAGGTGGGCGACACGTCCGACGCCCCTCCACGGAGAGTGTCGAGGATATCGGCCGCCGGGGGGGACGGTGGCGACCGCGAGCACCTCGCGCCGGCGGCGGCGATGGAACACGGGCGCGGGCCGCACAGCCGGGGTGGCTCGATCATCAGCAAGCTCAGCTCGGAGCTCAGCAGCGAGCAGGAGGGCGCCGGGTGGGCCGAGGACGAGGAGATGCGCTGTAAGAAGTGCGGGGGCCGCGAGTTCAAGGCTAAGCAGGCGGCGGGGAGGCAGCAGCTGAGCTGCGGGAGGTGTGGGATGCTGGTCAGGTAACCTCCATTCCCCCCCTCCACTTCCCTTCCCCCCTACCTTCAACATGTATATCGAGGAGCTTATCTGGAGTCTCGGATGAGGTGGGTTGGAGATACCACTGCTTGCTTATATTTCAGCAGGTTGGCTGGAGTTGGAGTCACAAAAGGTTGGGGGGCCATATTGTGGATATACAGAACCTATATCTGTACATGTCTGCTGACATATCTAAATTTACTGCTCTGCATTATGGCAGGCATCCTCTTGAAGCTGCCTCTCGAATCCTTGTGCGTCTCGTCGCATTACATTTGAGCTCCACTGGTGGACGCCCCCGCAATGCTCACGGCCTGCTAAATTTGGTGGTGACCTCCATGCCAACTCCTGCCTAAATCCTACTACGCAGTAGAAACAGGCAGGCAGTATCCCGTATACCTAACTTTATTAAATATTAATGCCAATGAAGGACTCTGCGGTAGGCAGAATCAGGGCCAGGTAGGTCAATATATAAGCGGACGTAGTACGGATTACAAGCTGCAGCAATAGGACTTCCTGCCCTAGCCTAGTGGGGTGTAGTGAATTGGGGTAAACTAATGAATGGGTGTTATATACCAAAATGCCGCATTCACTTCCACAGCGGATCCACAGCTACATCAGGTGAATACACCTGCAAATCTTCCGTAGTATAGTGGTCAGTATACAAGCTTGTCACCATAACTTGGCACTCGCTTGGGACCCGGGTTCAATTCCCGGCGGGAGAGTTTTTTTTTGCCCAATTTTTTTTGTTTTCAACCTTACTCTAGCTACGTTTTTTTTCTTTTTTCCAGCTCTATTCATGCTCTTGTAAGACCAGATCAAAGCGTCCTAGTATAAAATACACAATAAAAATAATTCGGTATAGATGCCATACCCTACATATTGAACATTTTTCTTTTTCTTATCGAACAGTTGAGTCCAGTTATTAGTCACCCTAGTCGCGAACTGCGTTCTTCAACCTCCTTACAGAAAAGTTCAATTGACACCATTATCGACATGACCCGCGATCCCCGTCTCATGCTGGTGCTACTGCGCGCTGCCCCCATAGTGAGCCGAGATAGCCCCGAGCTCGAGAGTAAATACCACGGAATGGCTCACCCTGCTCACCTAGGGTGATACCCTTAAAGCGGCGGGCTGGGCAAATCCGGAGGAAGCCCGGGAATTCGAGCGCCATCATGTCCTGCTTGCCCCAGCCAACGTGGTCGGCGTGGATGTAAACCGTTGATACATGGAAGCGGGGGTCTGAGAGAAGATTCTCCGGGGACGCGTCCGAGATTGCTACTTTTGTGGTCGTCGCTCATCTTGGGAGTTCTCTTGGGGGCGTCACTTTCTCACGTCGAGCTTGCGGGAGCGGAAAATGCGGCACCGCATGTGTGTGTGGCCTGTCGGCTAGCCAGTTAAATCTGTGAACTCAGAGATGCAACTCTAATCCCATTGGTAATTAATATTATGCGACCATCGCAGACCAATTCTCCTGCATCAGCTTGCTTCAACGAGTCCCGTTTACTGTCGACAGCAAGACTGTGAGGAATCTCAAAGCACTATCTGCCGAAGCCGGGGCAGATGACTGGTTCGTCGCCGGAGTCTAACTGCTTTACTAATCACGGCCGACATCCGGGCTTTGAGGTGGAGTTCTCGGATTGCGAGGATCCCAAGCTACGGCCGTCCGCAACGGTCTTGACCTCTATCAAAGGCGGCGTCAACATAATTTGTACCCCGAACGCACGCCATCAGCATTAGAAATCCGTTCCATGTCCTTCGCTATTCGGTTCGATCTTTAAGGTTGCACATCGCGGAGCCTGGTCACCGTCTTACTGGACAGCCATGGCCGTCTTCGTCGTTCGTCATTTCTGCCAGAATCACGAAGCTCCGATCCGCATATTGACCACATCGATGAACAGGATTAGGAGCGAGACCCGGCACCCGACACCCGACACCCGACACTTAACTTTGGACAAGGAGAGCCAATCGCAGAGCTTCATCGTATCTGCTAGACCACATCTTCGACCATACATGCAGTGTGCCTCGGTGTAGCTCCCCCACGCCAACTCCCACATCAACCCACACTAATGTCGCACCAACCTACTGGCGTAGAAGGCCCATGCCACGATATGGATGCCGATACAATACCATTGACATCGTATGCAACCAGAATGGCGTATGTCCATGGTCAGCATGGTCAGCGATTCTCGTGTCTCGCCATAGGTCAAGATTTGACGTGATGATGGCACTGTCTCTTGTCGACTATGACCAAGTATAACTAACTCATTGCGCCCTGCGCATCTCTTCCATGGAGACTCGGTCATGAACCGCTCAGATTCATTATATCAACACTGATATCCTCTTCGGTGACTGAACAAACCGAAACCACTACTTATTCCCGCCAGCAACCCGACCGTGAATCACTGGAGCACAATGTCGACCACAACCACCGCCACCACTACCACTGCTGTGGAGACAGCCCCGATCACCTTGACGTTGGCGTATGACAAGGAGATCCACCAACAAGTAAGTTGATTGGATGCAGAACCCGCGAATCCATGTGGGAGCAACAAGGTTCCCGATAGCTGACCACCCCCCAGTACAAGTACGCGGACTACCTGCCAGTCTACGACGAGAAAACCCACTTTGGTCCCCTGCAGCCGTTTGACTTTGTGGACCGCGGCCTCGTGGCGAACAAGCAGAAGCCGAACCTGCTCCCCAAGGACAACCCAAGCGTCAAAGCCTCGAAGTTGACCCCGGTCATTGGCACCGAGATCCGCGGCCTGCAGCTGTCGGCGCTGAACGATCTGCAGAAGGATGAACTCGCGCTCCTCATTGCAGAGAGGGGCGTTGTCGTGTTCAGGGACCAGGATTTCAAGGACATCGGCGTCGAGAAGCAGAAGGCATTCGGGCGGTATTTCGGCCCCCTTCATATCCACGTGAGTTTCTCCCCATGCTTGGCAAATCAAATGCTCTGGCTCCGAGATATCTAATGCCTCGCTCCTGCATCTACAGCCCGTCGGAGCGCACGTCAAGGACCACCTCGAGCTCCACAACATCTACCTCGGCCCGGACAACGAATATCGTTCCCGGAGCAGGGGCAACAAGCTCACGACCACCGGCTACCACTCGGATGTGTCATATGAGCACCAGACCCCCGGCATCACAATCCTGACCCTCCTCTCCGTGCCCCCCACCGGCGGAGACACCGGCTGGGCCTCCCAGACCGCCGCCTACGCGCGGCTGTCCCAGCCCATCAAGACGCTCCTCGAGGGCCTCCGGGCCGAGCATAGCGGCTTCCCGCAGGCCGAGAACGGAAAACGGGACGGCAAGTTTGTGCGCCGGGACCCGATCAAGTCCGAGCACCCCATCGTCCGCATCCACCCGGTAAGTACAGCCTCCCCCCAGCCTCCCCAAAACAACACCCCAAGATATCGTGGTCGATTATTAGTTGGATTGGCTAACCAGCATGGTTTCGACAGGCGACTGGCCAGAAGGCGCTCTTCGTCAATCCCGGGTTCACGAAGCGGATCATCGGGCTGAGGGAAGAGGAATCTTCCGCGCTACTCAAGCTGCTTTTCAAGGTCAGCGGAACAAACTCCTAATGAAAGAAAAGAAATTCTGTATCTGTGTGAAAGCTTGGGCTGACTTGACTTGGGTCCGAAGCATATTTCCCTGGGACAGGATTTCCAGGTTCGTGTCAAGTGGGAGGAGGGCACCGTTGCTCTGTGGGACAACAGGGTCACGGCTCACACGGCCATTTCCGACTACAACGTCCATAACCCGCAAGAGGGACTGCGACACGGATTCAGGATCACCACCTTGGCTGACAAGCCTACGGGTGTGAATGGGCTTGAGTCGACGTGGTAAGGGGCTTATGAAGCTGAATCTCAGTGGGGATGCCATTGGCTCTTTCGATGGCCAACTTATGATACAAGAGGCAAAGCACTTTTTGACTTCCATCTCAGGTTCACTCAGAACCTTGTCACAATCATGTTTTAGTTCTTGATCACAATCTTGGAGAATCAGTAGTGTTGTTGAAATCCCAATGGCCCAGATCATATCGCCCAAGTTATTAGCACCAACTGACCTTCTAGTTGAGGAATTACAGGTGCCCCCCAGATATAATATCTCGACATCTCACTGGCTCGAGGTCGTGAAGATGAGCTGAAGTATCTGGCTATTTAGCAAGCAAGCAGAAACAGTTGACACTAGGTAGTAAGGGGAAGAAGGGATAACACGGGGCAATAGAAAAGGAGAAAGGAGGAAACCAGCCCCCCAAGTCCTCATTACATAAAGAGTGGCAGCATGTGAAGAAACATTGAAACTGGTCCAAACGCTGACCTCAGCAAACCGAGGATTCTGGCCCCGTCCCCAAATGCCAACACTCCACCACACCACCACCAGCCCCTGAAGTCATCATGCCACCCCCCCCCCCCCCCTCTTTTTTTTTCCTTTCAGCTCCCTCATCCCACTTCATCCAACCCTCTCAAACAACCCCTCAACACCCCCCAAGCCCTCCCACCCCAAAGCCCCCGCCCCACAAGCCAACAAGTCCCAAAGATCTCCAACCGACCCTCCCTCCTGCCCATCCATCCCCGTCCCTCCCCCGACCACCGCCCCCGCCACAAACGCAACCGCAAGAGTAATCCACTCAACCGCCTCCCCAGCCCCAACCGACCCAGGCGGCTGTCTAAACTCCACCGTCGCCGCACCCGCACCCGCCCCCTCCTCGGCGCCAACCATGCGCGAGAAATCCCACTTGTACACCTTCCCCCTGACCGCATCCGCCTTCCACCCATGCGCGCGCCCATACGGACTCGCCGCCGGGAAAAGATTCACCGCCTCTACGACTCCCGCATACCCACCACCCCCCGCAGCAGCAGCAGCAGCGCGGTCCACGACGGCGAGACAGTCCCCCAGCGCCGCAACGCCCCCCAGCGCCTCGCTGGCGCGGATGCTGCGGCACCAGTACTGCCCCGCGCGGCGGGCGGGCGGGAAGAGGAGGTCCAAGGCCGGCTCGTGGTAGAGCGCCGACTTGGCCAGGGCGGCGAGGTCGGCGGGGGAGAGCGGGTCGGGCGCGCCCGAGACGTGGACGTGGGTGCTGCAGTGCGGGGACGGGACGAGGGAGAAGGCCTTGTGGAGGGCCGTGAAGATGGTGTCTAGGTCGGCGGCCCAGTAGCTGTAGATTGGGTAGACGGGGGAGACGAGCTCGATGCCCCCTGGGGGAAATGTCAGTTGTTAAGCCCATCTGGGAAATGAAAGGAAAGAAGGGGGGCGCCGGGAGAGAGGGAGGACGGGGTGGGGGAAGTAATGCATACATAGGTTCTTGGCTGGCTGGCTGGGGATGGTGACTTCCTGCACGATGGACCATTCCCGGTAGTTCTCCCAGGACTTGTCGTTCCCGTCGTTGACGTGGTTGCTTATGCCCGCCTTCTGGAGCCTCTTGCTCAAGTCTTTGGCGAGGGACTTCCAGTTATGGTGGACCTTCTTCCGGCTTCCCAGCAGGAACTCCAGCTCGACGCCGAACTGGAACGAGTTGTGGCCTTCCATTATGCCGAAGCTACACGAGACAGGTGAACTTTGAGCGGTGACCTGGAACTGAGGGCGTAAAGAGAGCAAGAGACCAGAGCGAGACTATCTACTAGGATCTCTAAAGATATTGACCACGTGGACGATGTTATCCGGTAGACACTTGATCGTTAGAGACTTGCATGATATATATAGCTAGATCTCTAGCCGCCTCACCTAAGGGGGGGGATGGGTGTCTCAATCACGAGAAAAGGAAATCGCGTCACGACAACCGCGAACCCCTGGCTCCTGTCTTTCCCCCTCCTCCACCCCAGCGCGACTGGTTCAGGGGCCACACACAAGGGCCAAACCACCCAGCCAGACAGCAACTTCTGTCGAGCAACGACTACCACGCGGCGTGACGCCGAACATCCCTGTCCGCCGCACCCCCCGTCCAACTCCCCCGCGCCGGACAACCTATCGAGCGGCCAACGACCAAGGATGGGCCTAACTCAAGCGGGAGGGCGCAGGGCGTGGGCGTCACGCCGGGGAGGTGGCTCGGGTGATCAACAGGGTGACATCGTGTGGAGGCCCAGGTCAACGACCCTTCCCCCAATCCCTTCCCCCCCCCACACGGCGACAACGTCAGGCGAAAGGGCGCCAAGAAACAATGGGGCCTGTCTGGCTTTCCTTAGCCCCGCCTCGAGCCCGTTCATAGCATGAGATGAGAAGCGCCCATCAGGGTCGACAGGAAGAGGGAGGCAGCCCGACTCTCCACACTTGTGCTCTGTGGGGAAGGGGAGAGGGAGGGGGGCGGTGCGCACACAAGTCCAAATGGGGCCAAAGACAGTGAGTGAGTGGGCCCACTCCTAGACTTCCGGGGGAATCGCGCGCGCGAGGGGCGCGTGTTGGCCGAGGAAGGAGAACAACGAGCACGGAAAAGATCTAGACGTTGGGCCCGCTCTCCTATAGTTCGTTCGGCTTGGTCTCTCGCGGGGGAATGCTGTAATGGGAGAGGACTAGCGGGCAGTGGTTATTATCGCAATTGCGATACGTAGGATAACAAAAGGGAGCCACCCTAGAAGGGGGGACTCTGGGGCCAATCACGCGAAGGCGGCGGGAAACAGGCATGTCTGTCGAAAGTGCGTCACACGGGGCGGATCTCAGAGCCTCAACACCCCCCTTGCTGGGTGCAGAAGGTTTGTTACAAGGCGAGACATGCAGACCAGCACAACTGCAGAGAACAGGCCATGATTGGCGACGGCCTCTTCAAGTTGTTGGTTGGGGCTGAAACGAAGGAGAATGGCTTACTAGGCGGTGACTGAGAAGAGGGTGTGAAAGTTGGTCGAGGTGGATGGACGTTTAAGCGCCGAGGAGAGACGAGATTCGGAAAGGACCGTAGCGGGATTGCCGTGATACCAACTTAGCCTTGCGATCAGACCGTCCAAGACCGTTAAGAGCTCGTCTGTTAAGGGCAGGGGTTGTGAAGCCTGAACGCTAGTGATAGATCGAGGCGCAACTAGAAGAAATGGGGTTGTCAAGGAACAAGTTTAGAGAGTCATCCATACCTGAAATGGTCTGCTACCAAGTTGTTACTGCCAGGCGCAACTGCCTTCTGAGAGGACAATACAAGCGACTTGCAGTGTGAGCCAGCATTGCTGTTCAGTCACTTGACCTTTGGGAACGTGCAAACTTTGAGAGATAGTTAGGCTGGTTTTTACCCCGCATTTGGCTCCCAAGAAAAAAAAATTCCAATCTCTTTTGGGTTTTAAAAAGAAATTGATATAAAGAAGGAAAAAAAAAAAAAGGTTCCAGCATCAAAAAGGTAGCTGTGAAGCTGTGAATATGGATCTCTCCCGCCGGGAATTGAACCCGGGTCCCAAGCGAGTGCCAAGTCATGGTGACAAGCTTGTATACTGACCACTATACTACGGAAGATTTGCAGGTGTATTCACCTGATGTAGCTGTGGATCCGCTGTGGAAGTGAATGCGGCATTTTGGTATATAACACACATTCACTAGTTTTACCCTAATTCACTACACCCCACTAGGGTTTCAAAGGCTAGAGTAGCAGGGGTAAAGCACAACTTTGAAAGGAGTGACAGTATGGTCTTGCTAGGTACTTGCGCTAACCTTTGAAACCTCAGCAAAGGTGTACTCCTTTTGACAAAAGTCAAAGCACCTAGCTTTACTTTGTAAGGCAGGATGATTCTGTCGTATACAACCACCAGGCATTTCACTTAACACCTTACTTATTATCTACACTCTCAAGAAAATGCTCTATGCGAATAATCTATGTCTAATTAGTGTGCAAAATTCCAAGAAAGCCATTGTAATAAGTACCTAGCATACCAAGCCAATAAATCCCACCATTGCTGCGCTTCCATTCACCAAATCCATCCGTCGCCTCTAAAATAAAAATAAAAACAAAAACGAAGGATCCCCCCCCGGGAGACTTGAACTCCCGTCTCTAGCGATAGCGAATCAGCGACAAGGTAAGCTTGCCTCGCAGTGAGTGGTTGCGATTATATGGCGACAACACTTGGCTGTAGATGCGTTATGCAATCCCTCGCTGTTGCTGCAAGACTCTTCATTTCCTGGAGAAGCGGTCGATCAGTTCAGGCTTGATTTTAATCAAATCAATATGTCACTTGACACAACAAGTGGCTACGGATGTGCCCGCCATGCATATCGCCTTAATAACCTAGGTGCTCGACGTCCCAGGCTCATCCTCAAGCATGCAAGAAAGCAATAATCGTGCCACAAATACATACTTCAACACCCTCCAGCCAGATTCTGTTCTCCTTGAATTTTCTTCTTGCAAGGCTGCGAAGCATTGTTTGCAGAATATCAGACCGACTGAGTCTCGCTGCCAGCGTAATCATCATCTCATGAAACTACAACTTGCCGGACCGTGTCTAAAGTTGCCGAGAACATGACTAGGGCCTTCTGATAAGGTTCCAGAGAGACCCCGATAATTCCTGCCGGCGGGGCGAATAGAGGGCTGATGATTCACTTGCGGATCTGTTGAAACACCTAATCAAAACAGGTTCCGTCGCCGCCGTCGCAATTCCTGTTGCCGCGGCGGTCTATCACTAATGCCGTTGCTGCCTATCGTTATTGCTGTTGCTATCTATTGCCATTGCCATTGCCGTCACTATCGCTTTTGCCGTCACTATCGCTTTTGCCGTCACTATCGCTTTTGCCGTCGCTGTCAATTGTTTGGCAGCCTTGGAACCACCTGGCAAAACTTTCCGGCCCGTCGCCACCTGTTGCGCACAGACCCCAGGCGCGAGTAGCTGCTCCCGTGAAAAAGCCTCTTGGGTGTGACAAACGTCTTTGGCATTTTTTCATGTATTTTTAAACCGCGTTTGGCGATGGGGATGCTGCGTTAGACAATTTCTGAAGACCTGGTAATTTAGACCGAAGTGGACTGGGGTTCTGTGCGCCCTTGGCGACAATTGCCTCTTGTAATCTTCATAAATGCAATCTGCAATCCGCCAGATATTATCAACCATCCTCCTTAGTATAGGGGTTAGTATGCCAGCTTGTCACGCTGGAGACGGGAGTTCAAGTCTCCCAGGGGGAGTCTTCTTTTTTTTTTCCTTTTTTTTTGAGCATTCTTTTCTTAAAGCCTCCCTTTATTAGATTTTCATTTGTGCTACTTGATATTCAGCAATCCTCCTTAGTATAGGGGTCAGTATGCCAGCTTGTCACGCTGGAGACGGGAGTTCGATTCTCCCAGGGGGAGTTTTTTTTGTCCTTTTTGCTCTCTCTCTTTTGGTTTTTTGGGGGACGGGATTGCTTTTTTAAAGCCCCAGATCCACTGCAATACTGTCGGCATTGGAGGCATAGTGTGCGGCAGAGCTACATGAACCTCTAACCGAAAGCCTGTCTTAAGATCTTGCTCACCTTAGTCGCCGGCTAGCTCACCTTGAATCACCCTGCCCAGGTGAGCCTACATGTAGAGCGGCGCTGCTTATGCATCTCACCTTACTTGGTGGGTCGAGGTCAGCCGATTCTCTGGACGTAAATCTCACCCAATGGCTAGTTGAGAAGGGGTGGACGTTCTGGAGTGGCTGGGGGGTGGGCGAGGTGACGCCGAATTTCTCTGGGTCATTGAACGTAAACCAGAGGTAGCATGATTTTGAACTATTGATGTTTTCCTCGGCCTTCATTGAGATCCGTGTATTGAACCCGTGCTCCCCTCTGTCTTCTCAACGTGGACCCGCATATCTCGACCTAGTTCACTCAAAATGCCTTTCCAGTTGCCAATCTCGTCCACGTTCCTGGCTTTCCTTATGAGGGCCATCCCTCGAAACTCTACAAACCACACAGCAAACCAGTAACTGCTGCCGACCAAAGAAAAACAAGCAGAAATCCAAGCCATGGTGAGAAACGGGCCCCCTCTGGCCGTCTTTATATCCCATGCCGTGCCCATCCTGTCAACGGCCGATGCACCGCCCACAACGATGGCCGTGGCCGTGGCTGCGAATATCAGCAGCGCGGTTGCGCCCAGGATTGCGAAGCACATGTTGATCCAGACGACGGGACAGCGAAAGCCTTGAACCGCCGTGACGACGGAGCCGAACAGGGCGATGCCCACGCTGGCCGTGCCGATGATAATCAGGACGAGCATGGCGTGCGCCCCTTGTGTGGCGAGTGATAAGAGTGATTCGACTGTCGAGCCCATTGCTACCACGAGAGGCACCGAGATGTTGGTGTTCCCGAGGATGAAGTAGCTCGGCATCGAGCTGGAGATGTTTCGAAGTCCTGGAGTGCAGTAAATCAGTCCCGTCTACCCGTCCGCTGCGATATGCTCAGCTTCAACTTACCATGCTTCCTGTCCTCGTAGTCGACGCACCGCTTCATGGCGGAACCGCTGTGTGGGTCATCCGGATTCTCGTAGTCACCCTCGCATGCCTTGGTCAGGTACAACTTGTACGTGTCCTTCACTCCCAATTTTTGGACCAGGTTGCTGACGACTTGTCCCTGGATATCTTGGACCCCGTCGTCGACGGCTGCTGTGATGTTGACTAGAGACCTGGATGTATCGTCTTCGAAAATACCCTCGATTGTGCCTGTGTTTGACCCTGGGGTCAACTGGACAATTTGATGACCAACTCGGGAGGTGTTCACCTAACCATATCTTGTCAGCAATGCCGGTGGCAGAAATGGCTGACTCGCGGTTCCCCCCTTACCGACAACCAGTAGTTATCCTTGCCGTTCCCTGGTGCAGTCCCAGACGCAAGGAGGATAACCGCTATGCAGATGCTCACGAGGGAGGCAACGACAGGGCAGATTGCGGTCCGCCGTCGGATCATGGCTGCCTTTCCCTGGGTTTGCTGAGTTCGGGCAGTTGAGCTCCTAACACCTTAATTAAATACGGGATTTGAAACTAACAGCAAGCAAGGCCCATCAAGCGAGATTGAAGGTGCCGAAAGCTTCCATAAATGCCAATTCGGAGGCCTGACAAGACAAGACGTCATGTCTGGTCGCATGAGTGTTGCCAAGAAAACGTGAGTGGCGACTCACCGCAGACATGGGCGAGCTTCGCCGGGTTTCATGCCCTCCTGACCCGGAAACGTGGTAGAATATGGGAAACGTTATATAGCGCCTCAACGGAAACGTTATAATTAGTGGATTGGTCAACCAGATGGGCGGGATCCAGGGTTTGCCTGTCGGCTTAGACATGACGCAGTAAATTATGCGGCTGTGCTTGAACCTGTTAGGTCGTTTACCTGGGTGCAAACAAACACTGTTTCATGAACTGGGTAGCAAACATTTATTCTCCGAAACCACTCTAGGCGAACTCCCTCACAATCCAGCGACTGGTAGCGAATACTAAATTCATATCCTCAGACAAGCATGTGCAACACACCGTGTGAGCCCCCATTTCCCCGATAACCCAGTACTCGAACAGCAGGACAGTCACGTTCAAAAAGAAGTTTGCATCTTAATATTAGTTACTCTCTAGTTAGTCTACCTGCAAGGACTCCCGAAATATCTTCATAAACATCCACACATCACTGAAGGTGCAATACATGGGCACCGGCGCAACCCGTATCACGTCTGGCTTCCGCTGATCACAGACGACGCCGCCGCTCTTGAGAGCCGCCCCGACCCGCTCCAGCAGCCCGGGCCGCAGGAGCACACTGAGCTGCGCCCCACGCTCCAGGGGATTCTCGGGCGTGAGGATCCGGAAAGGCGGCCCCTTCTCGCCGCCCCCGCCCCTGCCGCCGCCGCCGCCGACCCCGGCCAGGATCCCCTTGAGCAGGTACTCCGCGTAGGCGGTGAGCACCAGCGACTTGGACCGCAGCGCCGCCATGCTGGTGCGGCCGAACACGGACAGCGCGGCCGACAGCGAGGCGAGGTCGGCGGCGGACGGGTTCGACAGCTGGAACCCGCTCGCGCCGGGCGCGGGCCTGAACACGTTATCCATGTCGAAACGCACCGAGACGTCGCCGCCGTACCAGCCCGACAGGCGCGGGCGGAAGGACGGGGCCCCGCCGCCGTTCGCAGGGTAGTCGACCTTGCCGTGGCGGTCGTGCACAAAGGCCCCCGCGATGGAGCCCGGGCCGGCATTGATGTACTTGTAGGTGCACCAGACGGCAAAGTCGACGTCCCAGTCGTGCAGCGCCAGCTCGACGTTGCCGGCGGCGTGGGCCAGGTCCCAGCCCGCGACGAGGCCGCGGTCGTGCGCGCGCCGCGTGATGCGCACCATGTCGAAGAGCTGGCCGCTGTAGTACTGCACCCCGGGGAGGAGGAGCAGCGCGGCCGAGTCGGCGTGCTCGTCGATGGCGGAGAGGATCTTGTCCGTCGCGATGCGGAAGTCGGCGTCCGGCTGGATTGTTATCAGGGACGTGGCTGGGTCTAGGCCGTGCCATCGGATCTGGGACTCAACGGCGTACTGTCTTTCTGATGAGCCTTCGGGGAAAGTAATGGGGGAAGGATCAGACTCACGTAGTCGCTGGGGAAGGGCTTCCACTCCATGATGATCTTGTGCCTCTTGGCGGTCGGCTTGTAGAAACTCGCCAGCATCAGGTGCAGGTTCGCCGTCAGCGTGTTCATGATGACGATCTCGCCCGGCGACGCGCCCACCATGTCGGCCGACTTCTTGGCGCAGTCGTCGGCCATGTGCTGCCAGGCCACCAGCGGTGAGCCCTCGAGGTCGGAAAAGTGGCCGTTCACCCCCAGAGAGGCCCACGTCTCCAGGTGCGCGTCAAGGTACTTACGGACGGCCTTTGGCTGCGCGCCCAGAGAGTTGCCGACGAAATAGATTGCTGGCGAGGAGTCGTCGTCGCTGCTGGTGTTGCTGTTGTTGTTTGGCTGGGAATTTGCATCTGCGCCATTTTCTTGGCCATCCCTATGGCCGTTGCTGGTATGGGTGCCGTTCAAAAGTGTCGGGTGTACATCAGCCCCTATTCAGTGCCTTTGTTAGGGGCGACTCGCCTTCCATGCTGTGCTGACAGACGTACCTGGAAGGACCCCATCCAATGCCGTCTTTTTCAGAGAACCCTTGGTTGGTAGGATGAACTCATCTCGGAGATGTCCAAGTTCGTCTTGCGCATCCAGCGTCTGGGCATACTCAAGACCATCCGCGTGGGCAGGGAACTCAGGCGCTAGACCCGCACGGAGACGCTTGACTTGTGATGCGAAGTCCATGGTGGTTACACGACACTGATGGAGAAATGACCTGATATTTTGAGTTTGGAGCAATGCAATCCCTCTTGCTGATACGAGACGGACCACCACTTTGTACTCCCCAATCGGCAGATGGAAGTTGGCTTTGTGAAAGCCGATGGGAGCCTTGACCTGACGTAGATGGTAGGTTCCATGTAAGTTCCGAAGTTCCGAAGTCCCGAGGTTCCGCCATCCGCACCCGCCATCCATGTTCCGCCATCCGTCTTCCGCTTTCCGTCTTCCGCAAGTAACCGACAACCAACGTCAACCTACCAGCCAACTTTCCAGGAGGCTTGTGGATCTTGTTGCTGGGTTCACTGCCGAGTTCAAAAAGGAATCCTAGTCGTTTCCTACCCAAATAAGCAGGATTCGTCACTGGGGTCATGTGTGGGAAAGAGAGACGATTCAGCTCGGAAGTATTTCACCCAAGGTCGGCCCCTTTGTTTTTGCCCATCCTCATCCCCATCGTTCACTAATTATTTGGGCTTCACTTTTCGTTTACAATGTCACCTCGTGCAATAACACCCCTAATCGAGAAGGTTTCTCCCGTCCTTCTGGAAGAGTTCACTTTGGACAAGTTCTCAGTAACATCAAATGGCTTCCTTCCCAGTCAAGCCCCGTTAAGGTCACTCACAGATTCATACTATGAACCGTGGGAGACTCTGATACGGACCGTACCGGGATCCCTGAAGCAGCGTACGTTGCGTTTTCAAGTCGATCAACTGCCGGTGTTGTCTCTTGATCGGTTAGCAACCAAGGCGGAGTGGAGGAGAGCCTATGTTATCCTGAGCTTCCTCACTCATGCGTATATATGGGGAGGTGACCGTGCCGCAGAGGTAAGAAATATCCCATGACGTCCTCGAGGTGGGAAGTCAGGTTGACAGTCCAAACAGGTCCTACCTCCGTCAATATCGATTCCCCTTCTCCAAGTTTCATCCCGACTTGAGCTCCCCCCAGTTGCGACCTATGCGGGCCTAAACCTTTGGAACTTTACCAGTCGGACCACCGACTTCACCGATCTCGACTCGATACACGCCCTCCACACGTTTACTGGCACTGAAGATGAGTCGTGGTTTTACATGGTATCCGTCGCGATGGAAGCCCAAGGCGCATACATAATCCCAATCATGATGCGGGCGCTCGAGTCCGTCAGAACAAGAGATTACGCCACCATCACGCACGCTCTGCGAGAGATGTCCTGCTGCATACGCAAGCTTGGCCTCCTGCTCGACCGCATGGACGAGAAGTGCGACCCCACCATCTTCTACCACCAGATCCGGCCATTCCTCGCCGGGAGCAAAAATATGGCCTCGGCGGGGCTCCCAAGAGGCGTCTTCTACCCCGACGACGTGGACGGCCGCGGGCGCTGGCTCCAGCTCCGCGGCGGCAGCAACGGCCAGAGCTCGCTGATCCAGTTCTTCGACATCGTGCTCGGCGTCGAGCACACCTCCCGAGGTGGGCCCGACGCACCGGCACCAACAAAACCACCACCACCTGGCAAAGCATCGTCCGAACCACCAAGCTTCCACGAGGAGGTCCGCGCGTACATGCCCGGCCCGCACCGGCGGTTCCTCGAGCACGCCACCGCGGCGGCGGGGGCGGGACGGACGGACGACGGTGGCGGCGGCAGAGGTATCCGGGATCTCGTTTCGCGGCTGCCGGCGACGGAGACGGCGACGGCGGAGCAGATGGCCCTCCGTGCCGCTTTCCAGGAGGCGACGGGGGCGCTGGGCGAGTTCCGCGGGAGGCATCTGCAGATCGTGGCGAGGTACATCGTCATACCCTCGCGGCAGCAGCAGGAGAAACAGCGGCGGGCTGCGGATGGCGGTGGCGGTAGCGAGGTCGTCGTCAATCTCGCCAACGTGGCGCCGGGAGAGAGGAGCGCGAACGCGAAGGCGGCCGCGGGGCTGACGGGGACGGGGGGCACGGAGCTACTGCCTTTCTTGAAGCAGGCGCGAGACGAGACGTATCGCGCTGGGTTTTTGGAGCCGGGGGCATGATTGGACCTTGGTTGGTCGATGGTCGCCTCGTGCTGCCTGGCTAGGAGCCACTTGTACTGTATTTATATACGCAAACTTATGCCTCTGGCGACACGATGGTTTAGATAGATTAGATAGAAAAGACTATTAATGACACGACTTGAATCTTGTGATCTGTTCACTCAGGTTCTTGATGGCTCCCTTCCCTGTGGTTTGTGCATGCGGAACTTCGTAGGTTGGTGGTTGGGGAGGAGGGAGGAGGGTTTCCTGTGGTTGTGCATGCTGAGTCTGAGGTGGTTGGTTTTGTGAGTCGTGCGTTGGTTTTCCTTGGATTATTGTTGTGATGATGAGAAGGGGACTGGACTGAGAGCGGAACATATCCGCGGGGACCATCTATCGTCCTCCGAGACGGAACTACGGTGACTGGTGATGTTGTGATCGCCGCCGACGGCGCCCACAGTATAGCGGTCGAGACTGTCCTGGGCAGGATAAACCCGCCAACTTCCGCAGAACTTGTGTAACTTTTGCTACCGCTTCCTGATCCCGGCGGAAGACCTGGAGGCGGACCCGGCGACCAGGTTCTGGAACGCGGACGGCGACGGGAGGATCCAGATTTTCATCGGCGAGGGGAAGAGAATCGTCAGTTACCCCCGTCGGAAGTGAGCCTCTCCACTTATTCATCGCTCCCCCAAGGAGCGGTTGGTCGTAAGAGCAATACCTTGAACGCTTATAGTAACGAGGTCCACAACTTCGTGGCATGTTCCATGACGACCAACCGTTGTTGAGCAAGAAAGAAGGTGCGTCGTTTTCGGTCAACCGATCGTGGTCTAGACTCTGATCCATCACAGACTGGCATGTGTCGGTGGACAAGTCGAGGTTTCTGGAAAGATTCTCGGATTTCCATCCCAGAATCCTTACAGTCATGGAGTCAGGAGATACGCCCCGAAGGGTCACTGCAGAGGAGCTAGCTGACCAGATCCCAGCAAGGCAACCGAGGTCAAGCAGTGGCCACTCCTGTACCGGGCTCCCATCGAGAGTTGGCGCAAGGGCAAAATAGCTCTAGTCGGCGATGCCGCACATCCGATGCTTCCTCGTCAGTGATTCCTGGTTGCTTCCCTAAGGACCCACCACGTATCACAGCCACTGAGACAGCAGAATGTTCCGAGACCAGATCAAGGGCAAGGCGGAGCTCAAGCGGTAGAGGATGGGGCGTCGATCGGGATCTGCTTTGTCGGGGCAACGCCAGAGCAGGTTTCTGAGAGGTCGAGAATGTACGACAATATTCGAAGGAACCGAGGCAGCGTGATGCAGATATTCAGCAATGCTGGACAAGACGAGGGAGGCTTGATTCAAAGGGAGGCGGCGATACATGCCTGTTCCAAGCGAGTCAACCCTACTCCAACTGCAGAAGGTACTGACCTAGATTGGCTGACGTTGAAGTAGACGAGTTCTATGAGTTCAACATTGGATACGACGTTATCCGGGACTCGGTCCTGCAGATCCAGGAGGTTGTCGCATCTTCCACGCTGCCCCTCGGCCCAGGTGGGGATCCGCCCGTTGAGGGTGGCGATGGCAGCGGTGGAGCCGACGCCGAGGGGGATCACTAGGTTGACCTGTGGTTTGGGGGAGGAGAAGGGGTGTAAGCAATTACTGCGGTCAGTTCAACAAACGCGTGGTTTGAGGGACTCAAGGGAGGGAGAGGGACCCTCACGATGATTTTCGTCTTGGGGTTCGAGGCGCGCATGATTATGACCATCTTGGTGTAGGCGGCTATGATGTCGTCGGTCGAGTGGCCCTGGAAGACGTCGTTGGTGCCCAGCATGAACATGATGATGTCGGCGGGCGTCCTCTGCAGCCAACCCTCGCGGTACTTGTTGGCGATGTCAATGGCCAGCCAGCCCGAGTGGCCCTCGGGGTGCTGGTCCCAGTTCGCCGTATTAGGCTTGCAGTTCTGCGGGTTGCTGTTCTGCGACCCGACGTACTCGACCTGGTCGGCGTAGTTAGCCTCAGCCAGCATGTCCCACACCAGGGCACGCCAGCAGGTGATCTCGGTGATGCTGTCGCCGAGAGGCACTTGGTTGTTGACTACGTGTTAGCGGCGACGGTGACGGGGACGGGGACCAGGACCAGGGGCCGGATCTCGATCTCTCTCACTAATTTTGAGCTCCGAATCCTGCCATTCCGCAATTCGGCCGCCAAAGACCAACTTAGCCACGGTCACCGCCGTCAGGAGAAGCTTAGAAATGTACATTACGTCTATGGGCAATCTTGTCCGGGGGGGGGGGGGGGGGAATCCAAGGTGTCTACGTATTCAACAATATGGAGTGTTGAGAATAGCATAGTCGAGGCGAGGAAGGCTAACAAATGGCCTCTAGTTGCCTGCTCTAATACTTATACTCCCCTGTTCGTGACTTCTCAGGGAGTGCCCGCCCGTTGATCGGCAACATGGTCGGCAACATGGTGTTCCACCTACAAATGCGAGCTACGTTTGATACTGTCTTATTTAATATGACCCGGATCTAAGGAACGCTACCGTAGTTGGAAACCCCCGTCAGAATAAACGAGATCTATATTATGTTTACAGCGGGAGAACGCTTTGAAGCATTGTCGTCTGTTCAGAGTCGGGAAGGATTTCTCTAATTAACTTGCTCCTTCTCTCGTACCTGGACGGTTGTCATGGCTACTGATTGGTGCGTATGCTGCGAATGAGGGGCAGGTAAATATATATATAACGTCCAGCTAGGCCAGTCATATCGTCGGAGTTCGGAAGAGGTGCTTGCTTGCATGTCCCCAAGCCGGATAATGGTCCACTTCCCCTCTTTTCGGCAATCCCCGAGGCCGCGTTGGACCAGCCTCTGGGAAACCTTCCTACCGTCCTTCACCACTCGGCTCTATTCCGAGGATTTAATTTGTTGTTGTGGGGGTTTCAACCCCGATGTCTCATTGGCAGTCCCTCTCAACCGACTTTTTCCTCCGAGCACAACACTGGGTTCAGCCATGGACTTGCACGGGCCCATCCGACAGAACCGCGCAGCAGATCCGGGTCCCGTGTTGGAGGGTAAGGGGAACATGGAGACGGGAAGGGACACATAGAGGCGAAGGGAAGCAACCGACTGGCTTGAGAAGGCTTGGCAAGCTTCCTAAGCCCTGGTGTACGGCGTATGGTGTACCCATGTGCCCCGAACTTCCTGCCCATTGTGCCGTGAGATGTGCTCCTTTGCCAAGAACAAGACGACAAGCCAAAGCAGACGGAGTTCAATAGGAATGCCAATGCTTCTCATACACTGTTACCACCTATGATACACAACCACTGCATTTCCACGTGACGACTAAACGTCCCGTGGAAAGCGTGGGAAACGCGCCATGTTACCGGCGAGATTATAGATTCCGTCTCATCTGAGAGAACACGGTCTGGAAATTGGGAGGGGCAGCGTATTTATCCACCACGATCTCGACCAACTTGAGCCCCTTCCCGTCGTGGAAGCTCTCGCTGCCCATCAGCCCGTCCATATCACGCCAAGTCTCGAGCCGGTAAGTCTCGACGGGGTAGTCATCCGGAGCGCCGAAGAAGCGCGCGGCCTCGAGGTACTTCCAGGGGGCGACGTCGTTGTACGGCGCCTCCTGGCGGTGAGTCAGCCTCGAGGCGCCGTAGCCCCCGTTGTTGACGACGAAGACGGTCACGGCCAGGCGCTCGCGGATGATGGTGCTCAGCGCCGGGGCCGCGGCCTGGAAGTCGCCGTCGCCGACGACGAGCATCGTGCGCCCCGCCGTCTGCCCCAGCGCCGCCCCCAGCGCCGCCGGCAGCGCCTGCCCGGCCCCGAACCACATGCCCGACGCCATCACCCGCGCCCCCCGCGGGAGCACGAGGTCGCGGCCCCCGACGCATGCCGTGCCGCCCCCGAGGACCACCACGTCGTCGCGCTGCAGGAACCGCCCCAGACGCAGGTACAGCCCCGTCTGGCTGATCGGGTCGCCGGGCTGCACCGCCGGCGGCGGGACGTCGCGGAAGTTGCCTAGCAGGTGGGCGTTCCGGGACGGAATCTGCGTGGGGTCGAGCTGCTTGAGAAGCTGCCGTATGACGTCCTTGCCGTCCATCTGCTGTGCCCCGATCGAGTTCCTGCCGATCGTGGCCAGCTTGGCCGAGTCGGGGAGGGTGGACCAGCCTAGGGTCTGGGCGTCGGAGAATAAGGGCCCGAAGGCGATGATGAAGTCTGCCGAGTCGACGTACGGCATGGTGTCGATCTGGCCGGCCGGCCCCGAGTGGATGCCGTAGTAGTTGGACAGCGAGTTGTCGATCATGCCGGCCCCGGACGGCATGCAGAGGGTGGGGATGCCGGTCTGGCGCACGAACTCGTTGATATCCTCTCTCAGCGAGGACACACCCTGGCCCCGGTCCACCAGGATCAGCGGCTGCTTCGAGCTGTACAGCCTCTGGAGTAACCCCTTGGCGGCCTGCCAGCGGGGAACGCCGTGGGGGCCGGCGGGGACGATGGTAGAGCCGATGGACTTGCGCAGCCTGTCCGGGTCAACAGACGCGTTCACCATGTCGCTGGGCAGCTCGATGTAGGCGGGCCTGCTCCAGGTCAGGCACTCGCGGATGGCCTTGTCGACGAGCTCGGGGGCCGTCTTCTCGTCGTCCAGCCGCACCTGCGCGACGGTGACCTTCTCGGCCATCTCGCGGAACACGCCCAGGCGGTGGTCGCCCAGGGAGCCATGCATGTGCATGTACCACCTCATGTTCTTCAGCACGCGCCTCGCCGGCGTCCCCACGACGTGCACCACGGGGACGTCCTCGGCGAAGCTGCCCGCCACGGCGGCGACGGCAGACAACTCGCCGCCGCCGTAGCTCGTCATCAGCGCGCCGAGGCCGCGCGCCCGCGCGTACCCGTCCGCCGCGTACCCGGCCCCCAGCGCGTCGCAGGCGCCGACCCACCGGAGCCCCGCTGACGGCACGTGGTCCAGCGCCCGGAGTGTGAGGTCGCCCGGCACCCCGTGCACCGCGTGCACGCCCTGCTGCGCCAGCCGCTTGAAGAGGTAGCGGGCGAGCGGGATTGTCTTTGCCGACTGCGCCATGGCTTGGCTGGCGGTTGTGGGTGTGTGGAGCCCCCCAACGGGTTGACGAGATTGAGCAAAGAGAGATTCTGGAGAGAATTGGGATGGTAATTAAGGAGTCACCATCGCGGCACGAAATGTCAGCGCCGTCAGGATCATTCGAGACGCTGCGGAAAGTGAGCAAGGATGAAGCAAGTGGCAGATAAGGATAAGAGGTCAAAATTTGAGATGGTAGATAAAAGAGGCAGGGATTGCCAGCTGATTGCAGCTGATGATCTTGGCAGGGGAGCAAGACAACAATTGGCCCTCTCCTCGAGGTCAATTGAGCACGATCATTGCTTTATTTATCTCTGCAAACAGTAGTATTACCGAGCAATGCCGCTCGTCGTCTGTCAAGTCCCCTATATACAGCCAACTCCCGGTGCCGCGGGTTACCAGACCCTTGAGAAGACCGAGGACAAGCACCGGTAGAATACCCACTTAACCCGGACCGAAGGTGGACTTTCTCGAGGCTCACTCAAGGGCATAGTTGCGGTCAAGCCTTCAGGCCAACAACACCTCTCCGTGGTGCTGAAGTCTCGCAACTTTTCTGATGAATTGAAACAAATCCATATGCCCCCATCACCGAGCACGCTTCCTCGGGGCCCGAACTACGCGGCAAAGATGCCTGTGTCCAAAAGAGTCGACGCCCAAACGACGCAGCTTCTCCTCCTCACGGCCATAATGACTCGTACATAAACAGCCAGTCATCCCAATAATGGTCGAACTTGCCAACCAACCAACTCCTCCCATCGCCCTCCCGCCCAATCTTCCACGGCCGCGTATACAGGCCGTCCATCTGCAGGTGCCGCTTGAGAGCGACGGTCATGCTGAACGAGCTGGGACTCACGCCCACGAAGTAGTCGCTCCAGAGGAGAACCAGGTAGTCAACTATGGCCTGCTGGTCCCAGCTGAGAGCTTGTAGAGCCTGCATGTCATCGGGATGCGTCTGGAGAAGGTCGTTCTTGGTGGCGACCCGCATTTGGTGTCGGAATTTTGCTTCCCCCACGAACTTGGCCGCCTCCGTCTCGTCCCCGGTCGCAAGATATCCCGCCCCGAAACCGCGATGGGATGCTTCGCGGAGATATGCCGTAGTCTGGTCGTCGAAATTGGGCCACCCCTTGAGCGCGTCCTTCTCGGTTCTTAGGTGGAACCCGGCGAACCCAGCGCCGCCACCTTCCTTGGTAGTCTCGGCAGCGAACCGACGCATCGCATCGCTGACTGCCTTTCCGAGCTCGAGAATGTCCTCGCGGAATCTCAGGAGGCCTCCATACGTGGCTACAAACTCGGGCCCGTCGTTGTAGACTGGCCAATCCCACTGAACCCCCCAGTTGAGACGGATGACTCGGGGGTGAGCCTGGCTGGTGGCGGGCCATTTACGCTCCGCGGCAGTCTCCCGGAGCCATGCATGGAAGCCAGAGCCGAAGAGGTCGGCATGGCGATTAAGGTCTCTCTGGTCGCAGCCGCCCCTGAGACCAAAGTCTCTCGGGGTGATCATCTCTGGCTGAAAACGTTGTCTGAGATTGGGTATGTCCCAGGTTTGGTTGAAGATGGTCATCTGTGGGCAGTGGGTTGCGAGGCCGGTCCGGAAATGATGCCCGTCAAAGAAGTAATCAAACTCCTTGTAAGCCATCATCAGATCGGCCAGGTTGTCGACCGACCGCGTCCGGATCTGGGGCATGACCAGGCCTGTGGCACCGGCCTCGATGGCGTACCGCAGACACGTGAGGATGAAGTTGCGGATGTTGCCAATGCCGCCCGAGTTGTTGTCGCAGATAAATACGAGCCCCGGCGTCCACGTGGTCGTCTCGGCGCAAACTCGCGCCAGCGGCCAGCCGACAAAGGGCGCGTCCGGGTCCGAGAGGTCGAGGGCCCGGTGCGCTAGCGGCCCGCGCGTGATGTCGGCGTTGCACTGGTCAAAGAGACATATGCGTGGCAGGCGGCAGCCCCACAGCGTCGCCAGGCTGATGAGGCAGACCGCCAGGAGAACGTTCCGTTGCCGGGCCATTGTCAATCGCGGGACGGCCTGCAATTGGATGCGGCCCATGTTTCGAGAGAATCCCACAGGCCGTCTCGGCTGTTGGAATTCGCGGGAATACCTTCAAGCGCGCATGTGTGTTCATTATCGTTCGCATCGTGGCAGAGAGTCTGAACCCACGTCCGCCCTCAGAAGAGAAGCCACGTTCAGATTGCGGATAAATTGCCATGCCCAGCCGTGGGAGACGGAGTAGTGGCTCCGTTAGAGGATGTACGTGGACGTGACAGCGTGCCAGGATCGGCCCAGCGATCGCCGAGAGGCATACGTTGTACTAGTCAGGTAAAGCGTCTGATCGGAAACGTGAAGTCACGCTCGCTCATTTGTCCATTTGCTCGCGGTTGCATTGGCTTGATCAAGGTCCCAGATGATTCGGCTCAAACAATTTAAGCCTTTATCGATGCGCTGAATAGGCATTTACTGTGTACCAATGTGCATAAGCATCTATCGATGCATCTATCGGCTAAGCCACATTACTCGATAACAAGCCACAAATTGCGGGGTACCTGCCCCACGAGAAAAAAGTTGAAAATTTGGGATCACAGAATCACGGCCTTCAGCCCAATTGTCTACACATCTCACAGCCGACAGTCGGGCAAGCAGTTCCTTTCCAGAAGAAGCTGAAATGTCGAAGCGCGTAGCAGACGTCGAGGATGTCGCCGGCCCGCTCAAGGGCGGTGACCGGCCCGAGGCCATGGATGTCGACGACAAGACCCAAGCGGACATTGGGGAATTCGAGGACGAGTTCGAGGACGAGTTCGAGAGCGAAGATGAGATTTTCGAGGCTGGCGTGGACGGGAGGCCAGATGCAGAGCGCGAGGCTGAAGAGGCAGCAGGTAAGAAGAATAAGACTATTCCCTCCTGTCACGCCGGCTGGCAGTGGATGTGCCTTCTCTAACAGTGCATGCTGCGTGGTAGACGGCGCAATGGATGTCGATAGCGGCCCGGGGACGTTCATCGTCGGCCGTACGAAGCTCGAGCCGGGGCAGACTCTGGCGCCAGACCCGACTACGTACGAAATGCTTCACAATCTGAGCACACCGTGGCCCTGTCTCTCATTCGATATCATCAGAGACAACCTCGGCGACGGCCGCAAGGTCTACCCCGCGACCATGTACATGGTGGCGGGGACACAGGCGGAAAGCGGCAAAGCAGATGAGAACAAGCTCATGATTATGAAGTTCAGCGGCTTGAGCCGCATGGAGCGCGAACACGGGGAAGATTCAAGCGATGACGAGGATGACGACGACGAGGATGCCGACCCGGTTCTCGAATCAAAGTCAATACCGCTCAATTCCACGACAAACCGGGTCCGGGCACATCATACGCCGTCACAAGACCCTTCCAAACCCCCGACCACCCTCACTGCGACCATGACCGAGTCTACAAACGTCTACATCCACGACATCACCCCCCATATTGCATCTTTCGATACCCCGGGAACGGTCATCACCCCCCAGCAGAATAAGCCCGTGTCGACCATCCGCGCCCACAAGTCGGAAGGCTACGCCGTGGACTGGTCGCCTCTACACCCGGCAGGGAAGCTGCTCACGGGAGACAACGACGGCCTGATATACGCGACCATGCGGACCGACGGCGGGAGCTGGGTGACGGACACGCGGCCCTTCCAAGGCCACACGAGCAGCGTCGAGGACATCCAATGGAGCCCGTCCGAGGCATCCGTCTTCGCGTCGGCGTCGAGCGACGGCACGGTCCGGGTGTGGGACGTGCGTAGCAAGAGCCGGAAGCCGGCGCTGACGATGCAGGTCAGCGACACGGACGTCAACGTGATATCGTGGTCGCGGAAGACGACGCACCTGCTCGCGTCGGGCGCCGACGACGGGCAGTGGGCGGTCTGGGACCTGCGGCAGTGGAAGCCGAGCGCGACGTCGACGCCTGAGAGGCCGACGCCCATCGCCAGCTTCAACTACCACAAGGAGCAGATCACGAGCGTCGAGTGGCACCCGTCCGACGACAGCATCGTGGCCGTGGCGGCCGGCGACAACACGGTCACGCTGTGGGACCTGGCCGTGGAGCTGGACGACGAGGAGAGCAAGGACACGGCCGGCGTCACTGATGTGCCGCCCCAGCTCCTGTTTGTGCACTACCAGCAGATGGCGAAGGAGGTCCACTGGCATCCCCAGATACCCGGCTCGCTGGTGGCCACGGGGGAGGAGTTCAGCGTGTTCCGGACCATCAGTGTTTGATCGGATGGGTAAGACGAACAACTCGTGTTTTTAGACGGCGTTCTCGACAGCATGATGGAGGGAAGGTTGGGTGGCTTGGGGTTTACGTTTTTTCGATAACGGAGGGTGGCGGATGCACGGTAGATTTGGAAAGGAAACTAGCGGGTTCCGATATCTCGAGGATGATACCACTCCGGGATCGCGGCTTGGTGTCACCGTAGCTCACAACACGCCATGGGAGAGCTGAAGATACCACAAGAGGTAGTTTATGCTGCAGGCTGCAGGCTGCAATCCTCAAACATGTCTACAGAAATGCCCTCATGTTGCTCTTCTTGATCAAGCTCGCCGCCGTCATGGATCTAGACCCATCCACAAGAAGGGAGTATATAGAACCAAGCAAAGTCAAGCCGTGCATCATATTCCATCACACATACAAAAGCCAGCTCCTAGATCCGCCAAAACCCCACACATCCGACCTTACAGATCGGCAGTGGCGCCTCCGTACGAGTGTATCTGTTTCCCACCAAGGTCGGTCAGTCAGTCTCATCTCTCTTCTTCCCCCATTTCCCCCCACGCAGTTCCGGGGGTTAGACTCACCGTCTGATCAAAGCACCCCTCGGGCGTCTGGTACAGATACGCGCCAGTGTTGATAAACAGCTCCTGCTTGTCGCACACCAGCCAGGCAGCCTCATTCGGCCTCTTGATATCCGCCACGCTCCACGTCAGCGTGTCGCCCTGGAACGCAAACGCGCCGTACGTGTTCTGCGTCGCGCTGAACGTCGTCCGCAGCTTGCGCTGCGTCTTGTCCGCCGGGTTCTCAACGTTCATGTACAGCGGTGGCGTCGACCCGCCCCGGTTGTACACCACCTGCCCTGCTGATACCTTGAACTGCCCCGCCGATGTGTGCGAGTCTAGGTACGCTGGCCCCGGGGCGCCGGTCGGCTTGGCTTGCAGGTAGCTGTGGAAGTTGGGCGAGGCGACGGCTCGTACCCACGCCCAGCCGTCTTGGAGGGTCGTCGGGACGGACCCCTGGCTGCCGCCGCCTGGGGAGGTGGTTGTCGGGGGCGGCGTCGTCGTCACCTTGGGCGTCGACGTGGTCGTCGTCGTTGTCACCTTGGTCGTGGGCGTCGTCGTGGTCGTGGTCGTCGTCGTCGGACGTGAGGTGCTACTGCTGCTTCGAGTCGTGGTCGTGCTCGTGGTCGGTGCGCCGGCCGCTCCGGGATAGCACTGGAAGTAGTACGCGCTGATGTTGGGAGACGAGGGCTTGTCAGCTTTCTCGGCTCTGCGGAAACCTATGGCGGGCGAGGGATCTTCTCGTGACGCACTTCAAGCTCGTGCAGCCATAGCCGCTGCCGCATGCCGTCGGCCCTGAGTAGTCGATACCGCCGCCTGTGAGGGTTGGGCCACTTGCTTAGCTCTCGACTGATATGATATCCGTCAACGACGGGGGCCCGTCGCCACCTCGGGAACTTACACTGCCCGTATGGACCCGCAGTCGCCTGCGCCGCCGCCGCGGCTGCCAGGAACGGCACGGAGAGAGTGGCTTGGGATAGCTTCATGTTGTCTCAGGCTTTGTCCAGCGAGTTCGACGTCTACGTACTTGGCACACCTTCCTGTGAGGCACTCGGGCGAGCTTGGCATATATGCTTATCGAGTCCAAGACAAATTGCGGCATCCGGCCTTGGTCCCGGGAGTCCATGCCCTCGAGGTGACCCAACACCTCCGATGATTTCGCCATTGCCACATCCGACATGACCGAAGCGGTTAGCCCTCCCGGGACACAAACAGCTTCGTCCCGAAACGGGCGGAGATCCAGCAGGGGACACTGGAGTTGGCGTTGCGGTGGGGAAACTGGGGGCGTAACCAAAGAGACCCTCGATTGAGATATGTGCTGCTCCAGCCCCAATCCGTCGCGATGACGTTGCATCCGCTGGCGACGCTTGGAATGCATGGCGAAAGGGAATTCCGGGAATCCATCGCCTGCCCCCCTGGCCCCCCCGCCCCCGCCCCATTGTTCGGGCGGAGCCTGGCTTTCCGTGGGGCCCAGATTCCGGGTTGCGCACGCCGCGGAAATTAAATAAAAACGCAATGGGGTAGCATCACGTCGAAGAGGGCATCCCCAGCGATGCTACTCAACGAGCCCCCGCAGAGGCCCGCGGGCTTGGTCCCATCTTGACAAGGAGGGTGGGCCACCGGAGCGCTCCGGCCATGTTTTCCCCCTTCCGCTGGCCTCCTGCTGCTGGGGGGTTTCTCCCGTTTCTAATATTTATTCACTCTGCGCAGAAGGTCTGTCCTTTGTCCACAGCCAATGTCACAACAGACTCGTCTTGTGGTTGTGTTCAAGCACGAACATCCCGCGGGGCTGGCCTAGCAGGGTGGAATGGTGCTAGTCTCCTCGCCCGTTGAGTCACAGGATATTTGGGGGAGGTGACTTGGATTCCGGCGAATACGCTTTTCGACGAGGGGAGAAGAGACTGATGCCTAAATATCGGGGAACTGCACGGCTATGTCGCTTTTCTTCAAGCAAGCCATGTAATTGTATCGCATAATGCACCAGATCCACATGGTGATGTCCGGCATTCGGGAATAGCAACGTCTAGAGGGTGTTGAGATGGTGCGGAGTGGCAACAATCTTGATTCCAAATCTGCACTCTCTCGTTTGGGTTCCTTTCCCAGCCTGAAGACACTGATGGGCCAAACAGGATCTGGATGGAAAACTTTTGTCTATTACGTTGAGTCAACTTTTGGGCCAAACTTTGACTGCTTAGCCCAACGTCTTCACCCCCGCACCAGCCTCCCCAGACTCAAGGAGAGCCTGCAAGATCTCGAGGTCCTTGACAGCCTCCTCCGGGGTCTGAAGCGGGTCCACGGCACCGGCGGCAATGCTCCTGGCGAAGACCGCATCCTCCTCGTCGACACCACCCGAATCATGGCCGAACGACTCCTTCTCCTCCGCCTTGTCTCCGCCGTCGGCCTTCCGGACCACCTTCACCTCGGTCGGGGTCCAGGTGACGGCGCCCTTGGTGGTGACGATCTCGACCTCGAGCCCCGACTTGAACTCGGTCCCGAACGAGATGCCCAGTGTGCCGTTGGCGCCGCCACGGGTGGCCAGGACGGCGTGGACCGTGTCGACCGGGAGTAGCTTCTCCTCCAATAGAGAGGAGAAGCAGGTCAGCTGCTTGACCTCGTCACCTGCGGCCCCGAGGAGGAATCGCAGGGCTGCCACGAAGTGGACGCCTCCGTCGAGGAGGAAGCCGCCCTGATACTCGGGGACCTTCCGCCCTGTAATTACCCTGTTAGCCCATCTCTCGCTTGAACACACTTCTGATGGATGCAACTTGGCAACTCACACTCGGTGTTGAAATACTTATCCGTCTCACGGACGAAACCATTCATCTTCAGGTGGAAAGTGACCAGCTTCCCGCCCACCTCCTTGACCTTGTCAGCGGCGTAGTGCAGGGGCTTCATGAAGCGGAAGTTCTCGGCGACGGCCCAGAGGGGCGCGTCCGGCAGGGCGGCGTGCCATGCGATCAGCGACCTCGCCGTCGCGAGGTCCTTGCCCACGGGCTTCTCGCTCAGCACGTGCTTCCCCGCCGTCAGGGCCTGCCGGATCGTCTCGGGCTGCTTGAGGATCGGCAGGCAGACCACGACGGCCGCGACGTCCGCCCGCGCCAGGAGGTCCGCCAGCGACTTGCCCGGGACCGCCGGGGAGTCGTAGTAGATGTCCGGGTTGGACTTGGCCTCGCTTGCTAGCCCCTCTGCGGACGCCTTGGAGCGCGAGTAGATTGCTAGAAGCTGCACGTCCTCGGCGGCTTCAAGGGCGGGGAGATGTCCTGTTTGGGAAGGGTCAGCGTCGTGGCTCCCATTTGATGGCGAAGGGTCCTCCTCTCTCACTCTCTTTGGCGAAAATGCCGGCGCCCAGCAATGCAAATCCAACCATGTTCGACTAAGGGGTGATGGGTTAACTTATTTGATGTGATTGAGTCTCTGCAGCACGATGATGATGTCGCGATCTTTCTATTCTTCGCTGTGTAATTATGGGATAAAATGGTGGGAAAAAAATGTCTTCCCCGCTTCTGCACGACGAGGTCACACGCCAAGGTCCCACATTTGAAGTTGTGCAAAATCGCGCAATCAACCACTGCCGGCTTTTGCTTTTTCTACTTGATACTAATTCGCAGTCGCATTTGAGGCCATCGACAGTTTGGGCTTCATTGATTTCTAATTGGTTGCCAAGGGGGGGGAGGTGGTAAACAATCTCCCAAGTGGCCACCTCGCTGAGAGTCCCTACGTCAATGAGGGGAAGAGGATTACTGTCCCACTAATGCAAGGCAGGCAAGGAAGGCTATCTGTTGAATTTGTACCGGGGAAACTACGTGGGTACCTTGAGTTTGGTTGGGCAGTTGAATGACATGCCTATGTAGGTAATATCTGACCTTCCCGACGACATCTGAGATCAGGTACAGGAAATATTATGTGATACCAAGATGACTAGAGGGTGGGGGGGGGGGGGGGGGCAGTGCCTCTGATCCTTCGACCGTAAGTAATCTTTCGATCCTTCACGTTCGCTCGGATGTTTGGTTATCTGGTTTCCGAGATCAGTCCCTCAGCCAAGCCAATATTGTCGATGCTCTGCCGCCCTTGCTGCCGTGCGCCGGGCCAGTGATTGGGGCGGCACCGCGATGATACCTCGTTCGGCAGCATCCGAACTGACAGCGAGACCCCAGAAAAGGATCGAGAGCAATCTCGGCTATCTCATGGAGCTCTGTGCCGAATACCGCCACGTCTAGGCCCTGCGTCCAACTAGCCCTTTTGAAACGCCAACCTTTCGGTACCCTATTCACAGGGTCTGTCAACGGGTTGTGGCCAGGCCCAGACCCAGCGCGGCTGAGCATGCACCTTGTCGGGCTAGCTACCTTGTCACTGAAGATATCGAACGGAGAGCTGGCTTTGGGGGGGCCCATCGAGGGTCGCATAAACCTATCGGGCACTTCCCAGCGTTGGTGCGGGCATGCGATGCCAGATTTGGCCGAAGGATGAACCAACTCGCATGGCCGGCGACATCGCCCTTCGGCCTCCCCCGACCGGCTGACCTCGAACGGAGCCGGCACTCGCTTGTTTTGGAGTTAATTAGTTGAAAGTTCCCGTACAACTCGGCCGTGTCCATGGCAGCTTGCATCCGCCCGCCTCCTCAGTGCCGAGTTAATTGCCCCCAAGGGCTGGGCCGGCCACGCTGTCGTCTGCTTCTACAACGGGTTAATTACTTCCTCAACCTGCGATTATGTTGACTTCTAGGCTCTTCGCAGCTCCCAGTTCCTCCCAAGTCCCTGACTTGCCCCAATTGTTAACTCGAATCATTGACGGCGAAAGCCATTGTCACAGCGGAATGCAATGAGAGTCGACTCGCATCAACTGGAGAATGGTCAAACAGGAGTCAACTCTGGATACTTTGGTGCATTGTTTCAATACCTAGCGACAGCCAGCACAGCCAGTTCCTACGGGCCACCACAAAGATTCTGCCTCCGCGGAATCAAGTTTCGTGCGTCGTGGGATCGTGCAATCAGTAGGTCGCCACGTCAGGGGGAGTGCCGATCATCGTCGGGTTTCGGCAAAATTCGACGGCTATGGAGAGCCAATATCAGGCACGCCCGACTCGCAGCGAGCGCACCCTCCACAAGGAACAACCGGCTTGGTCCGATGGAGGCCTGCAGTACGTGAACGAGAGCCTGGACCATCGCAACTCGAGAAAGAAGCTGCAATACGACACCAGGTAGTAGCAGTTGCTTGAGCTAAAAGAAAATCTTGAGTTTGTTGAGGCGGAGGGATAGCCCAATATCTACGAGTCTTAATTAGCCCGGAGAGAAAACAGCGACCCACTGGGATCCGGCGCCAGGACGAATACCCGGAGAGCGGGAAATTTATTGCACAGCTATATTACTATGTGATCAAGGGTACTAAATTTAGCCCTACTTTGTCCTCAGTCGGGGGGAACTCAACCCATCAACAGTATAAACACCCATAGTGCTGGACTAGGTTCACTCTGGAGCAACTTGGCGGACCGCAATAAAAGATCTGCAACCGCGGCATGGGTTACTACCCGTGTAGCCAGACTCTTTGCTCTTTTCTGCTCCAAGGTAAATTGCAGACGGCCTTGAGATGTATGTAGAGTGGCGTCACACAGCGGCAATACGAAAGGGGAGGAGGGCCCAAGGAGGGTTCGTTCCCCCTTTATATACCCGACGCGGGCGCCTTTTAATCTATTGTCATTGCTGATCCTGGGTAAGCGGATGGTTAATTTCCTCGATTGTGGGAAAGTCCGTGATCCGTAGAAACAGGATAACCGCATTGAGGTAATTCTTTTAGGTCGGGTCGCCCAACAAATCCGGGGGCGCTCAGCCTAGGGTTCCCTCATTTCGCGACCGAAGATATTGCCCCCGCCAGCCAGCCAGCCAAACCATGGCAACGTTATCAAGCAGGCGTCTTATCACGGCCATCTTGGGCGTCCTTGCCTGTGGTGCAGGGACGGCCCTTGGCGGCCAGCTTTCTGCGCGAGCATGCGCGGGGACGGTCAAGGCCAAGAATGGAGATACGTGCGCATCTCTCGCGCGAGACCACGGGATAACCGTGTCGCAGTTCCTGCTGGACAACCCCGCCGTATCCAGCTGCGACCTGCTCGTCATCGGCCAGGAGTACTGCATCGCCGAGGACGCAGGTGGACCACCGGCCGTGTCCACCGGCTCCTCGAGTCGGCCGACGTCGACCGCGTCCTCGCCATCGCCAACCCCCAAGGTCAGCGAGGACGGGAGCTGCGGCAACGGAGTCACTTGCGCGGGGTCGGAGTTTGGCACTTGCTGCTCCGAGCACGGCTACTGTGGCGACGGCGATAATTACTGCCTCGCCGGGTGCCAGCAAGCCTTTGGGAAATGCGACAATCCGGGTGGTGGTGCCCCCGGAGGGACGACGGCTCCGCCAGCCACTCAGCCTGCCGGACCGACGGCCACGACGACAGTCACAAAGACGTCTCTCGTGACGTCGACCAAGACGTCGACCACCATAGCCACCAGCATAGTGACCAGCCTCGTGATCAAGACGACCACCAGCACGGCCGTCATCGGCGCGCCGGCGACGAGCACGGCGACAGTGACGGCGACGGTAACATCGACCAAGACGGCGACAAGCATCGTCATCGGGACGGCGACGGGCCCGGGCGTCGGGGCGCCGGTGACGAGCACGACGATCCTGACACTGACGAGCAAGGTGGTGACGACCTCAACGGCGACGGTGACGACGACGAGCACCTTTGTCAGGACCGCGACGAGCATCGTCCTGGGGGGCTCGGGCACGACCACCACGACCAGGACCGTCACGAGCACCGTCGTCGGCGGCGGGGCCTGCTCCCCGACCAAGCCAGACACTGTCATCACGCCGACCCGCGGGCCGCAGCCTTCTGCGCCGTCGCCGACGCTGCCTGGGACGGCGGAGAATTGTAAGCTGATCTGATTAGCCCCTGTCTTCGAATCGTCGTCTTGTCTGTTGTTGGAACAGGGCCCCCCCTTATTTTCTTCTTTTTTTTTTTTCTCTTCTCGACTAATCTCAAAGCTAGGTCGGACGTACTACAAGGTATCGTCTAACGACACCTGCCTGCGGATCGCGCAGAGAAACGGCATCTCTCAAAGCGAATTGTGAGTTACATTTTGACACATTCATCTCATGGCCATTTCACTGATCAATTGCACCCCCCCCCCTCCCCGACAACAGCATCAGTTGGAACCCGTCCATAGGGGCAACGTCAAACCCCCTCGACGCGGTCCTCTGCTCTCCCGGCCTGTTGGATCTACTCCTCCAGGGGCTTTGTCAAGTCAGTTGCGATAACCTGTGGGAGGGGTATTACGTCTGCGTGGAGGCTTGATATGGGGGTTAAAAGAAGGGGAAGGCCTTTTGCAACGATTGCCAATAATTAACATCATGGCAATTGGTGTTTGTGTTTATGTATGTTATGTTTGATTCGAAAATCAACGGGCTGAGAGTCCTGCGCAGATGGGTTTCGTGATGAATCTGATGAAGATTATTAGTTAGCCTTGTAAAGTTGGGAATTCGAGCCAGACGTTTCGTGAAGTGTCATCTGCAGTGTCGTGGGATTAACAGAGGTGAGGCACTCTTGAGATAAAAGTTTCTTTCCCCGGTTTGTCGTCCAATCGCGTCATTAATCAATCCGTTTTGCGGCCAGCTGCTCCGGAGATCGACTCAGGGGTTCCCTTGCTGTTGGTTGGCAGACCAGGGGGATTTCGAGTGAGACATTTTACAACCGTACGGGAATGGATCTGCCAAAGTGTGACAGCCGAGTGGGACAGAGATCAGCGCTGGAAACAAGAGTTGTGGAACAAGAAGCCGAACCTTAATCCGACGACGGGGACCACAGTCGCTGTATGTCTTGATTTCGTCTCCATCCCATCCCCACTTCCCCGAAGGAGCCAAGATGAGGAGGCCCGAATCTGATGACGTCCGGCATTTGTGTTTTACATCCGAATCACCGAGTCTCTGCACCTGCGAGCTTTACTCGGTTTCTTGTGCGATATAGCAGTTGGGATCACCTCTGCGATGATATCTGAAAGTATTTTGCCAGACGCAAAGTTGTAAGGATATAATTGGAGATTGATTTACGATTGGGAAGATTGGGAAGATTGGTAACGTCCTTTGCTAATCGTTTCTGCTCTCTCAGCGAATAGACCACCACGATGTTCCAGTGTAGCGTAATTTTCTAGTGCCTTTGTTCCACGAGGGGGATACCCCCTACTGATACTTACATCGGCTTCTCGCTCAGCAAACTCATCCATTTGCACAGCATCCGGCAATGTGAAGAGTTCGGGAAGCCGTCGACATTCCCAGTTCGAAGCGAGGCGCGAACAGGGAGGTACTGGATGTGATGAGGATGTGATGTGGGCGTAGCAATGATTACTGATGATTAGAAACTGGTCCTTGGACGAGCATCACATTCATCGAGGAGAAGAGGTAACATTATCATCTCAAGCATATCCCGAATTGACAGGTCTACCAAAGGCCTAACCTTTTCCATTCCTTGAACTTCTCGCAAGGGAGGAATCTGACAAATGCTTCTGCAATGCCTCTTTCCTCGTATGCGACATGCGTTTTGCTCCTCCTGCAACTGGTGCCACGCGCAATGTTACCAGGTGTGCATCCCTCCCCGCTCTTTGACGGATGGATCGAGGAACCCCACGGGATGTGTCCTGTCGGCAAATCTCTAGAATCTTTCAAAAAACGACTTCCGATTTTGAATTGGTAATCTGAACCTGAGCTCATTTCACCACAGTGGATACACCATACCTGTTTTGCTCCTGTTGAAGGTCGTATTCTCGAAAACATCAAAGTGCCGCATGAAGCATTCCCCAAGGCACGAGACCCCTAAACCCTGTCACCACAAGGCCTGGCCTTGATGAACTATTATCCCTCCCCTGGAAATGCGGGGGAGGTGATGCACCTCCGGGAGCCAAGGGGAGGCATTATGCGAAAGGGGTTTGGGCGCGTCTCGGCATCGGTATGGCCTCTGGCGGTTGTCATTTTTTCACTTGGTCCTCACACACCGCTGTCGGTGACGGGGTCGGGGTCTCGAAAGAGACGCTCCCCGGTCTTCACTGCTGCACCCCTTGCCCATGACTCTTCACACCACGCTTTGTAATTACCAGGGAGGAGATGCGGGGGTGGTAGGAGGATCTTGTAGCAGGGAAAGGGAGGAGAGAATGCCGTGGCAAACACTTCACCTTGCTGCCTAGGCCCTTTTCAAACCTTGAATCAGCAGCCAGGCCTTGATACATTGGCGCGTATCCTGCTTACAACTAGGTGACCAAAGCTGCTGATTGTGTTATGATTCAGCTCGAGTGGTTGGGTAGGATCACGGTAAGTGGACCACAATTACTACGTAACACATCGGGAGATTGGGGGATCGGCATCGGTGAATGTCAGTCCCTTGCATTGCATTGCTGCCAGGGGAAGAAGGCGGGAGTGGACAGAGTTCCATCCGATGGCAATGCAGGTAGGCTCTCACCATAAAATCCTCTTGTTCTCAATGTGATGGCCGCGTCATCCCACGCCAGGAGCACGGGTTATGGTGACACTGTGAGAAGGAGAGCGGGTCTCATCTGGGTCTGAGCACGTCGAACTGGGGGCATTGTGGGACTCAAATAGCCACAGCGTTCACGTTCCATGTCACGACGTTGAGTTGAGTGGGCTTGAGTGGGGCTTGAGTGTGCTTTGCAACAGCCGGCCTCCGGATCCACCCTCCGACCTGATCCTGCTGCAGACGGGAATGTTGCATACCCCTTGCCGGTTCGGGCTGCCACCACGGTTGGCGGGGACGCCAAGATTCTGGAAGGCCGGCGCAAGGCCACAAGGGTGCAGGCCCGGCGCGCGATAGCTCGGTCCCGCTCAATAGCTTGGAACCGCAGATCGAAAGCGACCAACCAGAGGGGTCGAGAGGGGAGAACAAACACGGGCATTAGAGCCTGCATGAACCCTAATCCTGATAAGACTATGTAGTGTGCTAATCTTCAGTCATTTCTTGTTCGAACGTCTCGTCTTCTGATTCTCGAATTGCCATGCATGTCAAGCAACAAGTTTTGCTCCAGGGGGGGGGGGACCCAATTTTAGGTGCAGTGCCGTCTTCTCGCTTATTTTATTTTGGATTCCAAGGTCAAGGTCAATCAAGGACGGCAAAGGGTTTTTGATGGTAGCAATGGCGGCTGGCAAGCTGCATGCAAGGCGTCGGCGTCCTGCAATTTCCCCAGTGCCGATTGCTACTGCGGTATTCAAGAGCTGATGAGGTACTGACGCATGGGTGTTTTGTGGGGGAAAAGTCGTTTTTCGGCTGCCACCTTGATAAGCGAAGGAGGCACTACCGGGGGGGAAGGGGAAAGGGGAGGGGGGGGGAAGAGCGCAAGCCTCATGAGGGGCAGACATGGTCACATTGGTTGCAATCCTACTGCGTGCTACGCAGAAGCATGCTTGATCGGTTTGAAGGGGGGAGGGGGCTTAAGCCTCATCTACGATAGGTCGCAGTGGCGCTTCTCAAGGTGTGTCTTGCCAATGAGGAGGGGAGACTTTCTAATGAGCCACACCGTGCCGCTCTGCACTGATTGCGCTCAGACGAATCCGACATCGCTGGTGCTATGCACCAAGTTGGGGCCGCTCCAATAGTCGATTTTATAATTAGCATGACACGGCACGCTGTGGACGGGTAGACCCGGGAAGGGGAGAGGAAATACCCCCGTTCGCGACTCGGATTAATCTTGCACCCTTTTTCCACAACCCACCCACCCACTTCCGGGCCCGAGGCAAGAGTGCCAAGGGCCGCGTCAGAATGCGGGAATCAGCTAGTCAGCCGGGATTTTTCCTGTATTGACGAGGATCAGAGAGATAAGTGGCCACAGCACGCCCCTTGCAGCATTCCCAGCCGCCTCAAGAGTTTGGTAAGGCCAACACGCAGACTAATTACGCCGTAGGCAAACAAGCAGACCCCGCCTGTCGACCAATGGCGATGCCCTCAGATTCGGCTTACATGTTCCTCCAGTCCCCACACGGGTCAGCCGAACCCTGGACTCCCGTATTCGTCGCCAGCTTCCGATCGAACCGGCCCTGTCAGCGGGGCTCTCGCTCCACTGTCTCCAGTCCAGGGACCAGAAAGTGAGTTCGCGTGTGAAGATCAGCAGCGGGAACCGGGTAGGGTTCCTGTTCCCACTGCGGCTGGGGCGGCACAGTCAGCAGCGAGGCGGACTGACTGCTGCTTCGCTTCCCTTCGCTTCCCCCTGCTCCGTTGTGCCCGCGTGCCTCCTCCAGTGTCTCGAGCTGTGAGTCTTGACTGGCCCGCAGCCGTTCGTGGAGAGTCAGGGGTTCGACGGAACCGAGGGTGTCAATCTATTCCCGAGACCAATCACGGCCCTTACCAGAAACCGGATACTTCCACGGGAAGTTTGTATGCAAATATAAATTCCATATCGGTAGGGCAGGACTACCTTCCCTGTTAGACGAGCTGGACCAGGCTGGAAGGGTCACACAGGCATCATACCACACACCACACACTACACGCACACACACACACACACACACACACGCCCTTAGACCCATACTCAGCCGTCCCTGCAAACGCACTAACTACACGCACTAACTACACGTACACTCGTGCCTCGTGCCTCGCGGCTCGTCTGCTTGCTTGCTTCCTTGCTTGTTTGCTTGCCTCCCTGCCTGCCTGCTTGCTTTGCACACGACCTGTATGTACATCGAGGTTGTTTCTCTCGCCGCACCTCATGTAAGATCGTAATTTCCTCCTGACCTACATCACCCTGACCACCCACCCGCTTCATTCCCCCTGGCATAACCTGGCATGACCTGACCGCCTTACGCATGTACATACGGAAAGTCAGAATGGCCATCACATGACCTCGAGCCGATTCCCTCCCAACGCCGAAGAATGCAGCCGTAGTGCTGTACCCAAGCGTCTCCCTGCCCGTCCATGTTCCCAACTAACAGCTCCGGGTAACACAAGACGGTATCTCTCGTACACTCTGGTGGAGTGAAGACAGGCTGCCATGTGTGAGCCAAGCCAATACTTTGCTGCAGGACGGCGCCCCTGTTTGCCCCTGTTTGTCCTCGTTCACCCCCTCGTTCGTCTCTTCGAATCGGCGAAGAGGTTGCATACGGTACGGGTTTTCCAAGGTGCTAAACCACGCGGGCATCCGTCTTCCCTGTCTCCAACTTGATGGATGCAACTCATCCATCCCGGACTATTGATGCATGCTGATGTCTGTCGCCATCGCTATGGCCTCGTTGTGGAGGATACGCGCCTCACCTTCCTGCCCTCCCCCCTGGGCGTTACATCCCCCCTCCCTCCCTCCCTCGCCATACACTGCCCACCAGGCCTCGCCATTTGTCAGAAGCCAAACCACCCTAATGTCGCCGAAGCGGCAGGCTCGGAGGTGGGCAGAAAGGCGGAGAGCCTCGGGAAAGGAACCATCTCCACGGGAGAGGGGGATGTAAGGGGGAGAGAGAAGGGAAGGGGCGAGTGGTGAGGGGTGAGGATGACGAGCTATGGACCCATGACGAGAAACGAGGAGAAGGCATTAAGAATATAAATATCACCATGATGCTCCCTCATCTGGACCTGTGTTTGAGAAGTCCCCAGACCGAGCACCTCGCCCCTCGTCCCCCCCCTTTTTCTTCTTCCCCCATCGTGTCTTGGTAACATCGCCAACATGCGGTCTCTATTCACTGCCTTTGTTGGCCTCACTGGCCTCTTCTCCTCCGTTCATGGAGCTCCATCTGCGGAGCTCGTGAAGAGGGCCCCAACATGCAACACTCCCTCCAACCGAGCTTGCTGGACCACTGGCTTCGATATCAACACTGATTATCTCGAGAAGACCCCCCTCACTGGCAAGACTGTGACTGTAAGCTCGTCATCCCACCAGATATTCCAAGTTATGTCCGGCCACTGACTTTGCACTAATTATTAGTACACCCTGGTTGTCACCGAGATTGATAACTGGAAGGGTCCGGATGGCGTGGTTAAGAAGAAGGCCATGCTGATCAACGGTATGTGACGATGATGCTTCTACCCCTTCTGCGTTCCGAGATGGACGCTGACATGGCCACGGTATCCAGGAACACTCCCTGGTCCCACTATCGTGGCAGATTGGGGTGACAGACTCAACATCACTGTGATCAACAATCTCAGGGACAACGGGTAAATTAACTCCACGGGGCTTGCTTTTATAGACTCTTGTCTCTGACCCTTGACCACCAGCACGTCGTTCCACTGGCACGGTCTCCGCCAGATGGGCTCCAACTTCCACGACGGAGTGAACGGCGTGACCGAGTGCCCGATCCCTCCCAAGGGCGGGAAGAGGCTCTACTCGTTCCTCGCCACCCAGTACGGCACGGGCTGGTACCACTCTCACTTCTCGGCCCAGTACGCCAACGGCGTGGTTGGCAACATGGTGATCAACGGGCCCGCATCTCTCCCATACGATATCGACCTCGGTGTCTTCCCCATCTCTGATTACTACTACGAGACTGCCGACAACCTGGTCGAGTTCACCATGAACAACGGCCCCCCACCAAGTGACAATGTCCTCTTCAACGGAACCAACATCCATCCCGTCACCGGCGCCGGCAAGTATGCCAGGGTCAAGCTCACCCCCGGCAAGAGACATCGCCTCCGACTCATCAACCCCTCGGTTGAGAACCACTTCACCGTCTCCCTCGTCGACCACCAGATGACCGTCATCGGCACCGACTACGTCCCGTCCAACGCATTCACCACCGATAGCCTCTTCATTGGAGTCGGACAGAGGTACGACGTTACCATCGACGCCAGCAAGGCCGTCGGCAACTACTGGTTCAACGTGACCTTTGGCGGCAACGGTTTCTGCGGTCTTTCCAACAACCCTTTCCCCGCGGCCATCTTCAGCTACGACGGTGCCCCGAACGCCAACCCCACCAAGGCTGGTACCCCCCCGGCCGACTCTCTGTGCCTCGACAACCTCAACCTGACCCCCGTTGTCCCGAGGTCCGCGCCGCCCAGCGGGTTCACCCCAAGCGCCAGCAACAAGCTTGATGTCCACCTCGATACCACCGGGACCCCGCTGTTCGTCTGGAGGATCAACGGTAATTCCATCAAGGTCGACTGGCAGAAGCCCATCGGCCAGTATGTCATGGATGGCAACAACTCCTTCCCTGCCAACGCCAACATTGTCAAGGTCGACGCTGTCAACCAGGTAAGTTTGCGCACCCCGAGCACCTCCCCCCAATCCCCCCTCGCCCCGTTTTCCTAACCACCAGAGTTCTAACGGTTGATTACGCTTAGTGGACCTACTGGCTCGTTGAGAACGATCCCGATGGTGCTTTCAGTCTGCCGGTGAGTCTTCCCTTTTCCACCACCCCGTTTCCAGAATAAATACACTGACAATGTCAACCAGCATCCGTTCCATCTTCATGGCCACGACTTCCTCGTCCTGGGCCGCTCGCCCGACACGCCGCCCGCGGCGCAGACTCGCTACGTCTTCAACCCGGCGACGGACATGGGCCGGCTGAACGGCGGCAACCCCACGCGGCGCGACGTGACCATGCTCCCGGCCAAGGGCTGGGTGCTGATCGCGTTCAAGACCGACAACCCGGGCGCCTGGCTCATGCACTGCCACATCGCCTGGCACGTGTCGGGCGGCCTCAGCGTAGACTTCCTCGAGCGCGTGTCCGAGTTCAAGGCCGGCATCACGGCTGCTGATAAGGCCATCTTCGATAACAATTGTAATGCCTGGAGGACTTATGCGCCGACTAACCAATGGTCCCAGATCGATTCGGGTATTTGAGGAGATGGGGTGAGTGATCCGATCATGATCATGATCATGATGGTGGTGGTGTTGGTGGGGAATGGTTCAAAACAGGGTTTGATGAAGCTGTTCATTCATTTACGGGGAAATCTTGGAAATTCGTACATGTCTTTTTTTTGGGGGAGGGGGGTTCTATTCTGTCCGAATCTTTTTCTCCGTGATGTTTTACTTGGTGGCTTGGTGTGACGAATACTGTCGCTAGTTGTGCCATAGAACCCGATTCTTGGGCACATCAATGAAGAACCATTCCTCACATAATTAATCCTGTGTATTTTCGAGACTTGGCATTTATTAGCCACCAAGATACATGCTTTATTATATTGTTCTCACCCATTCCATGTCTTCCGAGGTCAACATTCTTAAGTTGTGGACCTGAGACATAGACTGTCGTTTTCATGGTTGGTGAATTCTATCTAAATTTGATGAGTTTTTCTGCTGATAGTAATCTTAGGCGTTACTCTTTTATATGCCATCTGGACTAAGTTCTAGGCTTCTCCCTAAAGGGAAACAGAACCAAAAACGGGTGGAAAAGAGGAGCTACAACGCATCACTCAAAAAGAACAATAGCCTATCAGCAAAGGCAAAAAGGACTTTTTACAACACCAGTCCATTTCCACAGATCGTCAGGAAAATCGAAAAGGAACCGAAAGGAACCCCATGACCCTTCCTGGACTTGCTGGCTAGAACCAGGATAGAACCTTCTCTAACATGTTACCCGACGACCTAGCCCCAAAGTGACGGTGGTTTTCAGATTATTCCCCAGCGACCTAGGCCCAAGATGCGTCTTAGGAACCAGTGGCTATGCTGACGGTAGTTCTTTGGCCTCCTATCTCGGTACTTGGATGGGTATGACGAGGCGCCATTGTAAAGAGTCACCAGGCTATACGTAGATGTAACCCCTCCATCTACAATAATATGCCATGGAATGACCAAGACATGCTCCGATTTCCATTCAGGCTAGATGCATTCATTATCACACCGACCATTTCTCTCTGGGATGACGAGCAAGTACTACAATCTGGAAGCCGGCAAGAAGGTCATGCGAGGGCATAGACTCAAGGACGAATAGGTGGGCTAGCAATGACAAGCTTTTCGGCTCGCGGGAGAGATAAGGTCGGAGCCCCGGCACCGGTTTTCTTTTCTTTTTTTGCAGCCATCTTGCAGGACCAATTAATAGACAAGGCTTGATTGATATAATTCAGGACATCACCGGGACTCTGAAGTGTCCACCCCTCACCCGACAATCCACATCCCCCGGATAAGAACATCGCGGGCAGTTAATTACGGCTTCCTAGTCCCATCCAAATGAGTTAGAAGTCCGGAGGTCGCTTGCGCCATGGCCTTGAGGGGTAACTGGGGGCCACATGACGAAGGATTTCACCATCTGTGGCCCCCAAAAGTTCCAGTATCTAGCTTCGTGGTTTTGACTGGATCCCGGGTCACACCATCTTGGCACTCTGAACCCGGGTCGACGTCTATTAAGAGGTTGCTGCAAAGTCATGTGGCACCCCAATCACCAGTCACATCCTCCAGAAATAGTCTTACCACACCTCCACGTAGTAATGCAATTAAACCTCAGGGGCTGACTGACATAGCGCCACGAGCACGAGTCCCGGGACCTTGATGTCGGGCGGAGTCAACACTACAGACAGCAGAGAGCCCACAAGTCAGTGCCGCAGGGAGGAATTTCTGGTTAAGCGGTCACAGAAGATCACCCGGCCTAGGGAGAATGCATCGTGAGAATTGGAGATTGTCCTCGTGCCGGGGGGGGTGCCAGGGGGTGCCACTAGATCTACCCCAAGACCCCAAGAATGGAAACAGGAACTCGGTACACGGCGCGCTCGGTTTTCTAGAAGGGGGGGACCAAGGTTGCGGGCGGGAAGCGCTGCAACTATTAGAGGTCACATTTCTGGGGCATAGATAGGGCTTCGCTAGCTTTTTGGGAGGAGGGGAAACACCGAAAGGGGGAGGGCGTGGTATGGTATTTAATGTCGACGGCTCTGGCGACATTGGGAGGCTTGCCGTTGGGAGACTAACGACGCCGGCAACCAGTCGGGCGCGACGGTCGGCTTGTGACATGCGAAAATAGAAATCCAGCTCATCTAAGTGGACGAGGCCATTCCTGGTTTCCGGGCGGCTATTGGGAGAGGACCAGAAACGAGGCGTGGCACGATTTAGCCGTAGCGGGTGAAGTCGAAAATCAATCTACGCGATCGCTCCCCAAGTTTCCCCAGATGCCACAAAATTTACGGCTCTAATGACGGCCCAGCTCCCGGCCGGAGCGGGTTAAAGTGAGGTGTCGTCGGCATCCCAGACGCATAATCAATGGAGTCTCCGTTATATAGTGTGCTTCCGCAAATGACATCTTCTAGCTTCCGCGGTATTGGGCGTATATATCTGCTGTATACCGTTCCTGTATAATTATCCGCCCATGGTCACACACCTTTGCCAGCCTGCCTCTTGAGGGCTCGCTCCGATTCAGCCATTCAGTGTCAAGATATCGCTCACTGCTCTTCCTGCGCGCGAGGGAACAGGGAACGTGTCAATTCCAAGTTGCCACAAAAGACGTGAGTTATATAACACATCTTCTAAGACCCCGTCCTGCAGACGGGCGGCCTTGGCATGCTGGAATCAATCCCCTATCCCACCGCGCCTCTCGCTCTCCCCCCCTCTCTTACTCGCTCCCCTCTCCCAGCTGATAGAGCAAGCCAGACGCAGTGACCGCGCGCTCTGATCTCTCTCGCTCTCACACACATATCTGGCCCCCATCAATATCAACGGGTCCGGCTAATCTCACACATCTCACTGGTTAGCCACTCAGCTTGCCACTTGGGGAGGACAGAAGCTTCAGCTCCTCAAGATGCACTGGAGATTCGCGGTAGCATGGGTTGCCGCCACCTCGGGCCTTGGTCAGTCTGGTCTCGTCTCAGTCAGCTAACCTGACGTCGTCGATCCATCAAGCTAACCTTGACACGATACAACACACAGCCTCCGCAAAGGCCCAGGCTGGAACGACCGTGTATCAAGATTCTCTGACCGGGTTCACCTTCTCGCAGAGCGTGGTATCATACGACCTCGATGGGCACGTGGTTACTTACCGCCTTGCTCTACCGACAGGGGCCAGTTCGTCAGGAAATTATGATATCGTCCTCCAGGTCGTCGCGCCGACCATTATCGGCTGGGCTGGGCTGGCATGGAATGGCGGCATGACGAGCAACCCGCTCACAGTCGCATGGAAGAATGGCAACTCGGTCACCATCTCGTCTCGCTGGGCCTCGTAAGTCGGAACTTGGCCACCACTCCCCCACTCCCTGTCGGGGGCGCTGATTGACGGCTCGTTCTTTTTAAACCAGGTCACGCGACGTGCCTACTGCGTACGCCGGCGCGACGTACCAGCTGCTCAAGCGCGGGACTGTCGTCAACAGCACGCACTGGCAGTACACAGTCAAGTGCACCGGCTGCACGCAGTGGGGCACCAAGTCGCTCTCACCGACCGGATCGCACCGGCTAGCAATGGCGGCCGCCCCGCAGGGCCCGTCGAACCCGGCCAGCAACACGTCCTCGTTCCCCGTCCACACCGTCCACTACTACTGGGACCACGACTTCTCCCAGGCGGCGAACCCATCGTTCAGTTCGCTGGTCACGCAGAATGGAGGCACCGCGACTGCTCAGTTTGCCGAGACGATCGAACAGAGTGCGGAAGATGATGGGTCGAAGATGGCGGAGCGGTGGGAGGCATGATGGGATTCCCCGTTCCTCTCTCCCCCCCTTTTTCCCCTTTCCCCTTTCCCCTAACTCAAAGGTGTATTGTAGACAGCGGCATTTGAAGTTAGACAACCAACAACCACCCCCCGGCTTCCACCACAAGCATCTTCCCCATAATTGGCCAACTGTGACTCCGGTGATGGAAACAGAAAAAAAAGCAAAAAGCAACGATCAGCGGTGGGTGACGTCGTGAGCAAGGATTTCCTTGGCATTCGGCTGGAATGAATCAGTTCAAGTTTGCCTGCAGAAAAAGAGCCGTTAGGTACATAGGTAGGTACGTATCTAATCGTTAATTGCCCCCAATTGCCCCAATCAGCGATTCAGCGAGCGGATGGGTCCGCACAGGGGTCCCGCATCTTGGCAAAGCAGGCGATACGGGGACTTGTTAGCGCCGAGCTGGGGTTTCTCGCTGTTTCACTAACACCGAGACTCGGGATGTTTGATTTGGTGGCTTGCGAACTAAACCGCATCGGATGGTCCCGATCCAAGGGCGGAGCCCAGCTGAAAAATCTCGCTCGCGGAAACAGACGAGAACTCCACTTCCTTCCCCCCCACCTCCCCCAGCCCAGGGAGGTTTTGATCTGATCTGGATTGCCACTACTGCTTACGCACGCGGCGCATCAACGAGTCTGGCGCTACACAATTATCTGCGAAGGTCGAGTCAAACAGCGATGCTATGGTTGTTGGACGAGCCGCAGATTTGAGATGAATCTGGTAAGTCTCGGCAGCAGATCGCAATCTGGCAAGTGCTAACCGGTGCCGCACTTCCCGTAATTTAGAGCCAGTCAGATGACCCTCGCGTCGGTTCGGGACGGGCCAACTCGACTGGCGGCACCGTCAGTCACCTTACTTCCTCCGGGACCGACTCGGCTTCATTGTCGTCCCTTGGGAGCACATTTGTTCCGGTCCTGGTCTACTCTCTAGTCTGCTTCCTCATCTTCTTCTGCCTCCGACCGCGATGTCCGAGGGTCTACGCCCCGAGGACCCTCCCGGGGATTCTCTTGCCTGAGTACGTCCCCCCGTTCCCTTCTTCCGATAAGCATGGACTTCCATGCTGGTCTGGCGGTTTGGCATGTGTGCAAGTCAGTGAAGTCAACGAGTTAACACCAACCGTCTCATCAAAAGGGAATTGAGCCCAAAACTTCCATCTGGTTGGCTCAACTGGCTCAAGCCCTTCTTCCAGATCTCCGACACCTTCCTTCTGCACCATTGTTCACTCGATGGCTTCTTTTTCCTTCGCTATATCAAGGTCCTCGCAACCATCTGTCTCGTGGGTTGCTGCTTGACGTGGCCCATTTTGCTGCCCATACACGCAACTGGCGGCAACGATCTCACCGAGCTGGATCTCCTGACAATCGGCAACGTGGCGACCCGCAATCGCAGTCGACTGTACGGCCATGTTCTCGTATCATGGGCCTTCTTCGGTGAGTTGAGACCCTGCCCAGCCTGCAACAGCCCGAACCTTGCCCCCCCCCCCCCCCAACCGCTAAACCTTGTTCTAGGGTTCGTCCTCTACATGATCTCTCGAGAATGCATCTACTACGTCAATCTCCGGCAAGCCTACCTGGTCTCGCCGAAACAGTCCCAGCGCTTGTCCGCGAGGACGGTCATGTTCACCTGCGTCCCCCGGAACCTTCTTGACCAAGCCAAGATCCGAAAGCTGTTCGGAGATGCCGTCAGAAACGTGTGGATCCCGAGGAACACCAAAGGCCTGATGAAGCTGGTCGAGGAGAGGGACCAGACCGCGCTCCGACTGGAGAAGGCCGAGATTGCACTAATAAAGGCCGCCAATGCCGCCCGTACCAAGCAAATGGGCTACGTCGAGGAAGCAGTCGCAGGTGTGGGAACTGCCGCATCTTTCGGGAAGGGCAAGTCGAGCGATGAAGTCCAGATCTCTGAGAAGTCCTCCCTCTCACCCCAGCCGAGTCTCGGATCGTCGAATGGACAGAAGGAGGACGACGAGGACGCAGACTATGTCCACCCGTACGGTCTCGGCCCTTCACTTCCGGACGTGAGGGGCTCCGTGGCAGCTCAATGGATCCCTGCCGAGGCTCGACCCCACCATCGGCCCCTTGCCAACTTCGGCCGCCGGGTCGACACCATCAGGTGGACGAGACTGAGGCTCAAGTCGCTCAACGCCCAGATAGGCAAGCTCCGCCGACAGCTCCGGACCGGCCAAGGCAAGCCGATTAATGCCCTGTTTGTCGAGTTCGACTCCCAGGCCAACGCGGAGACCGCGTTTCAAATAGTCGCCCACCATCGGCCACTGCACATGGCGCCGGCCTTCATCGGCATCCGCCCGAACGACGTGGTGTGGTCGACGCTGCGCATGGAGTGGTGGGAGCGAATCGTTCGCCGTTTCCTGTTCATGGCTACCATTGCGGTTGCCGTCATCTTCTGGTCTATTCCCTCGGCCTTGGTGGCCATGATATCGAAGCTCAGCTTCCTCACCAGCAGCGTTCCATTTCTAAAATGGATCGACAAACTCCCCCCGGCAATCATTGGCGTCATCGAGGGTCTGCTTCCCGCCCTCGCATTGTCGCTCCTGATGGCAGCTGTCCCCGGGATGCTACGAGGTGAGTCTTGGTCCTGCCGTAGTCCACATCTTCTTTTCTTTTGCTAAATGGAAGAACAAACTAGTTTGCGCGAGAGCTGCCGGCGTTCCTTCGGTGCCGCTGGTCGAACTGTACACGCAAAACGCGTACTTTGTCTTCCAGGTCGTGCAGGTATTCCTCATCACGACTCTCACAGCGGCAGCGTCGTCCGCCTTAACCGAAATCCTCGAGAATCCCATCAAGGCGAAAGATCTGCTGTCGCAGAACTTACCAAAGGCGTCGAATTTCTACCTCTCGTACATTCTCGTCCAGTGCCTTGCCGGTGGTGCTGGCGAACTCGTGCACCTCGTCGAACTGATCCAGCACCAGATTCTGGCCAAGGGTGTCGAGAATCCAAGGTGGCTCTTCAAGGCTCGTCAGAAGCTGAAGCAGAAGCACTGGGGAAGTATCTATCCCGTATTCACCAACATGGGCGTCATAGGTAGGCTTCCAATCTATCGCACACACCCTTTGCGTATCCCCCCCGGTAGAGAGACAAGTCGGCTGACATCCCTTCCTAGCAATCTGTTACTCGTGTATCGCGCCTGTTATCCTGGCCTTCGCAGGTCTCGGTATGTGCGTCATCTACGTCGTCTATAGGTACAACCTCATCTACTCGTTCGAGTCGGACATCGACACAAAGGGACTGCTATACCCGCGTGCCCTGTTGCATCTTATCGTCGGCCTGTACCTCGCCGAGATATGTTTGATCGGCCTCTTCGCGCTCCAGTCCGCGTACGTGCAGCTCGTCATGATGGTTCTGTTCCTGATCTTCACCTTCCTCGTCCACATCTCGATCATTGATGCCGTCAGCCCTCTCCTCTTAAACCTCCCCCGGACGTTGGCTCTCCATGACAAGGAGCTGAGTGACGAAATGGAGGACGCCGTCGTTGAGGGAGATCTCGGCTTGCCCGCTGCCCGTTCGGTACCCGGCACAGGTGCTGCAAGCGAGTATTACAGCCTCGAAGAGGGGATCGAGGAAGTCGAGGAAGTCAATACCTTCCACGGAGAAGCAAACGACAGAGCGGTCGAGGGCGCGAGCGGGTTGATGTCGTCGGTCAAAGACTGGGTGATAGACAAGACAAAAACCAGGGTGGAGCTGGAGGCCGAAGCCGGAGGCCTCACTCGATTCCTCTGCACGCTCAACCGGTGGTTCACGCCGGACAAGGACAAGAAGCCCAACTTCCTGGTCAAATGGTTGCACCCGGAGATCTTCGAGGACTTCCACGTCCTCCACCAGATGTTCCCTTCGGACGTGGCCCCGACCGAGTATCCGGACGAGTTCATGCGGCGCGGCTACTGGCCTCCCGAGATGTGGCTGCCGAGCCCCAAGCTCTGGATTCCGCGAGACGCCGCCCACGTCAGCCGCCAGGAGGTTGCGCACACGAGGGAGGTCAACCCCATCACCGACCGCGGCGCCTGGCTCGACGCCAAGGGGAAGGTCGTCGCCGACATTGACGACGCACCTATCAAGGAACTACGGGTACTTTTCTAGGCTTCTTTTTTTTGCTTTGTTTCTTCAGTCTTGCGAGAGTTTCCCTTTCCGGCGGGAGGGAGATGGCTTTTGGGATGTTTCTTGAAGCCGAATACGTTGGTGCGATACCCCGGGACTCGCCCTTGGATGGGGCGGCAGTCTGGAGACGGAGATTCTTACTTTGCGATTCCCGGGGGTCGGCATATCTGTCGGGCGGCAGCAACGGGGGAGGAGGCTGTTTCGGAATTACACTTGGAAAAGTGAAGGCGAAAAGGATGGCGGCCGGGAGTTACGGGTGGGGAACGGGCACCATTACGGATGATTCCGGCCTCGAAATACTCACTCACCCCCGACTGATGACCCAGGACGTCGACAATAATGGGCGGGGAACAGTCCGACAGCTGCAGATTAGGGAGCCATATATATCACATGGCTTACGGCTCACCACACCTCCCGGGTAGCCTGGAGGAGACGACGAGTGTTCGGCATGAGAAAGAGCTTATGGGACCGAGGGACGGTTGCTGGCCTGGCGGTTTCCACTGAAGAGAGGAATAATGTTGAGGAAGGAATACGGGGACGGTGGCAAAATTGGTGTATTGTACTGTACATGTGCTGTACAATGCCTTGGACTTGTCATCGCTTAATTAGGAGTTTAGCTGAGGCGCAAGGCGTGGCCTGGGAATCGATAGATCGTGGACTTTGACTACGAGCGAGAGCGGGATAATATATTATCGTTAACATCCTGTTCACACTGTACTCTTGATTTGCACTGTCGTGTATGTTCTTCGGACAATTTGCTTGCCTCAAACTGGGAGGGCGTCCCTCATCTATGCCTCGACACCTTCATGACATGGAACGAGCCCGTCCCGATATAATTAGAGTAGCCCGTCCCAAACATGACGTACTCGCCCTGCACCGCGACACCCCCATGGAAGTTGGCATCCAGCTCAAAGTCCCCAACGACCTCCCCGGACCGCTTCCGCAGGACCACCAACCCGCCCCTCGTCTTGTCGTAGTCCGGATCCGGCGCGTCGGGGCCGATCAGCCCCGTCCTCGCGACCAGCACCACGTCCCCCACGACGGTCGGCGGCCCGAAGGCGATGGACCCCCGCGGCGCAGGCGTCTCCCACAGCAGCTCGCCCGTCGCCAGGTCGGCGGCGCCGTACGCGCTGTTGGACACGGTCTCGCCCGACGGCCGCAGCTGCCAGGTGGTGCGCCCCGAGTTGATCGCCGTGAAGTAGGCCCGCGACGAGTCCGCTGCCACGCCCCAGCTCAGACCCGCCGCGGGGCCCGTCGGGCTCGTGGTCGTCGCCCACTGGATGGTCCCCGTCGTCGCGTCCATGGAGTAGAGGAGGCCGCTCTTTTGGCCGACGATAACGATGTCGCGCGGTTGGCCTGAGACGTGGGATGGGATGAAGGTGGGCATCATGCCGAAGTCGACGTCTGCGCCGGGGGGGATGCGGTTCACCCAGTTGAGGCGGCCGGAGGAGGCGTCGACGGCTAGGACGGATTCCTGGAGGACGGAGGGCGGGTAGCAGTCTGCTGTTTGGTTGTTGTTGCATTTGTCGTACTCGAGTGGGTTGCTGTAGAGGTTGCCTGTGCCGAAGAAGAGCTGGTTGCGAGCGATGTCGATGGAGGGTTGACTGCCCCATACTGCGACACCGGACCAGTTGCCGGCGGTCGGGAGCATCGGGAGGTCCCAGTCTACCGAGAATTTGTTCTGAGATTTTTCAAAGGTCGCGGCCATCATGTTGCCGATGAAGCTGCAGCATTGGTACCCTGGGACCCGGCCGGCGGCGCCCTCGGAGCTCGAGGAACCGATGAATATCCTGCCGTCGTAGAACGTGGGGCTCCCCGTGATGACGGCGAGCTCGTGGGCGTTGACGGGCATGGTGTCCAGGAGCGTGCCGTCCCTCCTGTCGACGGCGACGAGCAGCGCCTTGGTCAGTGTCCCGAAGTAGAGCACGTCGCCGTCGATCTGCGGGCTCGTCCGGGACACGGGGTTCGTGACCTGCGCCTGCAGCGGGGTGATGCCCCCCGGCGATCCGGCGATGATGTCCGTCACGTTGATGGACCACCGCGTCCGGCAGGTCGTGTAGTCCAGCGCCACGAAGAGTCCGCCCCAGGTCGGGTAGTACACCGTGTCGCCGGCGATGACCGGGGTGGCGCTCACGCCGGATCGGTACGGTACTTGGCAGTGTGAAGTCAGGGATCGGATGGAGCACGAGGATACTGCGCGGTTGTCGGCGGCCCATCTGTTGTTTTGTACGTTTGCGCCCCAGCCGGACCATTCCTCCCTGTCGCAGAGGACGGCGCCGAGGAAGATGCTGAGGAGAAGGGCGCGAAAACCCATCGTCTGGTGCTCCATGGTCTAATTTCTAATTAGGCTGCTCCAGTAGAAGCAGGGAGGGAGAGAGCGTGAGCCGGAGTCAAGGGCGGGATGCATGGTGGTTCCGGGAGTCGGCCTATATAAGTGCATTATCTGTCGGAGCCGGAGGTACGTAGCAAAGCAGCAAGCAGCGCGCTACCGTGACATCGATGCACGCCAAGTCTCGCCAGCCAATGGCAGGATTCGCTACCCCACGCATTTGCCGTGTCTTCACGGCACGGCAACGTGCTATATAGAGTGCCGGATTGCAGCCAGTGCTACCCTGAGAAAATTTATTACGGCGGGACACTTTGCGGGCGAGTCTCCAAGCATGGGTATTTGGCTCCAGTAGAGGGTCTGTGCGAAAGCATGTCCCGGTTTCGGCGGAGGACTCCTCATCTTCGAAAAGTGCCTACCCCGAGGTAATTATGCTGACCCCGCGACCCAATGCCGTTGACCGTGAGGATGGGAGGCTCTGCTGGGAGACGATTCGACGCCAGCGTCATTTTCGTCCCTTTTCCTTCCAGCTGAAGGTGGTCTGTGCGTGACAGGCATTTGTCCCAGTCGTCGCGCGGGGCTGCGGGGGCTACGCACGAACCACCAGCACCCACGCATCCAAGTCAAGGGACACAAGCCGCGATGTAGGTCCGGTAGTTAAGGAATTGCGCTGGCCCGAGGAGCTATTATAGAGCATCGGCTACACGCAAGCACTGCAAAGAAGATGACTAGGTAGTGAAGACGAATTACAGCAATTTCATTTGGACTGGCTCCGTACTCGAGAATCGCGTATTTGTCGTGGAATCTCTCCGCACGTGCGTCATGATGCTCTCTCTAGTGGAGCCCCCGACGACGTCACCAGTACATCTTGTGGACCACCAAAACCAACTACATCCCATCAACCTCCCTCCAAATAGGTATTTGCGAACCCAGAGCTGGTAATTATCGGTTTCTCAATCGCGCGAATACTAGATTCTCAAGTCAAGATGCCATCCTTCCCGGCGGCTTCCCTTCGATATGCCTTGCGCACCCCGGCGGCTCGGGCGACCATCCGCCCATCTCGCTTGCCACTCGTACTCCAAGTCCGAAGATTCGCAGAGCCTCGGCGCGCCGATGGGGACCTCGGAGGTCCTGGAGGCTCCGAGACCTATCCAGCTAGCAAGCCGATGCACAGGTAAACCTCAGCCCCCCCTTTTCAAAATTCCCGGACTCGAATCCTGATAGCGAACCAAGAAAATACACAACGGTCACTGTGGCCGGCATCATCCTCGGCGTCGGTCTGTTTGCCATGATGGGTAGGCGGCCGAAGGAAAATACCGAGAAGATGGCCAAGTAGTCACGGGATCGGCCGCCAACACCTTCGGAGACGTACGTGAGGATTGACTACAGAAGGTGTCCGTGTTCGCCTGCAACATGTATTAATAAACGCTCATTTGGGATGGGCCACCTTGCCTTCTCGGTCGGTTTGACGATCTGAGGTGGGGAATCTCGGCGGGGGTTAGCTCGCTGGGGGAGATTGCAGGAAATGGTCGACAGGCCGTTGGTAGCCAGTCTAGACGTCTAGGTACCTACCTAAGGTACCTCAATTGAACGTGTACTGTCCGTCTGGTGTCACAATTGTGAAAGCCCATCTGTCTTCAGGATGTCCCGCCACTGGTAGTAAAACGATATGGCGTCAAAAATTGCGATGTATTTTGGCCACTTTCGCCATGATGTCGTCCTGGGATTTCATCGGGTACGAGTCGGACATGGTTATCTTGTTGAGGCCTCGGATGTCAACAACCATACGGCCTTTCTGGGTCCCGTCTGGCATGGTTTCATATACAACAAATACTGGGAATGAGAATGACACTTGACGCGTAGTGCGTGTAAGCTTGCCTTGGGATTCCATTTTGGCGACTTCTTGTTTGACTTGCCGGTCCCGTTCGTTGAGTGGGTACGCGCGACATTTCTTTGGGACCATGTCGTGCCATCCTGGCTTGAGCTGAAGGCGCATCTGTCCTTCGGTAGGTACCTAGGTTAGGTACCTAGTTACAGCAGTACAATAATAGCAGCACCCTCTAACAGCAAAAAAAATCAACCATAATCCGGCAGGATTCACCGAGACATTGGGTCCGCACAGACCACCAGCGCGTGTAAGTGGCAAGTGACACCCAGAGCGATACACTCGGAGATACCTCAGGTACCTACCTACCTAGGTGGATATTGCTTGCCATTTCCAGTGAACGTGGAAATTTGGCAGTGACGAGCGGCCCTTGGGTTCCACTGGTTGGACAATTACCCAAGGGAAGCTTACTGTAAGTACCCAGGTCTGTGGTCTGCGGGAAAATGCTGCCTGATCGAAAGGGTATCAATGTCTTCGGTGACCCCTTGTCATGGTTAGAGGCACTTTCCGGGCGGAAGGTGAGAAACACTGTCAGGCAGAAAGGCCAAACCTCCCATAGTGAATGTTGTTGAAGTATAAGACCCCGGAGGTGCTGTACTGTACGCCCCGATGTACTGAGAGTTGTGGGCCAAACGCGTGACTCGCTCCTATCGTTACTCCCCTGGCACTGGCGTGAGCGCAATGGTTGTTTATCTTAAGCTTAAAGGTCAGGTTAGGCCAACCTTGAGCTACTTCCCGACTCACTGGCTTGTTGGATACAAATGGGTTCCTCCCAAATTTCTTTCCCCCAACACTGCTCTCTCAAACCACACCTATTTCCTCCCCAGAGGATTACTTGTAGTCGGGTTTCCCTGCACATCAACACAACTCCTCGTCTCTCGGCATTTTTAGCCCTCTCCTGACTTCATTAGCGCATCACGCTCGAGTCCTTGTACAATACGTTCTCGGACTTTAATAAATCGGTGGTATCTCCTCTAATAAGCATCATCCTGTCATCGACATCGTCCTCTTATCAGCATCGTCCTCTCTTATCGGCATCCTCGTCTCACCGGCCGCCTCATCTCATCGACATCCTCATCCCATCGGCACCCCCATCTCATCGGCATCCTCATGTCATCGGCAGCCTCAACCCATCAACATCCTCATCTCATCGGCAGCCTCAACCCACCGACATCCTCATCTCTCACCCAAACCCAAACCTTTGTCGTGGCCATGGCACTCCAAAATTCCCATCGCCGCTCTCCCTACAAGAAGTTTGCGGCTGGAGAATTCATGACTCTTCACGTCTCGTCTGGCGGATTGGTCTCTTCCTCGACGCTTCGGGTGCGAATACTCTCCCTTCAGCAGAGTCAGACCCTGTCCTGCTGTATGGTTGTCAATGTCGTGGATCATTTCAACCCACAGTTCCCCCCTGGGGTTGCGTTCCTGAAGCTCTTCGACAGGCGCTTCGCGGAAGAGCTTCGAACCTCCAATGCCATGGACCCATGGACGGAGCGAGCCGAGGATCTCTACATTGAGTCTGTTCAGTCCGGTCGAGCCCGCTTGTTTCTGGATTTACTCCAGAGCGAGAACGGTTTTAAGGAGACCGAACACGAGTGGACTGAGGCAGACATGGAGTCATTTGTGGCCAACGAACTCCGGGAGCTATACGATACCGAGGTGGCGACCTACAACGCACTGGAGCCATACCAGGGTAACCTGATTCCCCGCCTCCTTGCGACAGTCAACCTTGATATCACACCAACCCATTTCCATTCTCCTCAGCCGACGGATGATCACTTCCTGGTCAAGGGGCTCCTCCTCCAGTACATCCCCGGCTTCACCCTACAGAACTTGGCGAAATTCGCTCCGCGGGGTGCATGGCAGAACATCGTCGATCAGGCTCTCAACGCCGTTCATATGCTGCACAACAACAACATCCTGAACAAGGACGTGCGCCTGCCCAACTTCATGGTCAGCCCCTTAGTCAACGGCGGGTATCAGGTCTACATGATCGACTTTGGATTATGTATCCTACGGCGAGCGGACCATTCTGACCGTGAATGGGGGCAGCTGAAAGTCTACTTTGACGAAGAGGGCTGCGTCGGGTTGAAGATGGGGAAGAAGTTGGCAGAGAAGGGGTTTGCTCTCCAGTACCAAAATTCTGGAAAGTATCTCCAGTGGGCGTAAAGATCAGACATGGAGATTCATGTGGAGTTGGTGGCCTGGAGTTTTGTTTCGGTGCATACGCATACGGCAGTCTGTTTTCCCCGCCTGCAATTACCCCGATACCTAGTTTGTACGGCTTGTGCGGAGATTGCTTTGTATTTTATTCGCACTCATGACTTCAGCGTCAATCGATGGAGCTTTTGGACCAAAGTCTAATTAAGTATCCTTCAGAAATGCCATCCATTTACCCCCAGACTTGCCACATATGTTCCCATTCGTCGCAGCGACTCAAGGTTTCCTTGCGGATGTAACCTTGCTTCTCGGCTGACCTCCACCTTCGCTGCTGAACATCCCGAGGCGAGAGGGCAGTATCCGGTGACGAAGTGGTATCCGCCGTGGTCTTCGAAATCGGCAAACTCTTGTGACGGAAAAACACAAGATCTCGGGTTCGTTCATAAGCCTCTCTCCTTACTACGTCGAAGAGTGTGGGTGCTATACTCACGTCTCTGAAGGCTTCTCCTGATGTAGGATGGATCACCTCAATGGCATTTGCTCTCGAACGTTAGTCGCACCTTTTTTCGGCGGGCGGAGGATCTTCAGCTTGGTACAGGCCCATTCCATTGGCCGAACGCGAAATCTCGTGGGATCGTCGTCGATGCCTGATGTTTCGTCAGCATGCGCCCGATGACGTCTTTGCAATCGCTGGGTCGAGGCCCAACCTCGCCAACATAGTGGAAACGGGACAGGAGGAAGGTTTGTGGCTGACTCGGTATTGTGGATTGTGTGTGGACTGATCGCGGCGGGAGATAAACCTAAGGCCTTTGGAGGAGAAGGAAAATCGGAGTTGGCGCTCTCTCTAGGCGAGGTTTGGGAGGATACACTTGCGGCGCCCATGTAGGAGATGTTGTCGTCGGGGTCTTCAACGAGAGATCACTCGGCCGAAGGAAGCTGAGCTTGGCCCCCATCGGTGCTGGAGACCCGGCCCCCTTCCCCCGAAATTAATGCCGTGGAAACCGCCGAAGTGGGGCCGTGATTGGACCCGGAAAGACTCGTTTGCGTGGAGTGCGGCGGTGTGTGCTCATGCTGGTGGCTCTCGGCATGGCACCAGTGATCGAAGCGCCGGGGGTGGGAAGTCATACACTGCCTGTGTTTTGTGTTGGTTCATTTGGCGTTTCCATGGACTCGACAGACCATCTCCGGCTTGCCGCAGGCTTTCGAGATTTTGCGCCCCTTCTTAATGAAGGGGTAGCAATCCCGAGGCAAAACGACTTCAAAGGAGCTTTAGGTAATTGAATGTTGAGTGGAAGATGGTCCATTTGTATTTTGATATGCCTCCTGGAAGGTGGGTTTGCAACCCTGGACATGACTACTGTTTCCGTATTAGCTTTTGGTTTTCCGGGTGGTTGTCTTTGTTGTTGCTGTAAGTATTGTCTTTGTCCAAGTTTGCGTCCGAGCTGAATGGGTAGCCACTTTGGCCTCGAATATGTGAGCGCCTTGCAGCAGTCAAAGGACTGAAGTTCCTCCAGACCCTCAAGGACTTGGATTACTTCATCGAAGCCACCGGATACTTACGACACAACGTACCATATTGTATAGTGTGCTGATGGCGCCACTCGAGGCCCGCAAAGCGGCACTGCTGAAAGCCAACCGACATGCCAAGGCAGGCAAGCGGAAGTCATGGTCCTCAGCAGTCCTGGTACTTCTGCCGACACAAGAAGAAGAAGCCGCATTAGAGGCAGTCAAGGACCCGCCTGCCAGAAAATCCCCTACCCTGATATCACCTGGAGCGCATAGTTTAAAGGCTGCTTAGCTGCTTCACACAATCTCGGCTACGAAACGAGGAAAGGAAGCAAATGTATTTAGGAGCTAAGGACATGAATAACGAATCAGGTTCCTCCAGCGCCGTAGATATTTGGTCTAGGTGTGATCTTGACTTGTGGCTTGCATTAGTAGGTGCTGCAGTAATACGACACTGTCGATCACCCGAAGCCCCCTTGAGACTTGAAAATCTCATCTATTGAACTAGATGGCCTGGTCTTCACCCACCGTGCCACTTTCCTCTCCAACACCTTGACTCCAACAAACCGAGCCTACTATGGGATCGGTGGTAGACACGCTCGCCGAACACGATGGCGGACCGCCAGGCCCTCGTGGTGATTCGGTGTGGTCGATCCTGCAGCGCGGTATCGACGAGGGTCCAGACCGGGTAGCACTGGTCACCATGCACCAATCGCCCGATCACCTCGCGCAGCTTGTGGGACCAGGGGGCGCGTCGCCGTCCGGGGAAACTCTCACCTGGACATATGCTCAGTTGCGGCGAGGGGCCGCCCGGCTTGGCTCGGTCCTCGACGGACATGATATACCGCCGGGATCTACCGTCCTCGCTTTCCTCCCCAGCAGTGCCGAGTGGGCCCTGACGGTGTGGACCGCGGCGTTGAAGTGCTACACGCTCGTCACCTTGAACTCAGAAGTTGTGCAACCGGCTCGGAAGGAGGAACTGCGCTTCCACATCGAGAAGCTGGCACCATCCGTCGTTTCCCTAGAGGACGAAGCGGGAGCCAAAGCCGTAGACGGCATCAGAAGCACGAATGACGCCCCCTTCTTGGGCATCTGCCTCGGAACCCTCACCGAGCCACGCCCAAAGTGGACTACCATGGCCAACATCGCGCAGACACCCTTCACCGACAGCCAGAGCACCGCCAACCCCGCCGCGGACGACCCAGATCGCATCACCACCATCGTCTTCACGAGCGGCACGTCGACCGGCTCGCCGAAGGGCTGCCCCTGGACGGTGAAGAACCTGCTAGCCGGAACCGCCAGCAGCAGCCGCGGCCGAGCCGGGACGCCGCCGGCCGTCGGGGTCATCCACTCGGCCAACTCCCGGGCGCTGGCCACGGCCATGTCGGCGACGCTCTGGCACGGCGGCGGCGTGGTCGTCGTGCCGGGCCCGCGGTTCGCGCCGCGGACGTCGCTGAGGGCCATCGAGGCCCACCGCGCCGCGACCGTCGGGGTCCTGCCGGTGCATGCGCGTATGATGGGCCGGCGGGAGGCTGGGCACGCCCCGGGGGCGGTCGCGTCGCTTAAGAGGGTGTTTCTTAGCGGGGAGGTCGTCACGGCGTGGATGCTGGGGGAGACCAGGCGGGTGTTTCCCGGTGCATCTGTGTACCCTTCGCATGGGATGTCGGAGGGGTTGGGATTGTTTGGGTGGCCGCTGGGCTTGCCGGATCCGGTACCGGAGTTTGGGGGGGTCATCTCGTCTGGGTTGGTGATGCCTGGCACGAAGGTTCGGATCGTTGGCGAAGACGGCCGCGTTGTGAAGAGGTCCGAGCTGGGGGACCTGCATGTCAGCAGCGATTCTGTCATTGATGGGTATTTCGATGGGGTCAGCCCGGACGCGTTTTACGAGGATGAACGGGGCAGGTGGTACAGGACGGGCGATATTGGAGTGCTCGACGGAGAGGGCCGCATCTACATTCTCGGGCGGAGTGGCGATGTCATCGTGAGGGCTGGGAACAAGATCGTGCCTGCACTTGTTGAGGCTTGTATAGGCAAGCACTTGGATATTATGGTCTGTAAGCCTTTGAGATGTGCGATATCTCGACCGATACACTGACATTCCAAAGGCCCAGGTCATAGGTATTCCCGATCCAGCCTCGGGGGATTTACCGATTGCGGTTGTCGAGGAGCTGCCCGAAGATGCTACACCGGCCGATGTGGACGAGGTCGTTGTCAGATCCCTGGGCCCAAACTACAGTCTTGGTGGTGTCATTTGCCTCGCTCAGCTCGGGATGGCGACTTGGCCACTCACTGGTTCATTCAAGACCTCAAAGGCTGACCTGAGGCGTGCGGCTATCGAATACATGTCAGGGGAAGCTGCTTTCGTTGGATAGAAAAAAGAAACTTGATTGGTTTCTCGCACTCGTAGCTAGGGAGACGTCTAGCTGGAAGATCAATTAAAGTCTACTCGCCCCGTTTCGGCTTCATCCATGCAGTGCTGTCGTTGATAATGTCGGACAATCCTTCGCCGTCGATTGTCTCGGATGGCATTGGTGCTCCCCAGACAACACCGTTGGCCTCTAGATACTTGTCCCAGGCTGCAGACAACTCTCTGTATTTTTCCGGTTCCTCGTCTTTGAGATCAAACACCTCTCCTGGATCCTTCCGAAGGTTGTACAACTGCCACTCTCCAGGGCCGAAGGGCGGCGGGACGAAGGTGATCTTCCAGTCACCTATGCGCATGCCAGCTCGGCCATGTAGCTGCAGCAAAAGTCAGTCAATGCGTGAAGAAGGAGGCATGCCCTGGGACACAAATTCCCTTGACATCACAGCCGGTTGGCAGAGTGACTTACCTCCCAGCCAAGTGGTTCGTCGTCACCATGGCACACTTCTCCATTCTCAAACATCCCCCTCCATGTCTTTCCCTTCATTCCCACGACTTCACGGCCTCGGAACGCGCCTTTATCGGCCCCTCCGTCCACGGGGTGTTGGATACCAGCCAGATCCAGCACCGTCGCGGCAATGTCCATGACAGTTGCTTGTTGGTCAATGACCTTGCCTGGGGAGGATGACGGGTGGGAATGGAAGGGCGGGTATCGGATGATGAAGGGAACGCGAATGCCCCCCTGGGTGGAAAATGACTTCATCAGTCGAGATGGTGCCGTAGACGCCTGTGCCCAGAAAGGGCCATACCAGACGAAGCTGAAGAGGGACATGGGTTAGATGGATCGTAACAGATGGTCAGTTTTCGTGGAATGCTCACCTATTCGGTTCACCGATGTTCTATTATGCCACACACATATTCAGCAAGGGGGTTCCAATTATAACGAGTAACTGTATCTCCGGACTCACCTCCAGACTGTTGTCATAGTATTCATTTATGATGTGCATCAATCTGCAGCCGGTCGCGTCAGCAATTATGGAGCATGGATTAGCACAATATCGGGGACTTACTTGGTTCCCATGTGTGCCATCGCCTCATATGCACTTCCTTCGGCGCCATTGTCGGACATAAACATGACAACCTAATCCTTTGTTAGACCAACACACTCACACAGGGGCAAGCCCACCAAACTTACCGTATCGTCAGCAACGCCCATATCTTCCAACCCTTTCATCACCCTCCCAACAGCTTCATCGATATGCTCGACCATGGCTGCATAAGTCTCCATGGATCGGATACTCTTCTTCCTCTGGCTATCGTCCATTTCATCCCACTCGGGTATCTTCAACGGGTTCATCACCGGATGGGGTGTGACATCTTTGGGTATGAGTTCCATCTCTTCCAGCTTGGCGAGTCGCTTGAGTCTCAGCGCTGCGGGACCGCCGTCATACATGCCCTTGTACTTGTCTCGCAGCCGCTTGGGGGCTTGAAGGGGCCAGTGTGGGGCGGTGAAGGTTAGACAAGAAAAGAACGGCTTCTTTTCTGATGTGGCTTCGCCGATGTACTCCATCAACTGATCGGTGAAGTTATCGGTGGAGAAGAAGCCCTCCGGAGAGTAGGGGAAGTTGGCGGGCCTGGGCCATGGGTCAGAATCCAGCAAGGGAGTTTCACCACTATTGCTTCCACCCTGAGGTGCAGCTGGGGATTTCGAGAAACTTACACGTCCATCGGCACTCCTTCTTTGTTATACATGCCTTTCTTATGTGCCACAGCTGGCGCCCATTCCTTGTATGTCCGGAGAGCATCCACTTCGGCCTCCTGGGCTGCCGTGGCTGATCCATCAGTGGGCAGGTCTCCATATTGTGGCTCATAGCCGTAGTGATTATGACAGCCGGAGAGCATTGTGAAGGACCGATCAAATCCACGTCTAGCAAGTTGGACTGTCAGTTAACACTCAACCAGAGGTGCAAACGTGGACTGAGGCCGGGTCCATGACTTACGAGTGGGGTGCGAGTTCTGGTTTCAGTCCGAGATGCCTGGAGCAGTTATCAGTTCCAGATATCTCATTTTCTGACCGACTTGACCAATAATCGAAATCAAGCCTAACTTACCATTTTCCCGAAAGAATGGTCCGGTATCCATTATCTTGTAATATCTCAGGCAACGCAGCGACCTTGAAGTTCAAGTGGCCCCTATACTCAGGTATTAGCTCAAGGTCATCTCACTCTGCCATGAACAGAGCACGGGAAAAGGCGGACGTCCTCATAACCAGGCTTATTATCCCACATGCCTCCCCCCAAGCGAGACTTCCACTCCATCATTGCTCCCAACCCCGCAACGTGGTTGTCCGTGCCCGAGAAGAGCATGGCTCGAGTGGGCGAGCACGCGGCCGCAGAGTGAACTGGACGTTCAGGGCTCGGTTAATTGGGATTGGCCTTGATTGGCGTTTCCATGATGTGCTAGACTTACAGCCTGTCATCCGACATCCCTCGGCGGCCAATTTGTCCAGGTTTGGCTGTGGAATGTCAGCTCGCGAACACGACATAAGTAGTGCACTTCCCCATGGGGAGGCTGCTTACAGTGTTGATCTCGGAGCCGAAACATCCTAAATCGGAGAAACCAAGATCTGGCCACTGAAGTCAGCGGTTTGGGTCTCGGGTAACTTCATTTTTGATAAAATACACACCGTCGGCAACGATGATGACAAAGTTGGGCTGCTTCTTTTCTGGCGCCATGTTTGGCGTCTGAACGATGGGGCAAAAAAATAATAATGGTTTGGATGTTTTCCCTTTTCAGCTGCTTCCTCGTTTGCCGATGATTGGGGATGAAGAAGTCCGCCCCCAGCTGGTCCCGGAGATTTTTATTGCTGGGCCTGGGCCATGCATCGGCGGGATCGGTAATGCGCCCGGATCGGTAACCGGCGGCGCCCCACAACACCAGCTCCGGGTATCGGCAACGATCCGGCAGTCGGACGCTTTATTGACATCGTCTCGGCGGTCCGTGTCTTTTTCAGACTCCTCTGCATGGAACCCCCCCGACTGACTTCTTCGTCTTCATCGGTAATCGGCCACGGCCCCAGGGACTCTTGTTCCGGTTATCGGCTTCGGTCCGGCAGTCGGACGCTTTTATCGAAAACTAGCTGGGCACTACCTCTTACTAGCCCTGCCCGGGTTCCATAAGGCGAAGACAGGCTTATGCTGCATTAGGCATCGTGCTGTCAAAGTAAGAGGCTAAGATCGACTAAGACGGGTCTCGGGAATAAAGCAGTTGGATAACACAACCACGGCGAGAAGTCCGACCTGGAAATCTTGCTTTAGCGTGAGAAGGCTAGAGAATCCCAAAACAAAACTGTGGACTCCTCGAACCAGTTGACTTTTCTTGCGGTTCCCACCCCCATGCGGTCCCCCCGCGCGGGCCCCCGCGTTTCCCCCCTTTAAGATTGTGCCCGGCTTGACGGCAATCGGCCTGGGGTTCGGTTCCCCATCTCAGTTGTCTTACCGGTCTCGTGGGTCTACAAATACTGCTGGCATCGACGGAGCCTCGTTCGTCGTCCCTCTTCTCATCCCTCCATCTCCACACCTTGTGAGAGCAAGAGCACTGTCCATCACTCACACGTTCGTTTGTGTGTGTTTTTGCAGGCAATTATCGTCATAACGATAACGTCCCACCACCATCATGGCTGGCGCCAAAGGCAACATCTTTGCTGTCAACAAGCAATTGCTTAAAACGACCGTCCCAAAGGCAAGTCGTACCTAATTAGACGCCACCGTTGCTTGCTGTATCAAACCCAGTAGTGCTAACCGATTCAAAAGGCATGGCTCGCGATCATCGTCTTCAACTTTGGAGCGCTGTTGTTTGGCTTTGACACGGCCATGTTTGGCGCGCTCCAAGTCACTCCGTCGTGGCTCGGCACCTTTGGCACCATTGGCAAGAAGGGCGAGTACGAGATCAGCGCCATCCAGCAGTCGCTGCTCAACTCCATACCGTGGATCGGAAAGATAGTTGGCGTGATTGTTGCAGAACCCATCAACGAGAAATTCGGATACAAGACGTCGATGGTAATTGCTTCCACCATACAGGTGATTGGAGTGATTGTAGAAAGTGAGCAGAGAGACAGAAGGGGGCCCCCCCCCCCCCCCCCCCCACAAAAAAAAAAAAAAAAGATGGGGGGGGGGGGGGGGGGGGTGGTGGGGGGGGTG